AAAGAACACACGACAAAATTGGAATGATATAGTAGATCAGACAATGTAAACACGGGACGAACACGCTCCACGGACTGAACATCCGTACGAAATTCTCTTGCATGTAATTCTGTAGCCTTAGGAGCACGAGTAGGTCTAGTATTCAAGTAAAGTGAAGGGGAAGCTGACTCTGACGCCTTATCTCCATTTCGGAGCCTTCTAGGATTAAATATTGTTTTAAGTAATTACACGTTTTGAAAAAGAGGGGGGTCACAGTGTCATTGGGATCCTTCCTTCTCATCTCTGTGCCTTAAAGCTACACCATCTCATGAGGTATCCACGATGAGTCAGGGAATGAGTTGTCTTGGATAAGGGAATGAAATTATTTGTTTCGAACATTCTATGCTTGAAAAAATGATTGGGTCAAAATGATATTGAATTTATCTCGCCATACGCAATAGGGAAGCGTTCGACGACGTAAAGAGAATTGTTTACTAGGATCTCTACATCCGATCACTAACCAAAGTATTTTAAAAGAACTTAAAGATTAATTAAATGTAGCCTTACCTGACGGAATCTTATCACGAGGACCCACAACGACTATTACTTCCTCCTTGTTCTTTTTGTAAGATGCTTCAAATTCATTTACATACTCGACCTATATTTTCAAAGTCATATATTCAATTAAAACGTTGCAAAGTTACAACGTTTCTTTCCCGTTTTGCAACGAATACCATTTCCTTGAGTTGTGTAACATGCACCCATAGATAATATGTAAACTGATTTTATTCAGTATCTCTATTGGTAAACATGAAATAAGTGTTTTATGGCAGCTCTCTCTCTATGAATCGTTTTATTTTCGGTTGCATTAAGGATCCCTGGATCGCCAATTTACGCAAGCAGTTCAGGGGATAGTCTGGTTGGGATTTTGAACCAAAATTTGCTAGAGATTGTAAGCACATACAACTCCAGCTAATTTATTTTTCTTCATAGAATTATGCCTGGAAATAGATTAACCCCACAACCTAGCTAATGTGGCATATGGTTTGTATACCATAATTAATTAGCAAATTTATGGTTAAATATTGACCAAATTCTTCACGGAGGCTTGTCTCACTAATTCCATGCCCCCACCCCCCTCCCCCTCACAACGCTTTTTTTCCTATTAATAGGATAAGTAAGATATTTCTCACAATTTCACTACATAGCAACAGAATACTTTTGTACAAAGTTTAACCAGGAATAACGTCAACTGTATTCTTCAAATAGAAAAAAGCCTCAATAGGTTTGTAGAACAGCCATTCACAAGTAACTTAGCCATCATCAACGGAAGAGAGCATCAGCAACAGTAATGAAGCATAATTGATAAGCTTCGTCACCACAAACGCAGTGTTGATTCAAACGTGTCGATTCACCAAGAATGCCGTGTATAATGTGTAAAAGAACAGAATTTCAGTTAAACACTCACCTCATCCGTTGGATACACTGAAATATTCTCTGGAACGTTGGACGGCGTCGATTGTGTGATCTCTGGTTGAGGATTCAGCCCTTGGTTATTTTCCTCAGCTGTTGCGTTAGAAGTGTCGGCTGATAGACTCATTTCTGGCTCATGATAATCAAACTTTTCACCCATCTTACTTGGTTCAAAAAAGTGAAGGAGAGCTTTCTCGTGAATCTCTCGGTGGTTTTTGTGCCAAGAAAAAATGAAACTTTTTCGTCCGTCAAGATATTCCTCCTCGAATTGCGACGAAACTTTCCTCCGAGCCCAACGTGACATGACAGCTTCGTTTTCCTCTTCTCTCCCCACATAGTTGTCGTCACCGCCTATAATTATTAAAACTTTTTCGCCTAATGGTAACAAGTAGAATAAAAAATAGTAAAACTCAACGATCGAACGTTGAACATTCGTTGATATGAATTCTCGCGCGAAACCGAAACAGCACTAGTATTCGTAACAATGTAAAGTGGGAAACTATATTTCATTTCGCAACTGTGGTGGGGGGATGGGGAGGGGATTCGAGTTAACCGGGTTAGAGTTAGGGGGGTTCTACCATAGTTGTGAAGAGAATTTAATAATTTTTTTTAAGTTAATGCTAAATTAATTGCTACATAAACAAATGAAACTAAAAGCTTAAAATTGAAAAATAAAAAGACGATAGAAACTATTGCGGTTTGAACGGGCTAAGAAGTTTGACCTTAGGACAGTCCAGCAATGTGAGCCGAAACTCACATAACGATTATCTATGACATAACCCGATCGATCAAGTGGCTGATCATAATCTCTCCGTACGTACAGGTTCTCTATCAAAAAACAACGTTCACACTTCAGTCCGAATAATCTAACGCAAGACTCACCGGTCGCTCTCAGTAAAGCTTTGTAGATCTTCGCGTAACCAATGCCAGCGTTGTCTTCGTTGATAGAGAGTCGAGATTCATTGGCATGAACGACAAATACGGCAAAATCCCTATTTAGAGTGGGAACTATGCTATCACTTACAGAGGACATCTCTGAAAGTTTAAAACAATGCTTCTTGATCGATATTTCGAATTCAACTTTGTCTTTCACTGTAGTCAAGAGTGCTTCTATTGAATCCAGTTTGAAAGTATTGTCACAGTTAAAAAGGTGAACAGTCTTACAGTTTGGAACTTGTAGCTCCATGTTTTATGAAACCAGGAAATAGGAAAGATCCACAGATAAATGAAATAGTTATTTTTGTGAAATGGCTTTGTAAACTTCGGTTTCGCAAAAGACATCCATAATTCATTATGGGCCGGCTTAGTCACGCAAGGAAATCTTTTTTGATGTGTGCTTCAATGCAATCTGTGAAATAGGACATGGACATGGTATGGATGAGTTGATTAAGGTTTACTAAAACTGTTTCTTTTGTCAAAATTTACATATCTTTACCTTTCAAATGTAGCCTTGCAGCTTATTTAAGCATTAGCGTGCAAATTGTTTAGTAGGAGGACACTTTCGCAGCCTGATATCATTTGAACCGTAGGTTATAAACGATCAGCTGTTGCAACATCGTGGATTTAGGAGCAATTTTTCATTGTCTTTAGAAAATTTGCATAATTATTCAAATTATGTACGCCGTGATGTCATGTGATTTCATATATCCCACAACATTTGCATCTTATGTGAACAAGAATTTAAAATGGTCGTTATGAATATATAAGGTTTTTGAGGTTTCCATGTAGTGCATTTGCTTGGCAAGCGTTGTAAAGCATAGGGCTTGTATTCTCTAAAAATAACCCCACCCCACCACGCATAGTATGTTGAGGCAATACAATATATACATCGTTGCGCTGAGATGAAGTACAGCCACTTCTCATGAATACAAATTTAGCAGTTCAGCTTAGGGAAACCTGAAGTCACATGATGCCTTGTCAAGTTATTTTCACGAGTACTTTTTATCTTACCCTACAGCATTACTGTTTACCTCCCCGTCCCGACCCCCAAGACAAAAAGGGGTTTTCGCAATCTCGCCTTGCAGCTAGAGTTCAACACAATTAGGTAACTGGTTGGGCATGAGATGGGGCTCTTAAGGTTACTTCCCATCTGCGCGCGTGTCCTTAAGGAAAAAATTCGTAAGAGTGCTAGTTTCACTAACATCTTAGAAAACTTTATATCAGAAGTAAGATTAATAACTGCAGTTTACGATACAAATATAATTTAAGCGACTTTTCGTTTAAGGAAGAGTCAAAAGCCGGTAAGGCGTGAAACGACCTAAGGTTCTTCTATAAAATTTATTGGGTATCGGTTGCCGCAGCACGAGCAAAATGGCTCCACAGTCTTATTCACAAGGCATCAATCAGCAAATGTGTGACGGGCTTTTTCAATATTCTGATTGGTTGTCTGATATCGGCATCTAAAGTTGGAGCAGCAAAAAATATGCGAGGCGTGTTGCGTAAATGGACAGCACGGGACAAATTTTTCAAATTACAAAATTTACCGACACGCTTTCGTTTATCATTATTCCGAGAACGTTTGGGCGAAATTTGAAGAAAATCGGTCAAATCAATATACCCTATAAATTCGCTCAAAGTGGTTGTATTCCTCTCAAAATCAAATGCGAGATTTTAGCTCCTAAAGGTTCGCAAACAACCCGCGCTACACCAGGAGATTTTCTCTCCTCCTCCTGGCGTCAATGAAGATGAATGAAGATTTCCCGGGAAAAGTTTCAGACACGTTTTTTTTCTTTTATCTCGATCGCTCAGTAGAGCGATGAGGCGGACGACGTAATATTGAGCAAAACTGCAAAAGGCAAAGGAAAAACCCGCGACAGAAATGGAAAAACCGGAAAACGTTCTGAGGAGCAAGACAGGGAATCGACATACAGCTTTCAAAACTACGATTCGAGGCGATTGTTGATGTTTTTATATCAAGGCTGGTACTTGCATGAAAAAAAGGAAACTTCGTTTTTAATATCACGTATGCACATTTTGGTTTGCCGGCGACATCTTTGTTTGAAATATGAATGCCAGCGTAGAGCTCCGCTGATACCATTCGCTTTTACAAAGGATGTGTTTTCTTTTCTTGACAGAATGGTACTCTTTGTTTTCTTTTAGGCCTGTTTTTTGTATCTTTTCTTTTTTACCAAAGACTTTCTTCCGCTTTTGATTTTTCCATGAGCAAAGGCTTTTCCATAAACAAAGAGCTTCTACGCGTGAATTTTGTTAAGTGCGCGATGTAAACAAAACATGGAAATAACATGAAAATCGAGCCCCAACATTAGCGGTTGCCGCGAAAATTCCCCGCGAGATTCGTCCTGGTTCGAGATTATGACACCTTCCTTATTTATTAACTTTTATTTGAAATTACGTTTCTCCAAATAATTGGAAACTTTAGGTTAAATGTTTGAATTCAGTTTAGTCAAATAAAACAGGAGCCCGTTATCTCCCGAATAAAAGAAAAATCGATTTTATCGGCCTCTGAAGGTGGGAGGTAATCTTGAATTAATTTAAAACGTTTAAAATAAAAGGACTTCTTCTAGTAAAGCAAGAAACCATCCATAACTCCAAGGAACATTCTTTTATTCCATGCAAACAGTTTGCATTTCTGATTCAACACTCGTAGATTCAAAGTATTCATAGGTTATGTGCAATTGCAAGTATCCAGCACCTAAATTAGACTCACGCAGAGTAGGTGACTGCTTACTCCAAACTTTCGGGGTCATCAGGAAGGCCAACAATAGTCCCAGAGGGAAGATCTTGGTATCACTTCAGCACGACACATTGTGCCATTTTCATCAGCAAAGATCTTCAAATACGCTTCCGGTGTTGACCCCCATTCTCTCTCTAACTTCACTACCTCGCTGTGAGGAGGACGCCAGGTTTGGTCCCAGGTCTCTACGTCTGCGCTATCGTATGAAATTTTCCCATGGCGCAGGCGTGTTTGTAGTTTTAAAATAGGCCGTGAATCACCCCTTCCTGAATTCTCACTAGAAACTTGTAACAAATTAATATGAGTTAACCGAGTGAAAGAAAGACAAAATACAAGCTTTAAATCCAAACTAGGCGTGGATAAAAACACCTCTAGGGTGGAATGCACTGCGGACTAAAGCAACCCCAAGAATGTTCTTAGCTCTTAATAAAGTCGATAAGGAAATCACTTTCACTCCATTTTTTAGCGATCATTTCAGTCTCGCGAGCCTCAAAAACTAGCATCCCTGAACTTATAGAAGAATGTGATATCCTTCTACATTACCTGTTGATTCAGATTCAGTCGCATCTGAAGTTTGTCGTCCGCCGTCTTCTTCTGATCGACTCCACGACTTCCGGCCCCGTCTCTGACTCTGCCCTCGCTTCCCATTCTGTTTCACTAAAGACCTCTCCTGATCAGCTGATTCAGGTTCAGATCTTTTTAAATCCTTCGTCAAAAAATTGGAAAAAAAACAATCACATACTTAATTACTTGTAAGTGAGCGTTCAAGGATATTTTTTTCAAGGGGTAGTTAGTCGGTACAGGCCCCCGAAGGATCCCCACCTCGTCGTGGTCGGCGAGCTTGAGTGCCTCGGAGATCCCTAGAGCTATGCCGGCGGGAGCTTAGTCTCGTGGTAGGGCCACCCAAGACGGACAGGTTGAAGGGTAGAGGTCCGACGAAGCACGATCCACCGGTCCTCCAGGCTAGGGGTTTGGGCACAGGGCTAACAACCCGGTCCCGTAAAACACCCACGTTACGGAAACGGCAACGAAGAAAATAAACACTACTGGGTGAGACGGGCTTTCAGAGTTGTCGAAAGATACTAATATGAATGACAATAGTAAAAGCCGAAAGGAAACCGCTGACAGGAAGATGGAAATCTTGAGCGCCAAATGCAATGTAAGAATTATGTACGAGACAGGAAAGCTGGCACAAGCCACAGCTGAGATGAGACGTTACAACCTACACATCCTTGGAATCAGTGAGAGCAAATGGACAGGTTCAGGCTGACACAAAACCAACACAGGAGAGACAGTGCTATATTCTGGAAGAGAAGATGACGAGCACCATGAGGGAGAACACACCACGTTCACGAGATGAAGATTGTGATGGGAGATCTCAATGCAAAGGTTGGTAATGACAACAGGAACTGCGAAAGGGCCATGGGGAGAGAAGGATGTGGCACCATGAATGACAATGGAGAGAGGCTACTGGACACCTGCACCACCTATGATTTTGTCATCGGAAGGACGCTCTTTCCACACCGCGACGTCCACAAGCTGACTTGGTACTCCCCCAATGGAAGAGACAAGAACTATATTGACCACCTGATGATCAACGGGATGTGTACGCAATCACTGCCAAACGTCCGAGTGAGAAGATGAGCTGCTGTGCGAAGTGACCATCACCTTGTGACCACTACACTGAAGCTGAAGCTAAGGAAGACCAGATCCAGTCCGAGAGGGCGACGACACTTTGATGTGGAGAAGCTGCGAGACCTTAAAGTAAAGACTGCCTTCATACTACAGTTGAATAATTAGTTCCAGGTACTAGCAGATGCTGAAGACCAGAAGCAGGAAGGCTTGGGAGACATCAATGCAAAGTGGCAACAGCTTAAGATAGCCTACGAGCAGACCCGCAAAGCCTGCCTTGGAACAAAGCAGCAGGAAGGAGTGGATCACAGAGGATACCTGACAAGCCATTGCGAACAGAAGAACTCTCAAGAAGAAAGTCGTGGAGGTCAAATCAGAGCGACTGAAAGAGAGATACAAGCAACAATGTAGGGAAGCGAATCTAACAGTGAAGAGGATGACAAGAACAGAAAAGTGAAGCCACATAAACCACCTTGCAAGCCAGGCAGAAGATGCAGCAAGCAGGGGAGAGCAAGGCAGAGTCTGCAAGATCACCAAGCTGGTGTGTGGCAGGTACAGAGGAGGCACTGACGCTCCGATCATGGACAAGCAGGGGCGACTACTCACGACAGAAGCCGAGCAAGACGCACGATGGGACAGAACACTTCAGTGAAGTTCTGAACAGACCACCACCACCAACAGAGGCAGATATACAAGAGGCAGAGACAGACCTGGATGTGAACACCGATCCCCCAGGAAAAGAAGAGATCATAGCAGTCATCAAGTCCCTCAAGAACGGAAAATCCCCCGGACAAGACAATCTCATTGCAGAAGTATTTAAAGCAAATCCATAGTTAGTAGCAGACCTACTCCAGCCGCTCTTTACAAACATCTGGGGGGAAGAAGTTACTTGAAGATTGCACAGAGGGAGTCATTGTGAAGATTCCGAAGAAAGGTGCCCTTAACAACCGCAACAACTGGCGAGGAATCACCTTACTATCTGTGCTTAGCGAGATCCTGGCCAAGATCATCATCCAGCGAATAGCCAACACGGTGGTCCAACAACTGAGAAGGGAGCAGGCAGGGTATCGGAAAGGAAAGTGATGCACAGACCAGATCTTCACCCTACGTAACATCCTATAGCAGTGCACAGAGTGGCAGAGACAACTCTACATCAACTTTGTGGACTTTGAGAAGGCTTTTGACAGTGTACACCGGTAAAGTCTGTGGCGCATCCTTCGGGCCTATGAGATACCACAGCAGATAATCGACATCATCAAAAGCTTCTACAACAACTTTTCATACGGAGTAGGCAACAGCGAAACCAGCTTTAAAGTGAAGACTGTCGTCAGACAAGGCTGTACAATGTCGGCGATGTTTTTCAACATGACCATTGACTGGGTAATGAGGCGCACAACAAAAGATCAGTCACGGGGCATCAGATGGACCCTCTTCTCAACGCTGGAGGACCTAGATTTTGCAGATGATCAAGCCTTGGTCTCCCATACTCATCAACACATGCAGGAAAAGACGACACGACTTGGCACTTACGCACAGCAAGTTGGCCTGAAGATCCGCCAAAAGAAGACAGAAGTGATGCTGCCAAACGTGTCCAACCCTAAATCAATTCAAGTGAACGGAGTAGACCTGCCAACGACTGAAGGGTTCATTTACCTGGGCAGCGCAGTAAGGCATGATGGAGGAGCAGGGAGTGACAACAAGAACCGTCTCAACAAGGCCAGAAACGCCTTCAGCATACTCAACAACATGTACTCGTCCTCTCAGTACAGCACCAAGACCAAGCTGTAGATCTACCAAAGCTGTGTGATGTCCACCCTACTATAAGGCTATGAATGCTGAAGGATGACAGAGAGCGACATCACCAAGCTGTCAGTCTTCCACATAAAGAGCCTCAAGAGAATCCTGCAAATCTTTTGACTTTTGCCGTTTACAGCAAACACACCAACTTTATCAGAATAACCGTCATTTAAACAGCGTAAACCGCTAGGGTCTACTAAATCTGCGAAAGAAAAAAATCATGTCTTACCTCTTGCTGTAAGTCGAAGTGGTGTGACAGAGAAACAGAAGGTCCTCTCGGGGGTGCTGACGTTGCCGCTGGATCCGTTTGAGAGACCGCGAACTTCTGACCATTCTTGTTGGGATCAAAGTAATGCAGAAGCGCTTTTTCATGGATTGGCCTGTGTTTCTGGTTCCAAGAGAAGATGAAACTCTTTCTCCCATCGACGAGTTCATTACGAAACTGAGGAGATATATTATCCTTTGCCCACTGGGAGAGGAAAAACTGATCTTCTTCACTCTTACTTTTGTAATTTTTGTCCCCACTGATGACGATCAAAACTTTTTCACCTCGAAAAACAAAACAAAACAAAGACAAAATTACATGTGAGTTCGGGGTGAGTTAATTTAGAAATGGATACGAAGGTCAACTCTCCATTATAAAGATGGCGGTCATTTGCGTTTTGTACAGTTTTCAATTTCATCTTTCTCTTATGCCAGGCTGAACTTTTGATGTCGTTCCCGATCTCACTATTTATACCATAATTGCAGTGATTTCTTAACTTTAAGACGACAAAGAATAAAGGCAATGACACTTTATTTGACCCATACATTATCAGTTCGTTGTTTATGGGTATAGTGACACGATAGCCACGGCCATTACTATATTATGTTTGCTGAAAAGAAAAAAGAGAAAAAATAATAGTACAGTATGGCTCTATTAATTAATAAATGCTCTTTGGAGAGTATTCTGTAGTCCGTAGTCCTCAGTCTACGGCGTGTTGATCATTGTCGTAACGATTCTTAAATGGAAACGCGGACATGAGAACATATCTCAAATAAAAGGCGCCAATGTCCTCATTGATTCGAGGACTTAAGGAATAGACCCGTAGATACTGTAGTTTGGCCTCGACATGCTGATTATTATGATAAGTCATTTAACGAAAAACGAATGGTCAAAATTTTGGAATCTTCTTGACAATTAAGCCTCTTATATTTTATGTCAAACTGATAAACAAAGCGGGAAACTTCCCTCACATATGGATTAAATACTGCAATGAGGTTAGAACTATGAAGTGTTATTACTGTTGCGTCAGCCTCAATCTTACCTGAGCCAGTTCGTTCCTTCAGAGCCCCATAAATCTTTCCGTAGCCACTATCATCGCTAAAGGAGAGGCAGGCCTCAGCTGCATGAACAACGAACACAGCGTAATCCATTTTCCCTAAGTTTGAAATCTTTGACACAAAGATTTCCTCGATTTGTTCTCGCCTAAACTCATGTGTCTTGATATGTAAAATCTTGAAGGGAATCTTGCCTTTAACGGCTTTGAGCAAAGCTTCCACCTCACTTAACTTACACAAGTTATCGCAGTTGAAGAGGTGAAAGCTCCTTGGCGTATTACTCGCCATGTTTGCTGCTTTCGGTTTTAAGCGGAAGTCCTTGTTTCCGAGAAAAAACAAACCGTCACGCAACAAGGTGATTGGCGACGTGAAATAAACTGAAGAGTATTTTGTGAATACTTCCCACTTGTGCACATAATAAATTACATTGATGAAATTTATGACAAATATATGAGGCGAAATGAAGCGATCTGCTTACTTTTGTTTTATTTCGTCGTATTAGAGGCCATCAGTCTCTTAGACCAGTCTTGGCAAAACCATGCCGCAGTTTTTATTTTAAGTTTTTTGGTTGAACTGCTGACTATACCTTAGGGGAATAAAACTTGCATTTACCCAACAACACCAGGCATTGTTATCGCCCGGCGCATTTTCTAACCTGTGGTTATTACGAGTCAAACAATTTTTAGGAGTAGGAGTGCTTTGTAACACAAGTGCAATTCGAACACAGCCCAGGCTAAGACCAACGCATTGTTCAAGCTAACGTTACAGTTAATGTTGATGATAAAAATAGGAAAAGAGCTGCTTCTTGAATTCACATAGCGATGCACAGATTTGTAAGGGTAACCGTTGGAAACATCGCTGGCCTATCCTCAGAACAAAGATAGGACAATTAACGAAGGGTAATTGCGTCCACCTCAGTTTTGTTTTATGCGAGCTCCTACTTCTAACAATTTCTAATCTTCCTACGAAATGCCCTTTTTGTATGGAGTTCTATCCCCGCCAAAAATCAACTTTACCACTCAACATCGAACTTAAGCTTTCAACAGCACACTTTTATACCCTGCATCCAACAATGTAATTTCAACATCTATATTGGCGATGGTGTCGACAGTTTGGTAAGATGAACATCCAACTAAAAATACGATATGTCGATATGTATACTTCAACTTCTAACATTTCAACGCAATGTCAAAATGTAAGATTGGACTGTCGAGCTCATTTCCGGATCATTTATGTTGGTAATCAAACTCAATACCGTAGCGGTAAAGTTAGATTCGTTACACTCGACATTGTTCCGAATTGTCCACTTTGTCACACAATGTTGATAGATGGATGCGATAAAATCAACATTGCGACAAAAAGTCGACTTCGTAATGCACAACGTGTAAGAGCCGCCAGAGAGATCAAATATCAAATTACGCTGCATCAGGTTATCTGAGTCGAATTTGTAGGCTTGTTTGTCAAAATAACCCAGCTATAGAGTGTCCTGCGGGGTATCCGTGACCTTTTTGTAAGAATTGAAAGATTGAACAATCCATGCAAAATCGGATCAGTAGTTCTAAAGTTAGACTACATCAACAGGATGCTGTTAAATCTCGATGTGGCGGACGACATTGTGAATACAATGAGTTGCTTGCACGAGACTGTCCTGGCGATCGAGGCAGAAGGCAACCCTTCAGTTGGCCAAGGATATCAGGCGCAATTAAATCATACTGGACGTTGAGGGCGATCCTCGTTTGATATAACAAGGGAAAAGTTATCGTTTTTATTGGAGCAAGGCTTCAAAGTGAAAGAATGCAGTAATTTGTTGGGAGTTGGACAATGAAATATCGAAAGGAGGATGTCCTCGTTCGGTCTAAGTGTCTCTGGTGAGAGATATTCTGTTCTGTTTTATGGTTTTGATTGTATATTGCATGGAAATATATTTTTATTAATGTAACCATGTCTTATGACGCTACATGTTCATTAACAGTAAAGGTACTTTATATGCATGACTTCACAACCCAGTTTTAACAATCTCGTTCTCAGACTCGACCGAGAATTCCTGTTACCTTTGTCCAGCAGACAAAGATAAATGAGTACAGTAGCCTGTTTCTGTCACTGTAACGGACTTTGAGGATCAGATTGTAGATTTATAGCCCCTCCCCAGAGAGCGTGCTTCCCAGGCTATAGCTACATGCTTCATTGCAGGCTTATCAACTTTATCCATCTTATATCATTACAGAAGTATTGACAAGTATATAAGCCTCCTCACAAACTTTCTTTTGGCTATCACACTAGTCTAGTGTGTCAGGAGGCTGTACCTCTTGATACTCCAGTAATCACTTATGACACCCAATTGATAAATGGTATAAATAGTATAAATAGTATAATATTATGATTATAGTTTTATAATTATTAGTCCCATCAAAACAACGAATAATCAAAATTGTGAGTCAGTTTGGGTTAACTTTTCCTATCCTGTTTCTGCACTGAAGAACCTATGAACAACATCTAATTCAATGGCCTAGGAGGTAATCTTTCTGTAGAGGACTATATCCCACCTCATTCCTGCTTGTTACTTATTAGCACACCGGATTTTATTTTGTTCTGTTAGGTATGTTTAGTCAGATTAGTGGATGAGAACTGGATGATTTTGTGACATCTGCACAACAATCTCACCCAAATATTGTTATTAGAATAGTGAAAGGATTACTGCAAAGTAAAGGACATTGTGTGCAGCAGGAGAGAATCAGGCAGTCTCTTTTGAGGGCTGATCCCATTAGAGTAATGCAGCATTGGAGTGTTGCAGTCAGAAGAAGACAGTACAATGTCCAATCTCCCCTCGTTCTTTGGCATATTGATGGCCACCAGAAATTAATAAGGTAAATAACTGAATTATCTTCTGGCATGACCAATGGATCATAGAAAAATCATCAAATTAATGAATAATAATTTTATGAATTGAATATAATTAAGTGATTGATATTGATTTTTATTAGTATTTTGAATGAAAATTGATACTTGCAAAACAAGCATCCTCGATTATCAGAATTCTTGAGTGGCAATTTTTTTGCATTTGAGCATGCTTGAGGTGACATGGTGGACTAAAGTCCTGTAATAATTTTATTTTTTAAACTCTCCACAACCTTACATTTTCTAAATGTTAACAAGTGGTGAATAGTTTTGCATGATTGTGGAATTGGTAGATATTCCAGAATTCCTGTGTATCTATGTGCATCAGATAACAACAAGGCAGAAACTGTTCTTGGTTTGTTCTTTGATGCAGTTGGTGAATATGGGTTACCATCATGTGTACGATCAGATAAGGGTGGAGAGAATGTAGACATTTCATGGTAAATGCTGACACATCCACAAAGAGGTCCTGGAAGAGGGAGTATGATAAAAGGCAATAAAGAAGGATTCTGAAATTGATTAAGGGATTTCACACCTTTTGTGTATATTATGAATATGTTTTAATAATGTTTATATTTTAATAGGGAAAAGCACACACAATAAATGCATCGAGGGGATGTGTTTGCTGGCTGCATAAGTTTGTTCTACAATTTGTTTTATGAGTTAGTTAATGATGACATTCATCTGTGGTGCCTGCATTACACATTCTTACCAGTTATTATTTTTCAGACAAACTGGAAGAATGCATGGGTTCATCATCGTTTAAGATGTGAGAGAAATTCCACTCTCATGCAGTTGTGGATCAGGGGACTCAATAGCATTTGGGGAAGCGACTCAACTACTGATAGAGAGGTCTTTCAGGTGAATGTACGTACATGTAGATGTATTTGGTGTAATTTTACCACATCAAGCAATTATTGTGAAATAGATCTGAAAAACTAAGTTGGAGTGGACTAATGAACGTACTGTACTGCACTGTAATGTACTTAAATGTAGTTATCCCACATAAAAAAAGTCTACATAATACTCATGGGTAGACATATCCTTTCTTCTATAAAAATTAAGCATACATATTAGCCGTTGATATATGATGTACTTTTATCTGCAAAATGATTTTTCTGGTTATGGCATTGATTGGGGTGGATCAGTACCATCACCAACCAATGAAGATGTTGACTTACCTGAAACCTGATCTCTCATTGACCCAGAAAGAATGCAATCTTTATCAAGATTTTATCTGCCACAAGGTGCATCAATCAATCATGTCATCAACTTATTTATATGTATTGTTGAACACATTAATGAGCTGTTGACTCTTCAGCTTCCCATGTAGAAACACAGAATATTGATAATATAAAATTCTTATTATAGTAACAACAAGTACAACATCTGTCATAGTTCATGGACAACCTTTGATATTTATGGTTTATGCAAGTATTTGTAAGCATTTAATTAATCTTTTTTTTCTTTTTTAAACCTTTGCTTTTATTACAAAACACAATTCTACAAAACATTACTTACAATGCAAGACTCATTAAGCTACTCTACTTACAGAACAATGCTTAATGCTACCAATACAGTACTGAATATGGTTACTTACAAAAAATATAATTACTTGCAATACAGGCTACTTCCTCTACTAATAATACTTATATTACTAATATTACTTCTGAATATACAGCTACTTACAATACATTATATGGTATATTGACTTTGAGGAGGCAGGAGTACTTCTCAATAACACATATAATTAAGACAAATTTTCAAGATTGTATATAATGAGTAGCTTACTGATAAAATCCTGAAAGGAGATGGCCAGGCTATTTAACTTGGTTGAATAAATATAATGGCGCATAAACAAGGCAGTGTAGTTGAATATCTGTATTATTGTTGTGTTGTGGGAGCTTGCAGTAATACCGAACAAGGTCTCCTCTGTGGTAGGAGAGATTTGGCAGGCATTCACTTGGTTGAAAAAGTTCAAGACCTTTTGGGTAAACAATCTGGTAAACATACATTCAATAAAAAATTGCTAATTCTCACAAAATACCATAGTAGTATTTATTTATTAATTAACTGAATGGAAGCCTTGTAGTAGCTTGTATAAGGTATTCAGTTAGAGGCAAATAAAAAGTTAATTATTGCAAATGCTCACTTTGGGAATCACAATTTTCTTTTATTTTTCCAACTGCCTAATATTGGCGTGCACAAGTTGGGAGTTGACTGGTAACACAATAAATGACTGTTTCATTATATGAACTGCAACAAAAGTTAGTAATAATCAACTAAATATTTCTAAAACATTAAATATTATCAATATTATATTTAGATTGAAGTACTAAATGCATTCTAACAATTTAAATAACCAAATTTAAGGCTCACTCAACAATCTGGCTAGCACTTGCTGATTATTGACTGTTAAGAAAAGTCAGAAAACAATGGGTTTAAAAACTTCCAACAAGTTCCAGGGGCACCCAACAGAGGTATTCTGCCTAATATGTGTTCCGTAAGGGGTTTCTTGCCTGGTGGGAAAGTTGAAAGATGAGCTGATATATTTTCTGGGAAATTTCGAAAATATTTATCCTGAGAACAGTGCACTTACTGTTCAATAATAACAACAATAATAATAATGATAATGATAATGATAATAATAATAATACTTCATGTATATAGCACCATGTCCAGCAATGTCCAATAGCACTTTACAAAAATTTTTAAAATGTTACAGATATCACAAGTGTTTACATATCTTCATTTATTTGTCCTCGTCCACATGTAAGGTTCAGTTGGCGACATGCTTTGGATAGTGTTTTTTCTATAACTCCCCAAATGAAGGGGTAAATTTGAACCTCTGGCCACACCCATCTTGTTTTTTTGTGTGCAAGTCTTTGGGTTTCTTTCCTGCTAGCTGGGGAATTTTTCAAGACCTAGCTGGGAAACAGAACTTCACTCATGTTTATTCTGGGAATGCAGAACATATCATTTTACCAGAAACTGAAATGAATGGTTGGAAGTATTTATTCTTTGTTTTCTTTGTAGCCAATATTTTTCCTGCCAGCTGGATGCCGCTGAAGTTTTACTACATTATTATTGATTTATATATTTTTGTTATGACAGCCTCAGATCTTTCATACTGACATTCTGTAACAGCTAGTGCAATGGTTATTATTAAAAAAAACACCGAGTGTTTCACTTCTCTTAACATTGCCATGGCAACAAAGAATTGTCTGTCAATAACATTCATAAAATGCTACACCGATTTGTACTTTAAGTTAGTGGTCAAAATCATTCATGTAGCTGTGACAGAATGTCATATATGGAAAAGCTCCACTTTATGTGAAGCTAAACCCTAGGGCACCATACTTGAGAGCCATGTCACAGTATTTCGTAAATTCTTCAAAACAATGATAGTTTGTTGGAATAGTATGACTCAGGAAACATGTTTCTGCTGTTAGAAAGTCGGTGTTTGCGTCAAATTTGACTAACAGGACGTCCCTTGCGGGCAGGATGTTAGTTCCTGTCCAGAAACTTCGCAGATCGATGAGTCCTGCTCCATCTGAAAAGAAAAATCAGTAAGAAACTACTCATTTTTCTTTGACCAGAAAGGCAATCTAGTGCTTAACTTTCCAAGAAAGTGGGATGAGGAGGGTTGTTTCTAGGTCGTTACTACATTTTTTTAAAAAATTGTTATTGTTTTCATACAAATGGTGAGTTCTCATACTGAGGAGATGAAAGTTGTCAAGATGGTTTACGTAATTTTTTACACCTTCATCATTGACATCAACGAACCTTCTTTTCTTGATTCTATTAGGGTGATGTAATCTGTGAAGAAGTCTGCTGCCCTCGAATTGTTATAGGTAGCATCTTTTTCCTCGAAAGTAATCTTCCCTTTGAACTCATCTCCTCATATCATTCAATCTTTTTCTTCTGGAAAAATGACATCCAGAAGACAGGGCCGGCCACTTAACCAGGGCAGTGTGTGGACCAACCTCCTCCATTCCTAATAAGTCAAAACACAAGGCTTCGTTGAGATGTCTAGTTGTCCATAGTTGGTAATGATCAGTTTTTCAAGGTAATGTTATTCTCCTAACTTTGGCAATGTCATCTAGTTCAAGCCTACGCTTAAGGGTGATGTTGTAGAGCATGAGTCCCTAGGTTATTTGTCCCGGTTCTTCAATCAGCCTATCGATATCAAGGTCAGCTTCACTTAAGTAAGGTTCAATTTTTTGCCTTAGCTCCATTGTTGGATGGCCATCTTTCCACAAAGCATCAACTTGAAAGTGAAAAAGAGACCTGTTTTTGTAGGTGGTTAGGGACAGGGTAACTCTCCTTCGGTGAAAATACTACTAAATTTAAACTAAAGTGAGAAATACAATAGAGACGGTTAACTTAGGCCCCTTTTAAGGGGGTGACCCTTCTAGGAGGGTCACCCTCTATTGATTTAAACAGGGCTTTAATCTCTAAATGAAAGACAATGCCACACCTATAATTTCTCTTTAATTATTGATCATCATTTATCTCATTTTTAAAAACAAATTTTGGAATCTTCTTGACAATGAAGCCTCTAATGTTTTGTGTCAAACTGATCAACAAAGCGGGAAACTTCATGCAGATATGGATTAAACACTTCAACGGGGTTAGGACTATCAAGAAGTGTTTCTTTCCAGTTGTGTCAGCTTCAGTCCTACCTCAGCCAGTTCGCTTCTTCAAAGCCTCATAAATCTTTCCGTAGCCACTATCATCGCTAAAGGAGAGGCAGGCCTCAGCTGCATGAACAACGAACACAGCGTAATCTACTGTCTTTAAGTTTGGAACCGTTAGGAAAACGATTTCCTCGATTTGTTCTCGCCTAAACTCGTGTCTCTTGAGTTGTAAAATCTTGAAGGGAACCTTCCCTTTAACGGCTTTGAGCAAAGCTTCCACCTCACTTAACTTACACAAGTTAGCGCAATTGAAGAGGTGAAAGCTTCTTGGCGTATTACTCGCCATGTTTGTTGCTTTTGGTTGTAAGCGGATGTCCTTGTTTCCGAGAAAAAAACAAACTGTTACGCAACAAGGTGATTGGCGACGCGGAATGAACTGAAGTCTATTTTGTGAATACTGCCCACTTGCGCACGTAATAAATTCCATTAATAAAATTTATGACAAATATATATATGCGGCGAAATGAAGCAATCTGCTTACTTTTGTTTTTTTTCGTCATATCTCATTAAATAATTTTTATTACACTTTTTGTCATCTAATAGAGGTTTATGATATTCTGATGACTAGACGATTAGGGGCAATCAGTCTCTCAGTCATAGCAAAGCCACATCGCATTTTTGTCTAGTTTTTTGGTTGAACTGCTGACTATACCTTGGGGAAATAAAACTTTTATTTACATAACAACTCCAGGGATCGATATCATCCGCACTTCCTAACCTGTGCTTATTACTAGTCAAATAATATTTAAAAATAGGAGTGCTTTGTAGCACAAGTACAAGTCGAACATAGCCCAGGCTAAGACCAACGCATTCTTGGAGGATGTACATGCTAACGTTACAGTTAATGTTGATGATTGAAATAGGAAAAGAGCTACCTCTAGAATTTCCTTTGGAATTCACATAGCGATGCACAGATTTGTAAAGGTGACAGTCGAAAACATCGCTGGCCTATCCTCAGAACAAAGCAATAAACGAAGGGAAGTTGTGTTCACCTCAGTTTTGTTTTATGAGAACTCCTGTTTCTACTAATTTCTAATCTCCCTACGAAATTGAACACCATGCCTTCTTTGGTGTGACAACGACATTGTGAATTTCTCCACCTTTGTTACCAAACACCTTCAATTTGGCAAATGGTGTTGACTTCCATTTTTGTTCCAAATCTTTTGCATCTTCTTCAGATGGTTGCCAGCTTTCTACCCGGGTCACCACGTCTTTGCTTTCAAACGAAATTTTTCCATAACGCATGCGTGTTTCGAGCAGTAAAAATCCAGATTGTTCGTGATCGGTGCTGAAGTGTGAATCGGAAACTGGAAAAAAAGTAACATGAAAATGCATTTAGTAGCTGGTGACATGTAATGTTTCGGTATCTTGCAAATATGTTTACACAGTGGGTATGTTATCAATGGTCACCCAATAGCCCAAAATGACTTAGCTATCCAGGTGATGACGGGAGAGAACACTTGCTTAGAAGATGTTTTTTGGGGATGGTGCCATTGGTCCTACCTATTTTCAGTATGCTTACAAATGTTTTAATAGTTTCCAAAACTTGTGGTTGTCATTGGATGATTGAATCCTGCATGGTGTTCACCACAGTCATCATCCTCCAGTTACCTTTTGATTTGTTATGAGTTAAGGGACCTTTTAATGGCATCTCATGTACGTAAGTGGGTTATATGAATGCACAACAAAGCTGTAATCGTAGTTCCTCGAGACCCAAATTAAGAAGGACCGACGCAAGGGTTTTGAGAAAGGACACAGCTCAGCCAAGCTTAACCCTTTAACTCCCGAGAACTGAATGTTAATTCTCCCCTCTGGTTGCTAGACATTTCCTCGTATATAAGTTACGAGAATTTCGTGTTAGATCAAGATAACAAATTCTATCTGATGCATTTGAGTTTTCTCATTACCTGTTTGCTAGATAGTGCATGGATATTGTAGGGAGAAGTTACTGGTTGATCACTTCTGGGAGTTAAAAGGTTAAACGCGCAAGGGACATCTGGCTTCTGTTTCCTGGGGTCAATACCCATGTCATAGTATTACTACTGTTTTTTATACCTGGAAGAACACATGGTTCATTCTCTTCTTCAATTTTCTCCTCTGTCTGTTGTTCATCAAGAGAGTTTTCGGTATCAGAAGGTCCTTGTTGAGAGATCTCAAGTGACTGAGTGGTTTATACAGAAAAGCAAAAAATAAAACGAACACTTACTCAGGGTCTGAATCAATATTTGTGGCTCTGTCTTAAACTTTATCGTAAAATGAAGCTTATTTGTTTATGCAAGGATTTACATTGGTTTGATTTGAGGACTTATAAATCCTTTAAACCCTTAGAGAGACTAGTATCTTATTTCTCCGTACAATATCACCCCTGAATCAAACAGTAAGGTCATGAAAATAAAGTAAATGATCACTAGTGAAATAACTTTTTGATTGGCAAACAAATTCTCCTTGTCAGCACCTTAGGAAATGTATAAAGAACAGTGTGAAGAATTTGCATACTGATGTTATGGTGTAAAGGGTTAACTAGCTTATCAAACAGTACAATCATGCATGTCCAGATCAAAAAAGCAACAAAAACATCAACAGTAGCTATAACTGTCTATCCAATTTTACCTCGCCATGAATTCAAAGATTGCTAAAAATATTATTTTGAGTTACTTAATGGGGCTCGAAGTCCCCTCAAGAGAGTATAGCAACAACAAAAAAACGTTCCAATGAACAGTTTAGTGACATAAAAAATTGATTCAAGCAAGCTTGGTGCAACAGCAAAGGTCATCGAACATTTTAGCAAACAATGCAAACCATAGGCCTCGCTTGAGTTTTTCTCAAAGTTTATAATCATGACGCTGTCCATGACAGAAATATCGGATAAAGATGTCGTACTTCAGTTCCTGCTGTGAATATCCCTAAATAAAATCCTCCCTCCCCTTCAGCGTTATCTTTAAAGGGGAGGGGGTTGGATCCTACGTCTGATCAAAGGAGGCACTGTAACATTTTTCCTCCTAAGGAACAGCCTTTTGGTCGCAAATAAATCGAGAAAGATGGTAAATTTACAGTTTGCTTATCAACTTAAGGACGACGTTACGCTCTGTGACGGGTATAAAAGGAAACTAGCCTCAAAACGTCAGACTTCCCGCCCTGGTGCTCTACCACAAAGCTATAGGAAAGATTAGCCCAGATCTACCATGCGATGATCAGTGAAATCGCGGCTACATAGTCCCTTAGCTCACTGGACCGCATTAGACCTGGGAATACGTAAATCGATAATTGGACATGTCATAATCACCTGACTCTGTGTGGCTACTGGGGATGTTACCCAATTTTCTTCAGGTCTGGGTTCAATTCTAACGGACTCTGCTACCAATTGACTCGTAAACTTCTGTCCCTTTTTGGTGGAATCAAAGTAATGCATTAGTGCTTCTTCGTGAATAGCTCTGTGTTTCCTGTTCCACGAAAATATAAAGCTTTTTCTACCATCAATGAATTGTGGACGAAGTTGGCGGGATAATGCTGTGTTCCTGGCCCGACGAGAAAGCATGGAACGGTTTTCTTCGTCATCGTCTCTGTAATTGTCATCCCTTCCTATGACAATCAATACTTTTTCATCTTGAAATGAAAAAAAAAGAGGGATATAATAATGTATGATACATGATGCAATAAAGCTGTAGATGTATTGGGAGTTCCGTCACATCCGTCAGAAAAAAGGCCGCTAATTAGTGATCATATAAAAGGACCTCTTGTTGCAGCGTTTAGATCACCCCTGATGAAGGCACTAGACAGGAGTGTCGAAACGTTGGGTCTATGAATTGTAACTTCTTCGGTTACATTCATTAAATCTGCAAACCAGTGTAGTATCAAACTATGTCCATATGCGAATTGGGTAAAGTGATATTATTTGAGATAAAATTAGAGTCTTTAGGAGCCCTATCTCTAAAAGAAGTCTCTTTTATCTTATATATTGCACCACTTTGGCGACAACCTTTCGCGCAGGTCGAGAAACTCACTCTTTCATTTTTCCCCATATATCGAGTCACTTTTCTATTTTTAAAATTTTAAGATAATCAGTACTGATTTCTATTCATTGGTTGTACAGAACATCTATGTTTTTGAGCGTAGTAAAATATTTCTGACTATCTTGGACAGGAAGAATTACCCGGCAAAGGTTCTTAGAAACAACACACGACGAATAACTTGACGAATTAGGAATCCCGCACTCCATGACTTTGTTCAAGGTAAATTTGTAACCTACCAGAGCCTGTTCGCTTCTTGAGAGCCTCATAAATCTTTCCATGACCACTGTCTTCGCTGAAAGAGAGGCAGCATTCACCGGCATGCACAACAAACACTGCATAATCCATCTTCAAGTTGGGGATAGTTTCGTTGACCATATCCGAGATTTGTCCGCCGCTGAAGTAGCCTTTTACGATCTTAAAAGAAGTTTTCACTACAAGCTTCTTTTCGACAGCTTTCAAAAGCTCTTCCACCTCGTTTAAATCACATAAATTGTCGCAATTACAAAGATAAATGTATGTCTCCTTCGTGGGCGCCATATTTAGCGTTAATAGTTCGATTGTTTTCAGTTTTCAAGAAGAGCTGTTTCTTAGAAATAGCGTCTCTGTCACGCAACGAGACATTTGGTATGGAAAATAACGCAATTTCTCTTCTCTGCCAAAGAAATAAGGATGGAATTCATATTCTGTTCTCAGTTACTGACAATGATTCTGAAATGGTTTGGGGTAGAGAGTTCGACTAAACTGCAAAGGGAATGAAATATATGAAGCATTTTTCACGTCCTCAAGAGAGAACATTTTCTTTAAGCTGTTCCTATTGTTTTGCTACCATTTTGTCTTAAGAGCCCTGCCGAACATTTTACTACCCTATTCCTTTAAACAACGGAAGTCAGAGCAGATTGCACAGCTGCATATTAGTACCAATCTTCAAGGAGCTAAACCAAGGTTTGTTGATCCTCAAAACGTTTATTACCTAAGTATTGTCTTGGTTGATCTTTCGAAATATGCCCATTTTGCTGTTTTGAACATTAGATGAACCTCCCTTCAGTTTCTCCTATTTTGGTGTTTTTCTATCCAAAATGACTTTTTTGTAGTTTCCGTCAGTCAACAACGTCAAAGATTATTTTTCATGTCACACAAAACGGGTGAATTTATTGTGCATAACGTAACTCTTTTAAGTTATCACTAGTTCGTCGATGAAACTGTCTAAAAGAGCACATTCCACAAAGAATCATGTCAGCTTGAGTGAATCAAATGTAGATAAACATCAAGAAAACGGGATGGAAAATGGAAAGGTTCCAATAATGACGGAGGTCATTACACTCTGATGATGTACTACCTTTCTGTTTCCTTTTATTTTCGAAAATTCATCATCCGGAATCTGATCATTACTTCTGTCCAAGCTGGCTGTAGTATCAACGAAAGTCTTTTAATAGTACTAATCTCAGGTAAAAGATCAACTCCTACCTTCAAACCATTTATTGTATTAGGTCTCATGTGTCAGTCTAGTCCTCTAGTAAAAAAATAATCCTCTTATCGCTTTATGCATAGCCTAGGCCTGCAATTGACGATAATCTGGTGGAACTTTACTGATGAAACAGAGGTGAGAATGACAACGGTATTTTTTCAGAAAAAGTCAGATTCCTCTGACCAGTCCCAAAAATTTATACATTTCTTTGAGCATCATTATATATTGTACATGCTTAAGTCACTTTTTACTCTCTGTTTGGTTGTTTAGCCATAGAAAAAAGCAAACTCGCGGCCGCAGTGCTCTGATACAACGACTTATCCCCCAGAAACCACAGATGAAAAATATGCAATAAAGATACGGCTTAAGAGAATACCAAAACCTGCTCCAAACAGGCGTCACGTCCTTAACAACGCATCTAACTGCTGCATTTCCATCACTAATAAACCTAACTGTAGCCTTCGGTGTCTGCTTATGGCGTTCCATGACGTCTGATTCGTGTTGGGTCGAAGGCCGCCAACTTTTCTTCCACTGCACAACGTCCAGAGGCTGATAAGAAATCTTTCCATAACGCATGCAAGTTTCCAAGAGCACCATTCCAGCTGGGTAGTCACAGGTAGCTTTATCTGGTTCTGTGATAAAAATTAAGAAAGTAAAAAAAAAGGAAAAAAAAGAAAACAAGAGACATTGATTTTGCGACGCAAAGCTCTGTTGCGTTTTAGAGAGACAGAAGAGTTGTGCCATTTGCGATAACAGCTACCCCACAGACTAAAACACTCTAGAAAGAATTCTTGAGTTGAGGATGAGAATCCTGTTTTCGATCCTTACCTTTCCCACCAGATACTTCATTTTGACTTGTCCCTTTCTGATCATTTTGTCCATAGGATCCATTTCCTTCATCATGCTCAGGCTTTTTCGGAGAATCTTCTCTCTGGGGTGCGAATGAACACGTTATTCTATAATTTCCTTTTATTTTCTAAATATTATTCAAAGGAAAGGGATGAAGAGTTTTAATTACGAAGACAAAAAATTATGATTTCCTTCCCGGAATCAATGTTTCACACAGCCTGTTTTCCCCCAAACTAGAAAATGGTTTTGGAGAGGAGGTAAAGCAAAAAGGAAAAAGGAAAGTGAAGGAAAAGAGAAACATTCACAGCTTTACTTTCAAGAAAAATAAATATGCAATACTTCTCTCTCAACATTTGTCACTGAAGCCGAAGTAACAGGTTCTGATGTTGGTACATATTCAAACTTCTGCCCACTCTTGGTGGTATCCAAAAAATGCAACAGTGCTTCCACGTGAATTGCTCGGTGTCTATCGCTCCATGAGAAAATGAAGCTTTTCCTGCCATCAAGATACTCCTCATGGAACTGTGAAGCTACTTTTCTACGCGCCCAACGTGAGATCACAAACTTGGCTTTTTCTTCTTCATCTTTGTAGTTGTCATCGCCACCAATGACTATTAAGACTTTATCCCCTAATTATGAATTTCAGACTTTTTTGGACAACTGATAGTAATAAATACAGAATTCTAACAACTATTTGTTTGACTTTAAAATTGACCGTTATGAAAATTGACCGTTATGAAATGGAAATTTGCCAACTTAATATGATTGATATCAACTCTTGTAAATAATATGCTGTAATTATTCAACAAGATATTCGCATCTAAAACACTGTTTGATTTTTACGGCATGTGCGAGCGTAACGCATTTTTATTCTATTGTTTTGAAAAAGATAGCAAATATCCTTTGATTCCTTGTCTTTAAAAGCGACTCATAGGATGACATTCTTTAGTGCGACAAACTTCCGTTTGCTCTTGCGTGACATGTACATGGAATACAAATATCATGTGACCAATGGCCGATTTAATAAAAGCGAAAGTTGGTTTGTTATTGTCTTTCAGCAATGTTCGAAAATCTAGTTGTTGTCCCACCCGAATAAAATTCATCTCTTTGCAACTTTCAAAAACATAATCTGTAATGAATTATCAATTTTTTAGCGTCAGATGAATATTCTACTCCAAAGAAACTGTTTTCTTGTTGAACTCACCAGTGGCGCCTAACAAAGCCCTGTAAATCTTCGCGTAACCAATTCCGGCGTTGTCCTCGTTGATCGACAAACGAGATTCATGTGCATGAACCACAAAAACCGCAAAATCCATTTGTAAACGAGGAATAGTGGTTTTACAAAGTTCCCCCATTTGATTCAGACGAAAATGTAACTTTTCAACCTTGAAATTGCATTTACCGTTCACTTCGAGTAAAAGCGTTTCCACTGAATCCAGTATAAACGTTTTATCGCAGTTAAAAAGATAAACGGTTTGAGTCGTGCTTTTCGCCATGATGTGATTCAGTCAGCTTTTTCTGACCAAACACGTCCTTTTCGATCACTGTGTACGCTTGTTCCTTTGCTCGCGATTTGCTCTTACTGTGTAATTCAGGGAATTAAGTTGCAACGGCTCGTTACAACTTTTCCGAGAATGCTTCTGCGTGACAGTCACGCAACTTACTTTACTGTTCTCAATGCAAGAAAATTCTGACCGCGCTAGAATAACAAGACATTTGACGAAAATCGGGATAACAAGAAGAAAAAAGATTAATAAATAAATAGAGATATATGAATAGTATTAGGTTAATTCGTATATGAATCTGTAAATAAAGAAAAACTTCATCAAAGAGAACAGTTCTCTCAGCTCCCTCAGTTGTCTTCTCAATCATTCACTTGTGACCAAATAGGAACTCATTTTATGAACCGCAATTTAGAACGGCGCGTCCGTTTTCAAACTGAACATACGCAGTAAAGAACAGGGATAAAATATAGCGGTTTTTCTCTTCTGTAGGTGATGATTACCTAAATTAGAATTTGTTTTTGGCAAAAATTATATTTATAACTGTAGGAACTACAAAATAGAGCCGAGTAATTTGATTTTATGGCCACACAGCTTATAGAAAGCTTTTCATAGCTACCAAGACCAGAATCCAATAAGGAGAGGAAAAATGGACTTTTAATGAGTTATTTTTTTTCTACTTGAGATTTACATAAATTGCTCATGCAAAAACATTCTCTTGCGACTTTTAAGTTTCCGTCAGGAAATTGACTTCTGAAGTGTTGTTCAACACTTTTTTGATTGTTTCTGTATTCAAATATAATGTAAGTATACATTTTCCGATCAAAAAGTGACGTCAAATGAAATGGGATTTCGTAACTTTTTCTTCTTGAAGGACTTTGCTCAGCTTCGTCATGTTTAGTGAATCACACGTAGTTCCTAATTCATTTTTTTGAGCTATAGAAAAAAAATCGTGCTCTTTATAATAGAGCAAAGTAACTGCAAAGTAAATAAGCAAAAGAAACTTTCAGCACTCTTGAAAACAAGACCTCGGTTTAAGATTGTAAGTTATTTTGTCTCTCTGATTTTCGTCTCTCAGTTCTGATGGCTTTTCATTGCTAGCCTGTAATCTGACAACGCGCGAGACATGACTGACTCGAGCTCTTTGACGACAGTGCGAACGCCTCCCGAACTCTCTTCACAATAGATCTCTACTTCTGCCCGAGGAACACGACTGTATTTCTCGAGAAAATCAGAGACCAAGTGCTCCGGTGGCTTATAGCCCTCTTTCATTTCTACCACATCCCCTTTTGCGAATGAGATCCTACCAAAGCGAATAGACGTCTTCAACACTAGCATTTCGTTAAGGACTCCGTCACACTTGCGAGGGCGTCCTCTCCACCAAAGGACAATGCCTTTCTCGCCAAGCAGCAACTCCACTTTTTCAGTTACCTGGACTTCTTCGCTCTGTGATAGTGGCAACGTCTCCGCAATTATGTCTGAGTGCATTATTACGACTACCACTCTGTCTGGATGTAGAAATGGTAAAAATACGTCAGAAAGAAACCTGCTGTTATAACATTCAATAAACGTAACTTTACTCGAAATTATCACTCTTCAATATTCCCGTATCTTTTAAGAAAATAGATTTTAAATGTTTCGTCGAACTAAATTCATAGTTAAAATTACACAAAATGGTATTGCAAAGTAGATTTTATTTAAACAGGGCCCACTAGTGACCTGATGAAGATATTGTTTATCATTAGCTAAGACGAAAAATTGATCATCCGGCCATCATCGTCGGCTATCAAACTGAAATCGAACTAAAACCCTCCCTTAAAAAAATCAGGATTGAGTTTAATTGGGTATTTAGTAGACCACAGCCAGCAGCTACATCTTTAGTTTATAAAATTGAGCCTTTGACAGAGGCCCAACTATTGGGTATTAACTCTACCATAGCAGGAGGGTCTCAATAGGGTTAACCGTTTTAAAATGGCCATTAGGCGTAAAAATCAACAAATTTTACCGTTAGTCGTAACAAACATTAACCGTGAAAATTTTCCTGTGACCACTTAGAAAGATGTTAACCGTTAGCCGTAAATTGGTCAAGATTTTAACCGATAGCCATTTTGACCCTATAGTGGGTCAGACCGTGTCCTCAAACACTAAGTTTACATTTTCTGTGACTTTTCTTACCAGCTGCTTTTTGAACAGTCCTCAACAGTTCTCCAAAGTCAGATCTCTTCCAGATTTCTTCGTTTGACAATGCAATCTGTTTTAAAGCACTCGCCTGTAGCCCAATGGCACATAACGACACAGAGGTACCCTCCTGCAGATGAGATTTCAGCTCTTTGGGGCTGCCAACATGTATGTCAGAGTGAGTACGCATGCCTGACAAGGGGTACATTTTGCAAATGACTGTCACAGCTGATTGGTCACTGCAGAGAACCATGAAATCCACAACGCCTGAGAAGAAGACAGATAGTCGATATTGGACACATAGTGGACATGTGATTGAAGTCCAGCATGAAATGCAAATAAATAAATCCATTAAAGAGGATTTCCTTCCGAACATCATGCACATATTACTTATGGACAAAAAAAATGCCAAAGTATTGGTGACTTCTCTACTGTCAGTCGTTTAATATCTAATTCATTCAACCTATATTGAAGGCATGATCTGCCTTTCAACTCACTAGTTAATGTCATGAAAATGTTGACATTTTTAAAACATGTTGATATTGAGTTTTATGCCTGTTTAATAAATGATTCTTTTGGCCTGCGTCTTGTTGCTAAAGTGGTTTGGGAATATTTCTTGAATTTGACGGTCCTGCTCCCCAAAAAAGGAAACACAATTTTTCTTAATTCATAAGATACTCACTCCCGACAAAAGGCAGGCAGTGAAAATATTAATCACCCAAGCCTAGCTAACAGAGCAGTGTCGATCCCAGACTGACTGATTGTGAGATCTGAATCTACTCATGGCATCCAAGTCATCAGCAGGGCCAAGTTGTTCAAAACACGACTAACCTTACACGGGATTAGTATAATATTAGTATACTTTTCAACAGAGTTTAATAGCTTTGCAAATTAATTTTTTCTTTTGTATTTTTTTCCAGCTAGTCTCAAGTCATATCGAGATAAAATCGGCAACAAAACCTTAACTCTTATACGCGCTCTTCAACACGAGAAATAAGAGCCAAGGTTAACTTGCTACATTAACGCTAACCCCCTTTCGAACAACCTGGCTCAGCTGCAGGGTCACTAACTGACCTTTATGCTAATTATACCTTTTCTGTTTTCCTTGGTCGAGGAATCCACAACATCGCAAGTTACTTTGTCAAGTACGGAAATTGACTGAGGAAGAAAAAAAAATTAATGTCCTAAATTACTAAAAGCGAGCCAGCCTCTAACTTTCCCTTGACTTTCGCCATGCAAATGAAAAGAGGACGCACACACTTTTCAATCTAATTTTCTTGCCTGAGGCCACCGTAATTATGGGGGTTTTCAGTGTCTTAGTTTTAGGCAATCCTTTGACCATCGAGTGACCTAACCTATTTTTCCTGGCCGGTATACCTTGGTAACTCTTAAACAGAGGAGACATTTGCCACTGTTATACAGTGCCGTCTCCCAGTAAGCATATTTAAACCTGTGGCAGGAAAACTGGGTTATTTGTATCGAGTCGAGGCTTGCTGCTCAAATTCCAGGGAAGTAAAGTCCAAAACTTTTCTCTCCTGGTTTGGTTTGTACATTTGGTTGTGCCATGGATCTTTGTAAAACAACATCTTAGCTACATTTGACTTTCCACATTAGTCTTTCTGAAGTTTACCAATAGACCTCGGCTTTGTAGGCCAGTCCTCGGTTTTAGCTCTCGCCCGAAATTGAATCTGCTTATATAAACTGCGCATGAACAATGTGTGTACCTTCTCAACAACACTAGCTGCATCCGTTTTGGCGGGCATCTCTGATTGACAGTCAAATTTGACTCCTGCTTTCTTCGGATCAAGGAAATGCAGCAGTGCCTGCTCGTGGATTGCTCGGTGTTTTTCATTCCAAGAAAATACGAAGCTTTTTCTCCCATCACGAAACTCTTCCTTGAGCTGTGAGCCGACAATCCGATGTGCCCAGCGTGATAGGATATTTTTGTGTTCTTCTGCTTGGTTTTTGTAATGGCTGTCTCCACCAATAACCACACCGACTTTCTCACCTTAAAAATTATCAGGAACCAAACCTTTCGTCCACTCGTAAACGTCTTATGATGTATTCAGGGCTTATCACAAATACACTACACTGTTGAAATTATTGCTTTCTTTTGCGAACAACCTTATTCCTCCGATCTCGAGGTTAGACGCGGCCTACCTCGATTTTTCTCTTGCTCACATTAAGTATTTGTCTTCTGGAATTGCAAGTTGCCCCTGTCTCCTTAAAAATATAAAGATCCAGCCTCCGATTAAATGTCTCGACAATAGATTTGATTGCGCTGAGAACGGAATTGAATTAGAAGAAGATATAATTCCGTATACTATGTAATTGGAGCTCACTCAATTATCCTCCAAATAATGAAATACAACCTTTCGTGCAAGTTGCTAACTGAATGAAGTTTAGCGTTTGTTTTCAAAGAAACTTGTGGCAAGTGGAATGGACGACACTTGAACTTACTTTCAAAGGTTTCTTGCTTGACTCATATAACGTATTCAAAGATGGCAATGATTACTCAACTAGGTTGCACTCGTATATAATTTATGTACAGCGTCTCTCGACGTTTCACTCACAATGGCGATGTCGTATTACCCTGATTACAAAAGAAAGCTAGTCTCCAGATGGCGAAGACAACTGTACTAAAATTTCATTCTGGTTTTGAGTGTTTGTAAATCTTCAAGCCAAAAAATCTAGGTATGAAAGCGAAACAGTTTTGCTTGGTTAGCCTTTATTATAAATAAAAGTTAAAATCAGCCTGTTGAACCAATTTTTCGAACGATGGCACCAATTTACAATCGCACAGGTAGGCTTATGGAACAAACTCCCTAAAACATGTATAAAGATGAGAGCAAGAAAATGTCAACAAAATATACTTCCGCCATGACAGTGGAGAAGACTTACCAGTAGCGTCCAGCAGTGCTCTGTAAACTTTGGTGTAACCGCTTTCTACTTTACTATGGTTGAATGATAGACAAGATTCATCGGCATGAACCACAAGAAAAGCGAAATCAATGTGAAGTTTAGAAATGGTGTTTTCGCATAATTTAGACATGTCACGGAGACTGAAATAATGTTTCGATACCGTAAAAGTGAAAGGTATTTTCTCTTGGACGGATCGAATCCAAGCGTCAACGACGGTAAGATCGTAAGTGTTATCGCAGTTGAAAAGATACACGCGCTTCTTCTCGGACATTGGTTATGTTTCGAGGCGAAATTTTAGACTACTGGATGAACTGAGCTGCTTTCCGACTTGTTTGTTTGTCTTCGAGTTTGTTGAACGCGTTCTTAGAAATGACCTTTACGGTTTTGTTTCGATTCCTAGTATAAACGTCACTATTAAAAGAGTCACGCAATTTCTATGATGCTACCCAAAGGTGCAAGTTGGTTGTTCCAACGAAAACATAGTTTATATGATATTGTAAAGACATAGTTGCGTTAAACTGCACTTCAAGTATACAGTCACCTATAAGAACTATCTGTGAATGCATCAACGACCCGTTACTTAACCTTTTAAACCCAAAGAGTGACTAGCATCAAATTTCTCTATACAATATCACCCCTGAATCACACATTAAGATCATGAGAATAAAGGAGATGATCATCAACAAGAGAAGCTTTTGATTAGTAAACAAATTCTCCTTGTCAGCACCTCAGGGAATTGATTTTAGGGTGTAAAGGGTTAAACGTTTATCTTTGATGCTGCGGTTATGAAACGAAGGATTAATTTGACTGAGGTAAGACTTTTCACCTAATCGAGTTCGTCGTAACCAATAACAAGTGAATACTCAAGGGGAATAGATAATGTTCCTTTACTACTTCTGCGGCATAAAAATTTTGACCTTTTCAAACGGTACCGCTCTCGAACATATCAAAGTATGAATGCTTTTCCTTAAATTACAGTTAATTAGGAAATCAAAACATTCGACAAATGGTTCATTCCCTCATGTCAATCGTCTAAATTATCCGGTGACATAGAAGAGAGCAAACAGATGAAATGAGATCAACCAAGCCATAATGGTCCTATTGGCTCACATTTCAGTTTTATTATATATTCATAACAACTAATTGTTCAAGTCTGAACTTACTGATAAGGGACAGATTCGCTTCTGCAGAGGAGACATCTTGTTTTAATTACATAACTTTTTCTTTTATGTTGAACCATAGGTACATTTACGCTTCATTTTGACCTTCAAAAAAATGGCTCTGTACTGCTGTAATCAAAGATGACCGCCAGTTAAGAGTTTTTAAATAAACTGGGTGGAAATTCCTGAAGAATTAAAGAATTAAAGAGAAAATGTAGATATTGCTCGACATTATGCAATTTACAATCTCAACAACAGTCACATTTCTGATAGCAAAACTGAACTAATTAAGATGTACCAATGATAACATCCAACCAAAAGACTTAGTGACTGACAGCAATGGATGCTACTCTTTTACACATTCTCCAAATACACTCATGTCGCATGATCAGTTGCATTTTCAGGTTTATTTTTTATAGCCGACGAAAGGGATTTATTGAAGTTGTGAAGAACATCTCATACACCTTACTTACTGGGGAAGTTGCAGTGGGATTAACAATAGTTCGATAGTCACCAGTTGTTTTTTCCCGAAAAACTAGCAATTCTGCATCGGCAGTCGATTGCCATTTTCTCCTTAAGTTCTCCTTGATCTCTGAGGGAAGCATATCTTCATCGAACTTCTCATTTTCATCTTGAAGAGAAATCTCACCGTAGCGTAGGCGGGCCTTAAAAAGGAGGGTAAAGTCATCGGGGCATAGCTGACGTTCCTTAGTTTCTGATACTGTGGCTGCTGCACCATCATTATCTTTTTGAGCTCTTTTCCGTCTAAGTGACCAAGAGCGTTTTGGAGTTTGCTTTTGCGGGTTGTTCCCCTTCCACCAAAAAATAACGCCCTTGTCGCCAAGAAGTTCCTTGATTCTTGATGTAATTAAGTTTTCCTCATTCGGTGACATGTTACTGTTACGGTCGCTGATAATTACGACAATTTTTCCGCCTGAAATCAAAATTGAACAAGTTTTCACAACAGCACATAATAATATCTTAATAAACAGACAAACGCTCGATTTTTGTAAACTAAGTGTTGATGGTCAAAATGACTGTTGCATAGGCATAATTCTGTCCAGCTAACCATATAAAAACGTTCGTAGAATTTTCAGTCAGTCGCCATCTAATGTTTAACAGTTACGAAGTGTTTTTAATTATGAGTGTTATGTATTTTAGTCTGTATGCACCACTTCTCCTTCCATGGTATATGAGGTCTCCGCATAGCCAGGGTTAAGCTAAAGAAAAGCTAATAACAATGTTGTGTATGAATGTATTGGCGATATTTAGACAGGCTGGCCTAGTACAGCTCAAAGCTGGTTTAAATAGGGCCTGTATAAACAATAACAAAGCCAGACCAAAACACCGAGAGCTACGTTCAATTGAAGCCAATACGTATGCATACTTTAAGATTGTTCTTACCTACATTTCTTTTCGCCGATTCCAACATGCATTTATATGATTTTGTTTGTGATTTGAATTGAAGTTCATCCTTTAGGATTCTGGCTTCTACCACAATGAAACAGGATTTTAGAGGGCCAGTGAAGATTGATGAATCGCTCCCGAGATCACCGGGAGACCCGCTGAAGATAAAAACCTTGCTAAGAACATCATCAGCAAACAATTCTTTCACCAAACGTATATCAGACTGGTTCCAACCAAGGATCAGTACCTTTTTCATTGGTGATAATGGTTTTGTGTTCATGGAATCGAAGGATTCCCGACAAGCTGCTCCCATCCTTTTTTCTGACTCTATATCTGACATACAAAAAGGAAATATTAGCTTCTCTCTATTGACCGAGCTCAATTTAAATTAGTGAACGGGCCTGAATTATTTCAAATATTAGATCAGTAGTGTTCATAACTGCGAGGATCGCTTCTATACTCGTTTCTTCAATTGCAGTGCACATATATGGCTCTCATATATTTACAGTCATTACCAATAGTAATAGTTATGATGGTAAAGGAAAGGGATGTTAATCTGTACGATGCTGATGATTTATATGATAATGATGATGATGTTGATGATTTATATGATAATAATGATGATAACGAAGATCATCATGATAACGATGAGGTCGAAAAGAAAAAAAAAGAGGGGTGGGTGAAGGATCATTTTTCCTTACAGATCTCTCTACTTTAAATAGAAAAATAACTAAAACTGGACCAACGTACTGCTCATATCTGTAGGTTTCTCGTCAAAGTCACGCGTATCAGCGTAAGTAGATGCACAAGACTGAAGTAAAGAGTTGGAGTCCTGCTCGGGCCTGGGTCTAGCGTCGAGTGGAAATCCCTCAGGGGGTTTCGCATTTTCTATTTCCAAGTAGTTCCCTTCTGTATTGTTTGATGCAGTGGTATTCCTGCTCATTTGATCATGAAATTCAGCTTTCTGTAACAGACGAAACGGTACACGCGTACTAAAGCAAACGATACTTGAAAATATCGTTATCCAAATATAAACGTATCAGTTTAAAATTTCTTATGGTTGATCGATCTAGGCAAGTTACAGTCTCCATTTGAAATTTCATAAGCAAACATGATGTTTCAATCAAAACTTTTTTTCATTCACAAAAGCAGAGACAACTTTGTTTACTACGCTTCTCAGTATTTTTTGCGAGGTGAATAACAGTTGTAAATAGACCTCTGAGAATACCCACTTTCCAAAAAAATGTTAAAGGGTTTGGGATCAAAAAATACCTTCCCTCTTATCAAAAATTACCCCTTAGCTCTAACAGCGATTATTAAATAAGGTTCTACCTCAGAGACAACTGTTACAGTTCCACTCGTTACCCTCTCTTTCCGATCAGAGGACTTGAAATACGTTACTGATTCATCTTTTTTCTGTAAGACAAATTTGTGATCCTTCTTGCTAGGATCGAGGAAATGTTTCAGAGCCTCTTCGTGAATCACTCTGTGAGCTTTGTTCCAAGAAAAAATGAAGCCCTTGCTTCCATCCAAGAATTCTTCGTTGAACTGGGATGAAACCTTTCTTCGCGCCCAGCGTGAAAGGAGAGATGTGTCTTCTGCAACAGCATCTCTATAATTATCGTCTGCACCAATAACCACAATCACTCGTTCACCTATTGGTTAAGATAAGAATTGAGCTACGACTTAACGTAAAATTTGTATCGTTAGAAAAACAACCTGGGGTTGAATGTGGCGGACTGAAAGTACATAAAAACTGAATCGATCAAATGTGGAAAAGTAAATTTCATTTGCTGATAAAAAGGGTGTGTAGAGATACTCCCTGTGAATGGAATGCTAATTCATCACCGCATTTCGCCACGTTAGTACCCACTTTTACTAACTGAGTGAAGAGAGAGGCGCTATTGTGTATGATAGTGAAGAATCCGCCTTAAAACGCAATTACATACACTGGCCAGGTCTCAAGCCGAGATCTCTCGAATTGGAGCCAGTGCACTAACTTTCAGTTAACCACGTCTCCTACTAATGAATATCTATGCCTAGTGGTCGAAAATTATAATCACAGGTCGAATCCTTCGACGTTAAGATATCTGTGAAGCATTTTTTAAATATTATATAATGTATTGCCTTTAAGATATATTATCAGCGGAAAAGGTTCGAATTCAATGACAACGTTAACAACCTAGAGGGTCTCAATGGGGTTATCCGAAAACCGTAAAACGGCCGAACAATAAACCAATAGTTTTTAAAAAGCTAACCGTTTAAAAAATATATAAATATATTTCTGGTGACAGCAATGGAATGAGCTTAAAAAATGGCCGTAAAGTAGCCGAAATTTTAACCCCATAACCCCATTGAGACCCCCAGTTTATAATTATTAATGTTCAAAACAAAATATTAAAATTCTTATGGTTACTAAAAAGATATTCAAAATTGGAAAATTATATCTTTCATTTTTTTTAGAAAATGAAAAGCAAAATTTCAGAAGTTCGTCCTATTGCATTTGATGCACATGATTCGCGCCGTCACGCAATAATGTATTATACACAAGTTTTTTTTCAGTTCATCGTTATATTCAGTTACAAGCAATAGCGGCCCTTTCCCATGTCGTATTTCCCTCAAAGCACCCTTTATAGTTTTACCTTGCCTTCCCTTTCAATAGACTTCATGCCTAATTTCATTTTCATTATTATATATCTTAAAAAAAAAACTTCAAAGCCTTAAAAAAAAATCCTCTTGATTACTGACCTGTTACCTCTAATAGAGCCTTGAAAAACTTTCCGTAACCTATTCCAGCGTTCTGTTCATTAATGGACAGCCGTGATTCGTTCGCATTGACGGCAAAGATGGCAAAATCCATGGCGGGCCCGGACCTTATAGTATCGCACAAGTTGGACATTTCGGGGAGACGAAAGTACTTCTGTTTCGAGTCTATGTCAAGGCCAATGGATTTCTCATTGACAGCGCTCAGTAAGTTACTAACGACATCTAGATTATACGTTTTGTCACAATTAAAAAGATGAAAACATATAGGATTCTTCGATTCCGGTCGCTCCACAGACATACTTGAGGTGGTGTTTCACATCCTCTAATTTTCTCGGAATTATCTGCGCAAGACCGTTTAGTTTCCAAATTTCGGAGAACAATTTGCATATTGTCATCACGTGAAAATCTTATGTCACGTAAATCACGATTTTGTCACTGTTAGTGTGAGAACTAGATAGCAAAGATTTTCAACAGCGCTGGCTTAAATTTTAAAAAAGATGAAGTCAACTCCTACTCTTTGAAAATACTTCAGTGTCTTTCGATGAGCAAGTGCTAGAAGAATGGTGGTATAATCTTAAGCTTTCTCGGAAAACATTTGTGACGTCACGTGATTATGTTTTGCATTTTAGCTTACTTCTTGTCAAGCGAAGGAAAACCGAACGTGCAGTGGTCTTCAATTAGTCGTTCCCAAAGTAAAAGAAAGCCATAGTTGATGTGGTTACTGTCTTTGAATAAGTTATGGCTGAGCTAGAAGACGAAATTTCCTCGCTTTGCAGCGAAATACACGAGTTCAAGATCGGAACGTTCGAGAAGTTCTATGATGCCATGGAAGGCGAAATGGAAGGTTGCTGTGTGAATATTGTTTTCTTTGGCATGACTGGGTCTGGGAAATCAGCTTTGATTAACACCATATTCCAGTCTTTGGGATACAAATATTTGAATCCAGCTGTAACTCAAACCACCGGAAAGGAAGGAACAAAGGTTTTGGATAGATTCTTTCTTCCCGGAAACCAAATCGCGCTTGTCGACACGCGAGGATTTTTCTCGATGGATAACAATGAAGAGGGTAGGTCCTTTTTTTTACTCATGAATTTCAATATAGTCGATGCTGAAAGGATTTGAGGATTCACCACGTGTTTAAGCACATTTATTTACTCGTTAGAAAAAAAAGAAAAAAAACTGGGAAAGCGTGACAAACATGTCCGGCGAAAAAGTGACAACAAAACGCACTACGCTGTCTGCCGGATAAAGATGCATTAAGTGGATGGCGTCATCCAACCTTCGAACAACTCAGGCCTGGCTTTTAACTAGGATGTTTTGGTTAACTTTTTAATCCCTTTCTTATCTCCTTAAGTATTCTTTACCGCTTATTTGGCAATAAAAATCAGGAGAAATCTACTGCTCTCAGCTATCTTTGTTGTTGACTAAGGAGACATTGCTGTGTCTTTTCAGAACTGCTTTGGTAAATTCACCCCACATCGATTCCAACACCTTATAAAACTGCCAAAAGTAATTTGCAAATCTTAAAATCGCGAAATATATAACCCTTTAAATATTGATTGGAACATTTAATTATAATACAGTCGAACTGTTTCGCATCCTGTTTGGAATGGATCGGCCGGGAGATGATTTAACACGGGATGAGGAGAGCGCTCTAAAGGCAAAAGCCGCTGGCCAGGGAGCCCACAGACTTGAGAAGCCTCCACTAGCCGACCAAATGCACGTCGTGATTTGGGTCATAAAAGCTAATGACATCAGATTTGAAAAGGGTCAGTACAGAGAGGTCATCAAGTATGTTCAAGACCAACTACGGGAGGCAAGTAAGTAGGACTTTTCCAGTGAAGCTTTTTGCAACTTACTCCTTGACGCCCGCTGCAACATTCAAATTTAGGGTGTGACGCTCAAAAGAGTCTGTGAAAAATAACAGAACGATTAAAAAATGCCAAACATTTTTTACCGTATCAAGTATTTTAAATTGCATCACTATGATCTGGCGCTATATAAATGTCCGACCGTCTGACAGTCCCACGACTAGTTGACCCCCAGTTAGTTATTCAAATAACTAACTGGTGGACTGAATTCTTGACTGTCTGACTGCTAGACTACTAGATACATGACTGACTTTCTTGCCGGTTAATTTTTAGTGATTCACTTTCATCATCATTGATATTGAAGATGTGCTTCATTTGAAATCTCTCTTCATCCTGTTGAAGCAATCACCATCTTAACTGTCATAACATTCGATGATGAAGTCCAGAGAGAGCCAAACGCCGATGAAAAAAGGAAAAGATTGAAAGAGGCAGCCGTTGAAGTCACTGGTAGTGACATGAGAAATGTGTTTATGATTGCCAACTCGTTACGAGAACAAGATCTTGATCCAGTTTACAAGAAACGTGTCTTGAAGCTGATGGAAAAAGCATTAAAGTGCGGAGAGCGTTCCATTAAGATGCGGCAAACTAAAAGGGAGAGTCCAAAAAAGGAAATTCGGCATTCAGAGTCTGCAGCCGGTGAGCTCAAGTATCCAACCCCAGTGGAGCACGAATATGAACCTCCGACTGATCGTAAATGCAAAAGCTTGCCGTAAGTTACTCATTATTATCAGTAGAGCCTTATCAACTAAGTAGTTAAGCCAACTAGACGGGAATTGGATGAGAGAGAATTCAAATCACGAACTAAGCTGAAGGTCTATTACTTTGTTCACTTCTTTTTCTTTAGTACCTATTATTTTGAGCCTGAAAGGAATTCGTGCTTCTTCAAAGAAATTGACTCGAATTTGGTAAAACGCTTTCTTTCGAAGAATATAATAAAGGGGACATGCTCGAGAATAATATTATCGGATAACCAAATGATCTTCTCAGTTTTTTAAAAGATTAACGATTACCATACATTACAGTTGACTGTTAAGTAAACGAAGTCGGCTGGTAAACCTGCGCTCAGATTTGGATCCATCATAAATGTATATTTCGTTATTTTATGAGAATTGACCCTGCATTCGCATCTGTTCTCATCTAATGTATTTGGTTGTGGCTTGAAAAAACTACCTCGCAAATACATTCCCCGCGTTTTTATCCCTTTCCTTATCATTTCCGACGGACAAAGACAAGGGAAAGTATAAGCAACGACGCCACGTCCCACTCATTAACTCATTTTGTTGTTTCTTAATAGGCCAGATTTTAAATCACCTGAACTCAACCAGTCTTCAACGTTCACCAGGAACCTTCGAGATGGAGCTAAATGACAATGAACACTACCACATGTTCCAAATCGTTGATGTGTTTTCTTGTGTTCATTTTGACTTATCATTAGCTTTAGAGACATCAAAATTTTTCCAAAAACTTTTGGTACACATTCTTTATTTGTTTGTTATTTACTAAGTAACAGTATCATCATGAAAGGAGCAAACTTATGAAGATGTGTTTGTTTATCAAGGTTATGGGGAATTGATGTCCAAACGTATGTCTCAGGAGTTAATATCAATTGTAGAGTAAGGCTATTGATTGAAGATCGCTACAACACGGCTCACGATAAGAAAAGGCCGGGTTGAATCTACCGTTCATATAGATCAGAGGCTCAAAATCCTAAGACAAACGTTTGGATCTTAATATATCATTATGCGGAGCAGACTCCTTCTAAATGACACAAAAATACGAAAGCAGCAGGAGTTTTGATGTTCGTGCATGCTAAGTAGTCCTCAAAATCTACGATATTCTTGTGGACGTATCACTCATTTTATAATCTTTTTTCGAGATAGATATGGGACGAAACTGAAGCCTTAAGGTATAAAACAACGAAAGGAACTTTTATTCAATGATTTGGATAAAAATCAAAGAGTTGCCTTCACCCCATATTCTCATCTCAGTTTTATCTTAAAGCGCTTTGAAAAGTGTTGTATTCGTAACGAAAGATGGATACAACAAGCAGATTATACGTCTGTAAAAAATTTTACTGCTAGTCTGAAAGAGAAAAGTGAATTGACTGTTCTCAAATAGAGTCAGTCAAGAGGAGGGGAATGTGCCCTATCTTGGCGAAATGGAAGATGGCTAATCCCCTTTGCAGCAATGCCGTAAAGAAACTGTACAATAGAATTGTTCTGATTATCCTTCACAACAACATGGTGTTGTGTTTTTCCAGTTTCTCTATGTTCATGTATCAGTAATTCGACGTTGGGAGCAGACTGCCATTTGTCGTATAAGTTGTCCTCTATCCCTTTAGGAGGGGTCCATTCTCCGGACCTCTTTTCTGCTTCGTGATATGAAATCCTACCATAGCGAAGTCGGGTCTTCAAAACCAGTGTTGGCTCTTCGATATGCTTTGGTGGTGTGCAGGTGATCTGCAGATCCCTTTGACGAACCCTCAGGAAGAGATTGTGATCGACTGAATGGAGCACTACGCCTGGAAGATTGCTCTTGAGGGGAAAAGGATTCTCTCCACCAAATAATACATGCCTTTTCTCCAAGAGTTTCAGTAATTTTGTCTTCGTGAATCAGACGATTATCTGAGCAGATGATAGCAACGACTTTTTTGTCTGAATGAAAAAAATTATTTCAGTTAAGAATGATAGAAACCTTAAGCAACAGCTGCAAAGCAGAGAAAAAGGCGGTGTTAGTCACCAGCATGGAGACAATTTTCAACTTTAGTTTACCTCACCGATTTTTTTAAGGAAAACCCTAACGAAAATCAAAACAACAATCTATGCCTGCAAAGGATACGGAGTTTTACTAAATTGCATGAAAACTTTACAACCAATTGTAAGCGTAAAGTCTTGTTGCATTTAAAAAATGATAGCAAATAAGGTAGTATCAAACTGAGATCTTTTCTGTATTGTCCTCTTAAATTCATATGGATTATAATAAGCGGGATTACCCACAAAGACTAAGACGCGCAGAAGACCATAACAACTATACAAGCACGTGTCTATGCACGCCACAAAAAATAAGCTATCACTTTGAACATAACTGCAGAGCGCTGCTTCATTGTTCCCCTTTACTTCAAAGATATTTTCTTACCAACGTTATCTCTGGCAACTAGAAGCAGGTCTTTGTAATGCGATGCGAACTCTTCCAAGATGGCTGCTCCATCCAAAAAGATGAAACAAGATCTTATGGAATTTATTGAATGTGATTTTAGGACATCTTTGAATTCCACCGGGCTGCCGGAGATATATAGAACCTTTTCAGAGAATTCATCACCGAAAAGGTTCCTAAAAAGAGCTAAATCAGACTGATTCCGGCCAAGCACTACAAGCTGGTTCGCCTCAGATTTCGATTGTGTCATGTTCGTGCCCATTGCGTCCTGAAAGTGGCCGTAGACAGTTTCTGATTTTATAGACGAACACCGTTCTATCAAATTAATTGAAAATAAGGGGTCATAAAGAGCCTGAAAGACTTTTCTTCAAGTTTGCGTTACAAGGTTAGGCAAAGTAGCCAGACTTTGGGTAACGTCGAACCGTACACCCGACTAAGTACTTTTCGAAAACTATGATGCTGGAGCTATTTACCCATACGTGTGTTCTGCAGAGACTGGCAATGGTCTCCATACACCGTCAAAACAAAATAATGCGCTAAAATAATACTGTAATATAAGGCTAACATTTTCTGTCTTTGAAAATTATATTCTTGACGAAGCTAATAAGCTCCGAATTTATGATTCTTTTCAAAACGAGAAACAAATTCTCTCTGAATATGTCTAAAGGTTCGTCAAGAAATAAAAAGCTATAGTAAATTAATAATTGTGTACTGCAAAAATAACTAAGTCAATGTGGATTGACGAGTCCTCTCTGTGAATGCACAAGTACTTATAGAAAAGAGATACCAATACAGAAATAACTCAAAGGGGTTTACTTACCCATCTCCTCCTTGGATTTTTCCCCGGAATCATCACACTCAGCCATTTCTTTTTGAAGATTGGAGGTAGGGACATCCTTTTGCCTCTGACAGATTTCAGATGCAAACTTTCTAAGTGCTCCTCCCTCTTCCTTTTGGATTTTTGCTTTGTGTAGTTCAGTTGTCTAGGACATGAGAACAGAGAAATTTTTGAAATAAGAGAAAAAAGCTGTTGTTTATATATAATTTAACTGTAGTTTGACTAAAAGTGTTTTCTTCTGCCCTTTGATAACCAAGACAATTTACCCTTTGAAGGGTGATAGTTCAATATCTGATTGCCTAAAGTGGAGACTTGAAGTGGGAACACTACAAGTCAGCCCAGAAATGGTAAGAAAGCAACTTCATCTTAAATATAATTGATTTCTAGCTAAAGCGTAGTGAGAGTCAGCAGACACAACACCTGAAGGGAGTTGCATTGATATAATACTCAACTCTTTATACATCTTCCAGGAAATGCAGGGCAGCCAATGGCATAATTGCTAGAAAGGTTTTTAGATTCTATTAAGGTTTGCTGCAATTAATGAATGTTTATTGCAGCATTTTTATTGGGAAGACACACCTGCTTTTGATCACCTAAAGTTTCACTCTGCATGGGCTCTGCCTGAGGTTTTTTTTTGTAAAAAAATTTTTGACCCTTCTTCTTGGAATCAAGAAAATGTAACAGTGCCTCCTCATGAATCCCCTTGTGTTTCGTGTCCCAAGAAAAAATAAACCCCTTGGTTCCATCCATGAATTCTTCTTTGAACTGAGAAGAAACCTTCCTTCGGGCCCAGCGAGACAGGAGAGATCCATCTTCCTCAGAGGCATTTCTGTAGTTGTCATCTCCACCAATAACAACAATCACTCTTTCATCTGGGGTCATAACAAATGTGAAAAAACAATACAATCAGCCAAGTGGTGAGGATTTTCATTATCCTTCATGGGTCTCAGCAAGGAACAAACCACCTATAATTTTGAGTGGCTTAAACCTGTTTCTAAATGGCAGGCCTTGCTGCTGTCCTTTCCTATCCACGTCAAAAGAACAGAGTCTCCATGCAAAAGCCAATCCAAAAAAGGTAACCTGCATGCACATAAAAGAAAAAACAACTATGCCCTCCATTATGAAAGAGGTCCATACTAAGAAATCAAACTAAATGGATGAGTTAGAAATGCAAAACAAAACAAACAGATAGTTTGAGTGACATGTAGTTCCAAATGCTCCAATAAGACAGTAAATCAAGGCTTTACTTTGTTTGAATGTTTTTCCTCATTTCATATAAATTTCACACTTTTGGATAAAGGCAAGAATGGTGAGATGCCCGGAAAGAATGACTAAGTGACTTGTGACATACTGATAAATTCTCCTTCCAAATTGTCTTGTATTCTTTTGAAAAAGTGAAAGAGAAAAGTCTGTTTGTGCTTTATTCCAACTGTCTCTCCACTTGCCAGAAGACACAAAAAACAAAAACAAAACAAGTAGTAACACAATAAAAACAGTAACAGGCCAGCTACTTCTCCGACTTCAGCTGAGAGAAGTTTGACATCTTGGTATTCATTTCGTTACACCAGAGAGAGCTCGCGCTGTCACGCACGGTTTGTCCACGAATTGCTTTCGTTGTTATTTAACAATAGTAACGGATCTCACCCTTGCTTATTTGTCGCAAAAACCTTATTGATACCGCAACGTTGTTTTTTTTCGTTTCATCTGTGTAAGATGAAACTTGAAAATCGCCTGAAGATTTGAATTTATCCCAATGAAGGACGAACAAAATTTAAACACTCACCCGTTGCCCTTAGTAAAGCTCTGTAGATATTTGCGTAACCAATTCCAGCGTTATCCTCGTTAATCGACAGCCTAGATTCGTGTGCATTAACGGCAAAAATGGCATAATCCATCATTTTTCCATCACTGGTCTGGTCATCAATAGTCTTAGTTAACTCAGGCATATGGTGGAGGCGAAAATATTCCTTCTTCGATTGTATATCGATCCCCGTCGTTTTCGTTTTAATGACGTCCAACAATTTCTCAACAACATCTAAATCGTACGTCTTATCGCAATTGAAGAGATAAAAGCACTTAGAACTGTTCATCTTTCTTTGTGATTGGATCTTTTCACTACTACTTTTGAGGCAGTATTCTCCTGATCAGTCTGTTTCCTTGAATTACGCAGGTTTGGTGACGCTGAGAATTTTCAATAATAATTTGCATAATATACTTCACAGTCACGCAAGTCACCAATATTTTTAATCCATGTCACATCGATTCCACTGCAGGGTAACTAATTTCAACAACTATGACTGCAAACAAAAAAAATTTTAAAAAAGATACACCAATTTCAGTTTCATGAAGTCTCTTCGTTGCATTTCAAGGGACAGCTGTCCACAAGACTGAATGTAAATTGGGTTTTCTCGGAAATCAGTAGGCATGACGAGCTTTGCTCACCAAAAGAATTTATGCAAATGAGGCTGAGGCGGATCTGAGATCCGCCTGGCAATTATTAACTGTAAGAGAAGAACTGACTTCGCGCCCACAGAACGACCGAGGTGTTGCGGATGAATTTTCAGTAATTACTTTTTGGGCACTTTTCGGCGTCCAAATTGCATGGCGAGAGTAACCCAAAACCTTAAAGCAGACCCTTCTTGTCACAATACGAATGTTTTCCAGATAGGGACACGCGTTAATGTCAGCTCCACTCGCGTGAGTGGTTAAACCCTCGCGTGGATCTAACAACTCAAGTTTACTTTAAAGCGCACAATGTAAGCCAAAGTAATTTTATAATTTAACTCCATGATCGAAATTTTGTTTGCAAAGGATAATAATAAATCGAAATCGACCTAGAGCGTCAGCTTCACTCGCGGGGAGTCAACCATTTTCTCTTGCCCCTTGCGCAACATAGAATGCAAATTTGCTGACCCACTCTATTGATACACACAACTCGACAGTCGTTAAGAGTTAAAAAAGATGAAGTTTTTTACCAAAACCATGTATTTCCGATTTTTTTAACGCTAACAAAAATGTAGTAATGGTATGTCCACTCCGGAAAATAATACCGCAAACAACAGCAAGCCCTAACCGCGATGAGAACACTCATGGATCACACAGCGCAACAGAACTCATTTTGTTTGTTTGTTTGGATTTTTTCTGATAATATTGGCCTGTAAAGAAATATATAATGGAGTTTTTTTGTACCCTCCGCCGGCACCATATAATTGGCTAAATGCTAAGGAAGTAATATACTTTAAAGAGATCATTAAAGGAGTAAAATCTTTAAAGAAATTTTTCCTGCTGGGGTTTCCTGGCGCGCCACTGCGAACACAGCGAACCTCATGTATAAGGCTGCGAGAAAATAAACAAAGACAAGTAGAAAAAGTTCTTTACTCACAAATCTCTTTTACAATCTATGACCGATTTTACATCTCGTGTCTGAAGCAAAAGTTGGAAATGTAAATGCAATTTAATATGTTACGAGAAGAGGTATTTTACTCGTTGGCAATTTTATTCCTAAATTCGTTATTTATTTTTAATTGAAAAATCACGGGATTTGAGGACAGACACCACCAAGGCAAACACAACATCGACGTAAAAATTACCAGTCAACGGAACCTGCACTTATGATGTGTAATTAAGTTAAGGTTGGTTGGTCATCTAAACAGAAAAACTATCTTTTATTATTAAAACAAACATTGCTTTTTCATCACGGCTTTAATTAAATCTGCAAAGGAAAAAAAATCAAGACAAGTAAATTTAATTATGTCGCAATTCAAAATTAGTTTGTCATAAGATGAAAACGCACAGTCTAAAATGAAACAACTCCCAAAGAGAGACAGAACCAAAAAAAAAGGAAAGATTTTGCCTTCAGATAACAAAAGTCCAAATAGGACTGACTACCCAAGAGAGACAGAACCAGGTGAAAAAAAGGGAAAGGTTCTGCCTTCAGATAACAACAGCCCAAACAGGACTGACTACCCAAGAGAGACAGAACCAGGTGAAAAAAAGGGAAAGGTTCTGCCTTCAGATAACAACAGCCCAAACAGGACTGACTACCCAAGAGAGACAGAACCAGGTGAAAAAAAAGGGAAAGGTTCTGCCTTCAGATAACAACAGCCCAAATAGGACTGACTACCCAAGAGAGACAGAACCGGGTGAAAAAAAGGGAAAGGTTCTGCCTTCAGATAACAACAGCCCAAATAGGACTGACTACCCAAGAGAGACAGAACCGGGTGAAAAAAAGGGAAAGGTTCTGCCTTCAGATAACAACAGCCCAAATAGGACTGACTACCCAAGAGAGACAGAACCAGGTGAAAAAAAGGGAAAGGTTCTGCCTTCAGATAACAACAGCCCAAATAGGACTGACTACCCAAGAGAGACAGAACCAGGTGAAAAAAAGGGAAAGGTTCTGCCTTCAGATAACAACAGCCCAAATAGGACTGACTACCCAAGAGAGACAGAACCGGGTGAAAAAAAGGGAAAGGTTCTGCCTTCAGATAACAACAGCCCAAATAGGACTGACTACCCAAGAGAGACAGAACCAGGTGAAAAAAAGGGAAAGGTTCTGCCTTCAGATAACAACAGCCCAAATAGGACTGACTCCAAGAGGGACAGAACCAGGTGATAAAAAGGAAAGGTTCTGCCTTCAGATAACAACAGCCCAAATAGGACTGACTACCCAAGAGAGACAGAACCGGGTGAAAAAAAAGGGAAAGGTTCTGCCTTCAGATAACAACAGCCCAAACAGGACTGACTACCCAAGAGAGACAGAACCGGGTGAAAAAAAAAGGGAAAGGTTCTGCCTTCAGATAACAACAACAGCTCACATACGAATGACATAACCGGGAAAAAAAAAAATTCAAAAATGAAGGTTCTTCCCTTACGGAGATAAGTCTGATTACACGAGAGAGTGGGTAAGAAATAACAAAAGAACGAGAGTATCTTCAGGATTCTGCTTTCGAAACTGCGAAATAGTACAGTACGATTAGTAAGAAAACACACTAACCTGCCAAGAGCGCGTCATCTTATAGGGAAGGAATATTTGAGCTGTGATGTCAGGGTTCATTCCATAATTAGTTCATCTTGCTCATGTTAGGTTTCAACAGTTGGATAATACACCATGTGATTTTAAGCATCTGTCACCTAACTATCACAGAAATAATTCCTTCTCTTGCTTCGAAAGCACAGAAGTAAAGGCAAACCTTGCTTTGCTGATTAAATGGTTTGGGCATCATCATTTTCCGCTCAAAGGTTATTAAGCAGCGAGATTTATCGCGCGTCATCATATAGCTCTAGACAGAAATTATCAGGCATACAACCTTGTCTAAAAGCCAAATTGGACAGGCCAGCGAGTAGAATTTCTTCCTCGCGAAGTTTTACACAGTTAAGACCTTACCTTAAGGAAAGAACGATGGCCCCTTTCCGCAGATACCGCCGAATATACTCGTACCTTCGCACAGAATTTTCGCGGGATAAGTTCCCGCGCTTACCTGATGATTGGGACTTACTAAAATGATATTTTATACTGAAAGAGCTCCTCAGTATGGACGCCAGAAAAGTATTATCAAAATATCTACCCAATCGTTTCAAGTGTTAAATGATACTCTTGTATCTCCAGAACATACTGCAGTCGAAATCTCTCTTGAAAACAAGGTCCTTACCGAGCGGCTCACCGGCTTCCATGTTGACTTAGGGTCAAAGGTCTGATCAGAGTGAAATATAAGTTGGCTAACACAATTTAATTTTGGTATTGTCGTGACAGAACAGATAATCGCTCTTTGCGTCACAAACCAATAAATCTGTAGATCACGAACAAAACATGCTGGGTACAATAACTGTTACTTGATAGTCATGTCACGCGCTACAACCAGGCTATCTTCAAATGCCATGACACACTACGGCTTAGCTAAGCCGTTCTTGTCGCTGAATCATTCTACAATTATGAAAATTGCCATTCACGCCATGAATGCGTAGTTATCTCCAAAGAGAAAATTGTGCAAAAGAGTCCTAAATTTACGTAGTACTCCTAACGCGCAAGCCGCGCGGATCCTCGCGCCTGTTTACATTTTAATTGTTAACTTCAATTAATTTCACGCTCGAAGCCAAACACCTCGCTTTCACTTGCTAATTGAGCCCTCTCGCTTTACTTTGACAAGCCTATGGATCATTTTACGCATCCCTGGTGAGAATTCTTTTCTTGAGCAAAGCTCGTCATGAGGTCACATGATACGTCGGTCAAAGCCGTGTAATGATTTTGTAAAGATGTAAGGGGACATAGCAACGATATCGCCTTCCGAAACAGAATTGTAACGATAGCTGGTTCGGTTAGGATCTGCGTATTTCGTGGAAATAAGTCATGGAGTTGCTAGAAGGTGAGATTTCATTGCTACGTAGAGAAGTACTTGATTACAACATCGGAAAGTACGAGACGTTCCACGATGCTCTGGAGGGCGAAATGGAAGGATGCTTTATAAACATCGTGTTCTTTGGGATGCGTGGCTCCGGAAAATCCGCTTTGATTAATTCTATTCACAAGGCTTTAGATCTCAATGAAGAGCCCGCCATAATTGAAACTACCGGTAAGGATGGAACGAAGACTTTGGAGACTTTTGTTCTTCCGGGAATTCCAGTAAAGCTTTATGACACGCGTGGATTTTTCGCCATGGACATTACAGAAGAAGGTAGGTTATGTTAAACTTTAAACTACTTGTCGAAATATTTTGAATAGTAAAGTGTACAACCTTGCGGGCTAATGAAAAACTCTCTCCTCTCGAAATCGGCAAATCGTTAGCAAACGAAAAATAATCATACCGGAAGTGGACGGGCTGACGAGATATGCTTAAATTACTTAGACACCGTTGCTTGATCGGCTCTCAAACGTGTGCTCGCAATTTTAATGAAATCTCATGCTTTATATTAGAAACTACCTTTTGGGGAAGCCCAACCTTATTTTTGCAATCTGTTAATTACATAGGCACTACCCCTTATTCGGCAGCCTGTATAAGTAACAGGCGCAAATTGGTAAGTGAAGGAGAGATATTTTGAGCCTTGTGATTTTATAAAGGGAACGAAGTCGATTATGGTAACGGAACATCAGCATATTTTTATATCTAAAAATCCTAGCCGGTCTCTTTGCTGATTTAGTTTCATTCAATCTACTTGTCACTTTCATCAAGGGTTGAAAAATATCACATAACCAATGACAAGGTTGTCATTTTTGATGGACAGGCGAGCTTAGCATGGTAATGTTACACACAAGGTGTAGAATATCGTTCTTCAACAAATATCTTAAAGCTGACGGTACCAGCCATAAACGGGGAGAGGAAGGGAAGCTAAAAAGAGGGGGCTGGGGATTTAAATACAGTCGACGAAAAAGCGAAACTCAACATTAAATTAAATTGAAGGAATGAATGAATGAATGAATGAATGAATGAATGAATGAATGGAGGACTTTATTAAAGTTTCAATGGTATTTAGCTTAAAGAAAACTAATTAGGGACGCTGTTTACACATTAAAATATACCTAAGCTACAATTATAATTCAACATTTCACGTCAAGCTGTACACTTGAAAAAACACGATTTTTGTGTCTGCGGATTGATACTAATAATTTATTGTCTGTATAAACCCATTAAATAATAAAATTAAAACATTTTTCCTTGGTTATGTTAGAAAGGCTCCCTTTATAAAATTCAGATCCCTTTAGAATCCAGTTAAGCCGAAAACACTTCTGCCGCCCTGTAAATATCGATTCTATTAAGATCCAGCTACGGTTTAAATTCAAATGACTGTACTTGTTGTGGAAAAATTATTTAAATGGCTGCAGTGTCTTATTCAAGTTGTCCAAGAGAAAAGTTTGTCTTTGCAGCTAAGGTCTTTTAAACTCATTTCCTTAAGTTTTTCTGCCACCTGGTAGTGTCTCCCCTGTCCAAGTGAGATGCTTTGCTGTAAATTACACCCACTCTGAATACAGTTTTCCTCTGTTGTAATGCTTGGGACATTAAATGCTACTGATGATTGGTGCACGAAGAAGGTGGCTTTGAAGTCTCCTCCTTGTGATTGCCTTAGTAGATGATGCAGTTCGTAGAGACATCCAGGAAGAATTGGACCAGAAATCTAAAAGCTAAAATTATTTACACTTCAACTCATTATGTATAGAATAGATAGATATATGAATAAGTCAATGGCGTATAAGGACTCAGTAAAATAAGCTCAGAAGATATTAAATATAGATAAAATGTAAAATTCAAAGCATCCTAGAAGCATTCACCACAGTTTTTACAATTATTTATCAAGAGTGATAGGTCTTTGCCATTAATACTGTTTTTAAAACTCATTAAATTAGGATTCTCTTTATGACTTTCTTCTAATCTATTCCAAAGATGGGACCCAAAGTATAGTAGAGAATGTTTTCCAAAGTGTACTATTCGAAAACGTGGAATATTGAAATCAGCGTTCCTCAGATTATATCGTTTCGGGGTAGTATTAAATACTTCTGTTATATAGGAGGGCATAAGTCCGTTTTTTACTTTATACATGAAAATGGCGATGTTTTGTAACCTTTGTTGGTACAGACTTAGAAGACCTGCTCTTGTAAGTAGCTCGCTGCAGGTCTCCGATTTGGATCTAAAGACTGCCCTGAGTGCCTGCTCTTGAATTCTTTCCATTTTCTTCTTATCAGATGATTTGTAAAAGTGCTATACAATATCACAATATGTAAGGAGGGGACAAGTATTAGACTTGTACAGCTGTAACTTTGCAGTACATGGGATTAAATTACGTCTCAGTAAGACCCCAACCTTACAGCTCGTTTTCTTGCAAATATTAATGATATATCCACTAAATGTCAGTTTGTTGTCGATGGTTACGCTGAGAATTTTGAGATAATCAGATGATTTAACTTCGTGTCTATCGAATTTCATCGTCAATTCATGCCCACGGGTTTTCTTGGAAGGTTGTGGATCTGTAAATAGCAAGGATCTGGTATTTCTGAGGGTTGGCTTGCAGTAAGGTTTTCGCTGTACCATTGTGACACTGCCTCTGTTTGTCACCTGAGAGTTTGGGTGGCCTTCAGTATATCATTGTCATTGGTGTATATTTGATGGTCATCAGCATACATAAATAGATTAGCAGACTGCCTATGTAGTGGGAGATCATTTTGGAACACGTTCCGGAGTAGAGGCCCGAGGGAGGAGCCTTGTGACACCCCCTTTTTTATTCTTTCCATCCGCTGAGCGCTTCCTGTAGTTTGACACTGTTTTTCAACGCTCAAGAAAGGATCACATAAGATTCTGTGATGCTTCGGAAAAGCCGTATGCTTTGAGTTTCTGAATCATTAGTGCGGGGTGCAGCGAATCAAAAGCTTAGCTCATATCAGTGGATAGAACAGTCACGAACTCTTTATTGTCGGCAGCCATTTTCCAGTCAAAGGAGATAGGAGAAGGGAAGAGGAGAAGAAGTTAATAATATAGTATTATTGAAGTACGTATTCAAATCCAAAAATGAACCACGCTTACAAAATAATAAGTTTGTTCCATATTATACACAGGGGAGCTGTTTCGTATTCTGTTTGGCATTCACCGACCTGGAGAAGACTTGTGTCGAGATCACGTGAGCGCACAACTAGCGGTTGCCGCTGGCCCTGCTGCCTGTAGATTAGAAAAACGCCCCCTGGTCGAACAGATGCATGTTGTCTTTTGGGTCATACAAGGTGTCGACATCAGATTCGAGGAGGGAAAGTACAAAGAAATCATAAAATTTGTACAAGAACAGTTGCAAAGTGCAAGTGAGTTGATGATAGTTGTAATTATGATATAATTTTGAGTATCATTATGAAAGGTAAGGTGTAAACAGATATGTTTGTCATCCAATGCTATTAATTGGTTTTCTTTTGGAGGATATTCCTCGAAAAGTAACCTCCCATTCCTTCCTTCGTCAAATCATAATGGTGGGTGATTGTTATGTCAAGAGCTTTTGGCAAAGCCCACTTCATTTAATGAATGTGCGTTCTACAATAAGTACTCTTGGACTTGTTTTTTTTACCATCTTCAGGTGTGGATCTTATTCCTCATCAGCATATCCAAGCTAGCCGTTGTTAATCAAATCGGAGATTTGTAGGAGCATCATATATAGAATTACATGTACGCTAATTCAGAGAGAAAAAAATCAGTAAATATGCAAATTAGACGACTGATCGAGGCATGGTGATGTCATTCACTCAAACCAGTTTTATTTCGGGTCTTTTTACCTACCTTGCCTCGACAACGAGTTTGAAAACAACAAAAGTTTCCCTCAAAAGCGAGGAAAAGAAAACTAATTTTCATGCGCATAAAAAAGTGATAATCGTGTCCGTCTTTATGACAGAGGTCTGTTCACACTGTCAAAAGAAAGGTATGACCCACACTGATTAAGTCGACTTAGAGCTCAGCAATGTTTGCAGTGTGACTAATTTGTCATCGTCACTTTGCAGGAATAACGGTATTTACTGTCATAACATTTGATGACGAGATCCAAAAGAGGCCCAACGCTGATGACGAGAGAGAGAGGTTGACCAATAAAGCTATTGAAGTCACCGGTGGTGACAAGAGGAAGGTGTTTTTCATTGCCAACCCAGCACGAGGACAAGACCTTGATCCCTTGTACAAGAAAAGAGTCTTGGAAATGTTGGAACAGGCATTAAAATGCGGTGAGCGGTCAATCAGGACGCGACAAACTGACAGGGAGAGCTCTAAGAAGCAGGCACGGAATTCAAAGTCGGAAGTTGATGGCCTCAGGTTTCCAGTCCCAGTGGAGAATGACGACGAATCTCCACTCACGGCCTTGACGTACAAGCATAGCTACGATAGTTAAGAGTTCGCCGATGCAGTGAAAAAAGTGTATACATTGTATATTTTGTTGCGTTCATAGCCATAGAATTCATTTTGTCTTTCTCAATATGTCATTGCATAAATTATTTTTGATTCTCCAAACGGAACATGCGTATCCCATTTTATAAAGCTGTAATCGTGACAGGTAAGTCGAGTAAAGATAACCAGTAAACATCGCAGTAAACATTGGTTAGTTAACTGACGAATAAAAAAGCTTACTCTGTTTTCTTATAAAGCACTCAGTAAGGGGCTAGAGCACTCAAGAGTAAGCGACTACGTTTCGTGTCCCCCCCCCCCCTACACTTCCGCGTTCAAGTAGGGGCGAGATTCATGTGGAATTTTCGCGAAAGTTACACAGTAAGGACTAACAACTAATTTTAAAAAGCTGAAAGGCTATTTTGTAACTAGACTTCCACTTTACGATGCTTTAATTTCCTTTTTTTTATTATCACACCTGAGAATATTTCACTACCATCAATGCGGCAGCTTCTAAAGAATAGGTAAGTTCGACAACTCAGAACATTATATCGCAGTCCATATGTTGGACTGCGCGCTCATTTTCAAAATGTTTTCATTTCTACGGAGCTGATTATTAACTTTTTCGAACACCAAGCTAGTGTAATTCGACTACATTCATTGTATGATAATCAAGTATACATGGGAATACTTCACCTAAAATTTAGCTCAAATCCATAGTAAAACCTGAGGCGATTGCAAACATCCCCACCGCGGATTTGCATGCAACTAGTTTTTGTAACTATTCCGTGCTACCCTCTTGTAAAGTGTATTATTATTATCATTATTATTATTATGCATATGCATGTGCATGTGCATATGCACGCGCATATGCGCATGTGCGCATGTGCGTGCATTTGTGCGCTCCGCATATGATACTTAAAGTTTTGCCAAGGATTCATTTTTACGGCACAGTTGGCTAGGCCGTCACCATCGGCGGTGAACAGCACTTCAGCATCCGGGACCAGCTTCCATCTTTCTTCCAGGTCCTGCATGACTATTTCAGATGGCTGCCACCCTTGTTGCCATTCCACAACGTCTTTATTCTCAGAAGAGATTTTTCCGTATCTTAGGTGCGTTTCAAGCAACACTGTTCCTTTTGGGTGGTTTACTAGAGCAGGTGTTCTGTCAGCGCCTAAGGAGAGTGCCAGATATTAACATACTAGCTAATTATAAAAATGATTGCAGTCACTGCCGCCTGTTAATGGTGGTTCAATCGTAATCAAATACTTTAAAGATTCGCCAGTAGTTCATCCAAGTCAAAACAGACAACTTTTTATTATCCATGTCACAGTGTTTGAGCTGACCAATTCATTTATATATTGGTTTTCAACGAACGTTAAATAGTATCTCGAGAAAGAGAAAAGTAAAAGGGATTACTCGAATTCAACTAAACAAAGAAACCAGTGAGTTTTATTTTGTTGAATTGTGAAGCACATTGACCCGACTTGCCCTTTTTCTCGCAGAAAGATAGTGATAATTATATTTGTTAGGCAATATATTTGTTTATAATAAAAAAACAAGAATCATTAACGGCAGATCTTGCATGTTGCTACAATTTAGCCTATTCAAAAATAATCATTTTAATTTAAGTTTGTAAACAATAAAATGATTAGTTACCTCCATATTCTTCTGACCTCTCGTCCTGGGTTGATTTTTCATGTTCAAGATTCGGTACATCATTATCCATAAGCTGATCAGAGGCACCTTCTTCTATAACCTGTTTAGGGAGTAAACCCGTAAAGAAATACTCTCCTTATTTCTTGCAAGTGATGATAACTTGTGAACAAAGGGAAGGGGAAGGAGAGGAACATACTTCACTCAGCCATCCGAAAAGCGATAAAAAGAAAGGTATTTGGCACCACCCTACCTTATCACCCTCTCCTGGGGTGGTTACTGACGAGGTGACCTGGAACTCAGGGAGGGGCTTTGGTTTTGGTTGATATTGAAACTTCTGTCCTTCCTTGTTTGGATCAAAGAAGTGCAGAAGTGCCTCCTCGTGGATCGTTCGGTGCTTTGAGTTCCAAGACAAAATAAAACTTTTCCTTCCATCAAGGTACTCGTCATCAAACTGCGAGGCCACTTTTCTCCGTGCCCAGCGTGAGATCACAAACTGTTCCTGTTCAGTTTTATCTTTGTAATCCTTGTCTCCAGCGATGACTATCAACACTTTGTCACCTGTATAATCAAACAACCATTATAACTAAATAATAATAATAGTAGTAATAATATTAATAGCAATGGTGTCATAAAAAATACTATGATGATCAATGATATTGACGACGATCATAATGATGACAATGACAATAGTAACAGCATGGGTAAAGGCAGTCGAAAGTGACAGGCACGGGGACAGGTACAAGTACAATAACAGTGACAGTGACAGAGACTGTGCTGGAGACAATAAAAGTGGTAGATACTGTAACAGAGAGAATAACAGTGACAGAAATTGTGACAGTGAAAATGAAATTGAGAGAGATTGTGACAGAGACAATGACGGTGAAAATGGCAGGGAAGGTGACTGAGACAGTAACATTAATGACGACAGTGTTGGCGACAATAACAACAACAGTGACAGTCTGTGACCGAGACGACAACAGTGACGATGCGAGTGACAGTGGCTGAGACAGTGACAGGGCGAGTGCAAAGAAAAAAACAGTAACAGCGACAGTGAAAATTTTTGCGACAGAGTCAGTGGCAGTGACAAAAACAGTGGCACTAACAGCGAAAGTAACAGTAAATTATAGTGACATTAACGGTGACAATGAAAGTGACAGTGACAGTAAAAGTAAGAGAGACGGTGACAGTGATCATAATGATGAAAAGGAAAACAATATATATCAATGTGAGTGTCATGACTTTTGTAGCTTTGGGCTTGAAAATACCTCTGTTGAAATTGCCAAGGGTACCCTCCATTTGATTTTGCACTTAAAATTAAAAAATAATGCTTTCATCGGTTGTGTAATTCCTAATTTTGTCGATACTCTTAATACTTTATTTCCTCAGTTCACCAGAATAACCCTTAAATACAAGATTCAAACTCATACTTTGTAGCAAACTAAGCATGGCCCGACTTGTTAGTCTAAGCGGCGGGACTCTGTTGGAGCCATTATCGAAAGTGAAAGTAACTGAATAATGATAAAACAATACGGTAAACCCGACTGGTAAAAGCTGTCATCGATGTTTCATAACAAAGTGGTACTTCAGACCCTTTTATGCTTGTTGTGTAACACCGGAACGGCTTTATTTACGAAAGTACGACTTTTCAAACGCTTCCGCCCTTGAAATACTCACCCGTGGCTCTTGACAATGCTTTATACAACTTGGCGTAACCAATTCCAGCGTTTTCTTCGTTGATCGAAAGCCGAGATTCATCTGCATGGACAGCGAAAACGGCAAAATCAATTTTTAAGTGAGGAATCTTACTGTCGCAAATTTCAGACATGCTTTTCAATCCAAAATATAGCTTTTCAACATCGATCTTCAGGTTGTGCTTCTCTTCCATTTCAAAGAGAAGTGCTTCGACTTCTTTTAGCTCGCATGTATTGTCACAGTTGAACAGGTAACCTTTCATTGATTCTCTTTCCATTTTTCCACTAGCTTTTAGAACTCGCAAGCGCTTTAGGAAGGATTACTGTGTTTTGGAAATTAATGTTAACCGCCGTTCCGTGAACTGTGGAATCGATTGTTACAGATCGATTTCTTAGAAACGAGATCAACCTTCGCCAATCATGAACAATAGCTGTGTTGTTGACTTCGTCACGTGGCTAAAAAAAAATAATTTGCCCTTGAAATGAAATTTTAAAAAAATAAAATACAATTGAAATAACATGTACTAAAATGAGAAAGAGCTTAAGATATCTAGCGAAGCTATTGTAAAGTACAAAATCATCTCAGTCGCACTGTTATTACAATATCACGAAAAAAAGTTTGTATTGATTCATCGTGGTGATCACTCTGAAACAAATACGAAGTATAATCGTTTGTCTGTCATAAAAGTAATTAACATAAGTCACTTCGGAAGTGAAACCAACGATTTTACATAATTTCTTGTCTTATTACAGTTGGATGTCATTATAATTTGTGTAGGAGGAAATAGCTCTGAACATTCTTAGATGTGGCTTGAAGATTTCAGCACGAACCCAAAGTTTTCGAGGAAAACCAAATAAAAATCATCGACGATTTCTTCTCAGAAGCATGTCCTCGCAGAAATGGAACACAAGAAGTAACATAAGATACCGCCAACAGATTTGCTCTGAGACAATCCAAGATATCAGTATTGCTATATTCCATTCAGGGACAGAAGTCCCCGTTAGTGTCGAATCATTTCTCAACCTTACTTGGTTTTTCAAATGAGGGGTACCCAATGGCGAGATATTCGATAAAAAAAAACCGGAAGTGAAATTATTGCGTGACAATTCCGAGAAAGGCAAATGAACTTTGTACTAATAAAAAGAAAGCTATCCGTCTGTAAACGAAGTTTTGAGGCCAACGAACGAAGACGCATGCATTGAAAGCTCCCTGATAATAAGAATTGTTGAAAAATGGCCAGCCTAGGAAGGTCGATAAAGTTCCACCTTTTTAACTGTGATAACACGTATAGGTTGGACTCAGCAGAAACCTTGTTGCTCAAAATGGCAGACGATCTTAACCTTCGAATATCGATGGATAGGCGAAATTTTCGCCTTCATGAAATGCCGGATGTATGTGAAAATATCATTCCTCAGCTGCAGATGGATTATGCTGTCCTTGTTGTCCATGCTCATGAATCTCGTCTCTCTATCAACGAAGACAACGCTGGTATTGGCTACGCGAAGATCTACAGAGCTCTGCTGCAAGCGACTGGTAGGTCGAATGTAAACATTGAAATGATTGTTTAAAATTTATGCACTGGTAACCTATCGCTACTTTCGTGAAATGAGTTATTTGCGCAACGTAAGAGGTTTTCTTTTAAAAGTGGTAAATCGTCGTACTTCGAGAAGAAATTTTGATATCAATGGCATAACCGAAGTGCTTAATTAATGCATATTTACATACTCTCATCTAATTTGGCTTCGAAGGAAAGGAGAAAAGAACATAACTGGATCCGTTTGTATATGCCGTTAATAGTGCTTATAATACAAAATGACCCAAGCATAAAATCTAACAACGCCTCATCAATGTGGTCGACTTTTGAATCTTTCTTGGAATATATCTGCACTCAAACGTAAAGGGACCCATTAAGCCGAATTAAACATCTCAGAGTGCTCTGAATAACAACAATTTTAATTTTATTCAGCAGGGCAAAAACATTTTTAGAGAGAACTTTATTTAGCTTAGGTCGAGATACCTTACTTTCAGATCAGAGTCCATCATGATGGCGTAAGAACTTTTGTTTTCTAAAACACCACGTGCCGTTCATACCTTGCAAGCCTCTCACCTTTCCTGTATTATGATTCGCGAGAGGAACTATTACGTTATTCATGTTAGTTGTAAAAAAGATTTTAATTATAATACTCTTCTCTGACCAAAATCAGTTCAACTGAAGCCAGTAATGATAAACTTTCGGTTGTCATTCGTATTTTGTCCAGATTCCGCTCTTTATTGTTAGGAGGATGATATCATTTACGACTTATTTACATATCCCGGACTTTGTACTTTTTGTAAAAAAGATACCTTTTTATGAAATCGGAGGTAAAGTACAGCGATTGCTTTCGTTCGTGAATCTTATCCCTGCCGAAATAAACATCACTTACACAAAATACGCTAGTTTTCTGAGCTTTGATTCATTGAGATGTTTGGTACGAAGAAAGATTGAAGCTGAGATGTAGGACATTTTCCAAAATGTATGAGTGACGTAATGGTATTATGATATCCCTTTTGCGGGGTTTTGGTCTGTTGAACATCGTTGACATACAGTTGACAGAAGCACTCTGGAAAAAGCATGGAAAATTCTCCCCGTCAAGCTCTCTTTAAAAGAATCGTTTACTTATCCTATATAATACTTTACTAGTAGTGGAGGTAACCGTGGACTCCAGGTAGCTTTCAAACCCTCTTTCAATTGGTCAAAACTAATAATTACAAATCAAAACGAACATTTCTGAGCGCCTGTATTCCCCCCACAACGAAGGCCCCTCCTCTTCATGTTGTAGGGTAGAAAGGGGCAAGTAAGAAATATGAGAGACACTGATGACTTTAAAATGAGCAACTTTTAACCAAGAGGTAAAGCCACCCTCAGTTGAACTATCACCTGTGTAAAGGTGTAATATAATACATTTTGTCCTGTAATTTAAGGAAACAAAGTCTTGATCGTCATCGGTGGCGATGATAATTACAGAGATCAAGACGAGGAGGAACAGGTTGTTATCTCACGCTGGGCACGAAGGAAAGTGGCGTCACAGTTTGATGCGGAGTATCTAGATGGAAGGAAAAGCTTCATTTTTTCTTGGAATAAAGCGCACAGAGAAATCCACGAGGAGGCACTAAAGCACTACCTCGATCCTAGTAAGAAAGAACAGAAGTTCCAGTATGTGCCAAAACCTAAACCAAAACCAACACAAGACGAGGTATGGCTTATGTTTATTTTCCACTCATTTGAAATCTACTGTTCTGTCAAAGGGGAATGGAAGTCATTGGTAAAATACGGGAACAAGTATTCTGAACTTGTTTCTGGAAATTTGGCTGTAAACGTTTCTTTATTGTTGTGAACTACTTTTCTACAGCCAAATTAGGCAACTGGGGGTGAAAGATTCCTCAGCTCATTAGGTCTTCCTTTCGAGAGGTGCATACACTAATACTGCGGCAATGAGTGAACCCCACATCCTAGAACTACCAGAAATGCGTCCTTCCCTTTTTGATGAAATTTAGTCAGGAAGTGAGGGTAGGACTGAAACTGGAATTTCCGTTCATCAAACCTCAGACTCCCTGATACCCTGACTACTTAAATCTCCAATTTTTAAATTACTTCCAACATCATTTGTTTTCTTTTTGTTAATATTTTGCCGTTTTCTTTCTTATCTTTTTACCTTCCTGTTTACTATTCCTTTTGAACCGAAGGAATCTGAAGATGACAAGGAGTTTCCACGAATAGGAGGAAGTGGTGAGTTTAAAGCATTCCCTGTAGAATCCAATTCTAAATGCGAAATTTTGTTTGTGTGGATTGGCCCTCGGTTCAGAGGTAATCTTGCTATTTAAGCTTACTAGATGAATGACAAGATTCTCTGTAACTGGCACAGAGATGTTAGCTTCTTTCACAAATTTCCTCTCAAAGCCTGTCCTCACCAAGCTTGACAATTACAGAAGAAAGCCTTAGGTCCCTAAAGACAAATTGTGCTAGATTAAAGAACAAGTTCATGGTACAGATATGATTCATATCCTTTGCTATTTTCTTAAAAAACAGTTGACACCTGAAGGTATTTGCAGCGCTTTTGCTTCAGTGACGCACCTTGCCTCTCAGAATATTACCATTAAGTTAATGCAAGTTATTCATTAGTCATGTTTTGTCGTGAAGGTCAGAACAAAACTTTTCAAATTCCGTTTGCTGAACTTCTTGTTTGGAACCAAGTCAAGACTTTCAAATCTCAAGTCATACTTCAAATATCAATATCAAACTATTAATACACAAAATCATAAATTATCCCTGAGCTTCTCTTAACACCCCAGGACTCCCACTCCATAGATCATAGGTCTCACAGCTATTTACCGAGTCCCGTATCTACAAGTCCCTGGTTTCACTGAATTTGAAAGCCTCAGATTCTTTAGCTCCCACTGCGCTTTCCAAAACCCATTTTCATGCTAACTGATGCCTCTTCTTAATTGTTATTAACAAGTTTATTCAACCAAACTTTAGGGTCCCTACAAGAAGAACCTGTCGATCCCAGACCATACTATCTTGAAGGTACCGTTCTGCTGGACACTGTCATGCGCTTTGGAACAATATCGTATGAAGAGGAGGACGTCAAAGTATGGGATCAGAGATGGGAGCCTTCTGGAATGATTGTTCGTCACCTGTCGAAAGATTGGATGTTTAGACCTCATGCGAATATTCGATTTGTCGCTACAGCTGACGGAGGTGTCTCTTATAGTGTGCGACCACAGAGTATTGCTATCTCGTTGAGTGCTGTATTACTGGGTATTTTGAATTGGTTGTTTTCTGGGTTACATTTCCAACTCTACCAGTCTTTGTTTGTGTTGTTACCCGTTTTGAATTTTTGTGAGTTTTTTAAGTGGCTTATAGAAGAGGTTAAAGCGATAGTCGAGCAAGTAAAAAACACAATTACCCAATCCGTAACCTGGCTTATGGATGTGGTTAAAGCAAGAGTAGAGTAATTATATCCATAAATAACCCAATCAATAATCTGGCTGGTGGAAAGTGTAGGAAATTATGGACACATTTTCTGTGCATTAGTTTTTGTGTGATCTCGTGAGATCGATATCTTGGTGAATGATTATCCATAGGTAGGGTTTGTAAACAGTTACAGAATTTTGCATGAAAAAAAAAAAACATGATTCTTCTCTCAAGTACAATGATCACTTTATTTTGCTCCAATACTTTTCAGACAATCCTGATTTACCCAAAAGGTGATTCTCATGGAGACGCGAGCTCGCACCTTAGCCTGTTTCTTGTGTTGTGTTCCTAAGTAAGACACTTTACTCTCCAGGTGCATCCAAGTAGGTGCAAAGGTGCATCCAACAGTAGAGAAATCGATTTTCCGCGAAACTGTCGGGGACCGAAACTGTTCTTAATGCTAGGTAATCTGTGATGTACCGACCTTCTGCTCATGGGGAAGTAATAGCGCTCCTTGTTGTTTTCAAGACAAGGAAACTCTACCAGGATAGGCTGCTCGCCACCCAAGTTGGCGATACCTTTAACTTTTCGGTTTATAAGGTTAATCTTGTAGGAAACCTTTCGCAGTGTTTCTACGCAACTTTTATATGTGATTGCCGGAGTAGTCGATGCAATTTTGTTGAATTATTATCTTTTGTCCCGCCTGAATATGAAATATATATGCCTAATTCTCAGAAACAGGTTTTGCGTTAGTTTAGGTAGAGTGGACAAGTCACATATTGTTAATGAACAGTGTTTCAAGTTATGTCGCTTGCGCTGGTATTCATGATCAATTCCAACCGCCATTAATGTTGACTATCTAGGTCGTGTCAATGTAAGTATTACCTTTCTGATGTTTTTCTATGATAATAAAGTGTCATTTGGAACGATAACTCGATTCTAGACTGATCTTGTTTAGGGTCTGACTATTCGCCATTTGATGTGACGCAGCTTTCCTTTTTACTTGGTTTTTTTTTGGTGGAGGGGGTTGTCTGGGCATCCTGAGGTTTTCCTAAGATCGTGATTACGGCAAGGCCGGGGCTCCGTGAATTCCACCGCGAAAGGACCATCCAAGGATTCGTTCATTGTTATCAAGACAATTCACTTTCCTTGGAATTAGTTACCCTCCATATCGCGCTTCTTTAAAGAAAGCCATACTAGCCATAATTGTAATGCCTTATGACGTCTAATCTTTTTATATAGACCAATCTATGAAATATATAGTATCTTCCTAGAATAATATTTTCTGGGAGTTAGTTTCAGAAGAAATGTTTACTTTAAAACATTTTATGGAAATGTAAACTATGCAGACATACTCTGGACTAGACCCTCCGGTTCCAGCCACCAGCAAATCAATCATTTCTGAAATCAGCTCGCTTTACCAGAGACGAAAAAAAGGAGCAACATTGAAATGCGAGTTAAGTTTTAAAAAAGAACCGGAAGTCATTTTGAAGTAGAGTGATAGCATTGCGTGACGAATTGAATTTCCGAGAAAGACGAATGAACTTTACTCAAAGCCAAATGGTCGCCATACTGCAGTAATCGATTCGTATCCATTGAAAGTTCTTTGGCAGAACAAAGAAAAATGGCGAGTCAAGTGTGGGTAATGAAGTTTCATCTTTTCAACTGTGATAACACGTATAGATTGGACTCAATAGAAACATTTTTTGCTCAGAATGGGAGACGATCTCCTCAGAATATTGGTGGATAGGCGAGATTTCGCCTTCCTGAAATGTCGGATGTGTGTGAAAACATCATTCCTCAGCTACAGATAGATTATGCCGTCCTTGTTGTCCATGCACATGAATCCCGTCTCTCTCTCAACGAGGACAACGCTGGTATTGGCTACGCGAAGATATACAGAGCTTTGCTGCGAGCGACTGGTAAGTCGACTGTAAACATTGAAATGATTGTTTTGGCAACTTATCCATATTTGCTTGGGATGAACTGTTTAAGGGGTTTCTTGTAAAAGTGATAATGAACGTAAGACATCGGGTTTCAAGAGGAAGTTTAGATATCAAAGGTATTTGTAGTTCCATACTCTCATCTTATCCTGCCGGCTATACAGGGAAAAGGAGAGAAGAGTAAAAGTGGATATGTTGCTATAATATCTGATAATAGCTCATTGTTCAGTTCGTCGTTAAAAATATCCTCGAAATCCATGTTTACTAAAACTTACAGAGACTTTCTAAATGTATTGCCTATTAAGCTGAATTAACCATGTTAAAAGTGCTCCAGGTTACAACAGTTTTCATTATACTACGAGCCTCAGACTTGTCATGTCATATGATTCTTACGAGGAACGTTACTAATGTTTTTTGTTCCACTCAGAAATTGAAATTCATTGACTAAAATGATTTCAGTTGAAGCCAAACGTAATGAACTTTCTAATGTGATTTGTAATGTGTCAATATTTTACTCTTTATTTCTCGAGTATGATATAAAAACCTAATTCGATGGTTTAACAAGAAAACAACAGAGAAAAATATTTAAGTGTTCTTTGTGCCCAAGAAAATGATCTGTCGTGCTTAAAAATTCGTTTCTGTAAAGATGAAGCCTAGTTAGTTTAGTGCGGCCATTTTGTTGCTCCCTATTGAAGCACCCAAAGGCAAGAAACATTTTCCCTCTAAACCACCCGTCAAGCTACTTTTTGAATAATATTTAATTTGTTCAAAATGTTCCAGTTCATTGTGGAGGTAGCCGGGGACTCCAGGCAGCTTCCAAACCTCAGTTTAAATTGTCAAAAGCAATAACTTAAAATAACATGATTATGCTAATCCATCCAACTCCAATTATTTCAAGTGAACTAAGGCCGAAAGGAAAACATGACAAAGATGAGAAACGAACAACTTGTCAACGAAGCAATAAAAACGCTTATCAAATGAACTTGTGCAAAGATATAAGGTGTAATACTGTTTCTTTTAATTCAAAAAAAGAGTATTGATCTTCTATGAAGGGAAGGATAACTTCGATGATGAAGACGAAAAAGGAAAGGTTTTATCTCACGCTGGGCACGAGAGAAACAGGGGCGTCACATTTTTATTTGTGAAAAGCTCTTAACTCTGTTCAAAACTACTTTCGGTGCAGAATCAGTATTATTTGTTTAGTGGTGTAATGTGTAACAGTGTGTTTTGTACTTTAAGGAGGCAAAGTCTTGATCATCATTGGTGACGATGATGAATACAGAGATAAAGACGAGGAAGAACAGGTTGTTATCTCACGCTGGGCACGAAGAAAAGTGGTGCCACAGTTTGATGGAGAGTATCTCGATGGAAGTAGAAGCTTCACTTTTTCTTGGAATGAAGCGCACAGAGAAATCCACGAGGAGGCACTGAAGCACTACCTCGACCCTAGTAAGAAAGAACAGAAGTTCCGGTATGTGTCAAAACCAAGAGCAGAAACAAAACCAACACAAGACGAGGTGTGGCTTATGTTTTTTTTCCACTCATTTTAAATCTACTATGCTTCTGTCATGGGGGATGGAAGTCATTGGTAAAATATGGGAACAAGTATTCTGAATTTTTGCCGAGGGAGAAAGCCATATGCTTGTACCTGGAGATTTGGCAGAGAACATCATTTTATATTTGTGAACTTTAGCAGATTACCCCTTTTAACTACTTTTCCACCCTTTAATTAGGTAACTAGAGGTGGAAGATTCCTCAGCTCATTAGAACAGAAGTTCCAGTATCTACCAGAACCCAAACCAAAACCAACACAAGACGAGGTGTGGCTTATGTTTTATTTTCCACTAATTTTAAATCTGCTATGTTTTGGACAGGGAGGATAAAAGTCATTAATGAAATGCGCGAACAAATATTTTGACTTTTTGCCGAGGAGCAAAGCAATTTACTTGTATCTGGAGATTTGGCTGTGAACTTTATTTTATGGTTGTAACATCGAGCAGACAACTCCTTTCAACGACTTTTCCACCGCCAAATTAGGTAACTGGAAGTGAAAGACTCCTCAGCTCATTTGTTCTTCCTATTGAGAGAAGCATACACCAGTATTGTGGCAATGAGTGGCCCACATCCTAGATACCAGATTTATTTTATTTTGCTTTTTATTTTCATGGTATTGTGTTAACATCGCTACGGTTTTATCACTATTATCATCATTATTTCTATTATTGTCTTTTTCGTTTGATCATTATCATTTTTATCGTTATTGGTATTTTCATTACTATTAATTATGGTATAAATTGATGAGCCTCATTAAAGATAGTTTGATAGTTTGATAGCGATGAACGAGAGAGAACAAGGACTGAAGCAAGCAGCACTCGTTCAAACAAACTTTTAATAATGGGAAAAAATATATTATTCCGTCTCTTAAAAAACATCACTTGGAAACAATGTTTGTACACCGAAGAGCGGTTGCGGCGTGGGTCGGAGAAGGTTGTAGTTATTATCAATTTGAGGACGATATTGATGTCAGCACAATCTTCCTTGCCCTTTAGGACCTCAATGGTGTTTCCCTTACTCTCTACTACGGTTTGTTACATGCATGACGCTAACTGACAGGTATGAAAATATTACATCGAATGGGTGGGGGCTATTATAACAATTCATAAAGAGTGGTGTTGTAGTTTAAAAGCACTGTTTACCAATTAAAATTTGTGGCTGATTGTGATATTATTATATAAAGTCTATTTACAAAGGCAAGTTCAAGAAAATAAGGAAAGGGGCTTATCCTTAAAATATTCAATGTTACATCATTTTCCCCCAACGGGTAACAAGAGCAAGCTCCCGTGATCTACTTGTGGAGAATGATGAACTGGATATTGAGTTTAATTCAAATAATAGGGACAGGCACAAACGTTATGGAGGTAAACAATGATTATTTGTTTTATGCACTCCTATTATCAAATTTTATTTGAACAAGCTTAAGCATGACTCCATGAAAACCGTGCAGGGCACCGTAAATGTTCTCCATTCCATAAAGGCGTTTTATTGTATTTATGCAAATGACATGATATTTCCATGTGGATCTACAAGTACGTCGTCCTTTTTCCTCCCTCAAAAGTGCCACAGTGCAGCTTTTTTATTTTTTTGCAGAACTGTTTTTCTTCCGCGCCCCAGATATAAACACCTCGCACGACCTGATCATGGCGAGATATGATGCAATCCTTGATCAATCAAAGAGCGCGTATCTCGATAATCACTAGGTCCGGTTGTTCAATGTGCAGATAACGCTATCCATCGGATAAATCAATATCCAGTGGATAGACAAAATTATTGCACTATCCACTAAATGGCGATTTATCCAATGGATAGCGTTATCCAACCCTATGAACAATCAAGGCCAGGGCTAGTAAGAAAGAACAGAAACACTAACAGTTTACATAGCCAGTCAAAAGTGTACTTAAATGAAAAAAAAAAAAAAAAAAAAGCGCGAGTAAACACTCAGACTTGGCAGACAAACTCCATTATAAAGAGGATAACATCTTTGCAATTACCCAAAACCCAAAAGCTTCCTAGCTTTCTTTTGCTGCGTTATTTCTTTTTAGGGTTTTCTTCTGAAATTTCCCTCTGACTGACATATTTTGATCATGTTTGGTATTTTTATTGTACACTGAACATTTTAAATCATGCTAATGTTATTCTCTGTCACAGGGGTGGCTGTGATATTGAGGGTCGACCGTACCCAATAATTTCATAAAATAATTATTTTATCCTTTGGCGGCCACTTTAGGTACAGACAGAATACCTGCTTCAGTAGACTACCCAGAGGGAACCTTGCTGCTTGAAACGCGTATGCGTTATGGAAAAGTATGGCAGCCATCTGTATAAGCCGTAGAAGACTTGGAACGAAAATGGAAATTAGTCCGTGATGCAAACGTGCGATTCATTGTTAATGATGATGGTACGGTCAATAGTCACGTTACCAGAGAAAAAAGTTTTTGGCAAAGATTGATGCCCTCAAGTCGGCGATGATTTTGCTGCTTGGCCATTTTTTATCGTAAAAGGGCATGTTGTTGCAATTGCTGTTACGACTGTTGTTGTGATTGTTGTTGCGATTTTCGTTACGAATGTCGTTGTAATGCATGCAATAAATAAGTTCCATGTTTTTGTGTCTGTGGGCCTGTTTAGTAATAGATTTTAGAGGACGTCAAGAATAAAAGTGAAACATTCGGCTGAGCTGCAAGCTCGTATGCCACTTTTTAGTATTTACCACTATGACGTTTTCTGTAAAGTATAATTGAACGGAGGCACGACAACATGGAAAAAAAGTTGTTGATCGTGACGTCTGTCCTCCAACAGCTAAGAAAAATGCGTATATGATCGCACACCTTATATAATAAGCACTTAATGACTGGCCTCCAGCGAAACAGTGACTTATGTCTCCCGGACAGCCTTTATTCTTTCGATACGAAACCGAGGGGAACATCGAGGATCGAGGGGAGACAATGGTTACTGCTTCCCAGACATTCCCAGCTCTTCAGGCGGCTAGTATGTCGGCCTATACTGTTTGCGTAAGAGAGACTCTAAAACAAAACCAATATTCAGCCGAAAAGTGAAGCTTTGAGGGCAAGCGTGACAGTTTGAGGAAAATTTCTCAGCGAAAAACACGATCAGCCGATAAACCAGTAAACCAGAAAGGTGTTTATTCATTTCATAACCCCGCCCCCCCCCCCCCCCTCCTCCGTTACATTGCACCGGTTACATTTGTTCATTTATAATTGTTTTTAATGCTCCATGCTTGAAATAAGATTAATTTGGCTGTTTATCTAGACATGGTTGGGCTGAAGGGTGAATAGTTGTATAATGCAAGCGTTATATCTTAAGTGTAATTATGATGCGAGCCGGTAAGTTGTTTTATTTGTAAACTGTGGCCTTAACTTGGCGATTTAAACAGGAACTTTTCACTTCAGCTTTTCTTGCGTCTTTTTTCTTTTCTTATTTGGATTTGACCCTTGGGTTCCAGCCACCAGCAAATCATTTCTCAAATCAGCTCACTTTACCAGAGATGAGAAACAAGGAGTAACACTGAAATGCGAGTTAGGTTCTAAAAAAACCGGAAGTAATTTCTAAGTAGAGTGAGAGTATTGCGTGACGAATTGAATTTCCGAGAAAGACGAGCGGACTTTACACAAAGCCAAATGGTCGCTATACTGCAGTAAACAAAGTTTTGTGGCAAGCAACTGATTCGTATTCATTGAAAGTTCTCTAATATAACCGACAAAAATGGCGAGTCCAGTGAGGGTAATGAAGTTTCACCTTTTTAATTGTGATAACACGTATAGCTTGGACTCGGTGGAAACCTTGTTGCTCAAAATGGCAGACGATCGTAACCTCAGACTATTGGTGGATAAGCGAAAATTTCGCCTTCATGAAATGACGGATGTGTGTGGAAAGACTATTCCAATGCTACAAATGGATTATGCCGTCTTTGTTGTCCATGCGCATGAATCTCGTCTCTCCATCAACGAGGACAACGCTGGTATTGGCTACGCGGAGATCTACAAAACTTTGCTGCGAGCGACAGGTACGGTCGGTCGTCTAACATTAGGGACCTTTAGCAAACCACGACGGCGACGGCAGCGAGTAGGTGGCGAAACAAAAGATCTAATGAGCAGAGCAATAGCTCAGCTCGTACATTTTCGAACTTTGTACATTTCTTAGCCGTCCTCTGCAAAATAACAACGTGAAATCCTCAAAATTACCGAGGTTCGAGAAAGGAAACCTCGACGGCAAATTATCTAAGTTTCCATTTGGAACTCAACGCTCTTTCATATGCTATGATGAGGTTAACTTGCGGCGCCGTAAAGGATGGTAGTCACATCCACTCATTCGCGAAATTTCAACTGAAAATATCTCTTCATTTTAAATTCGACGTCTTCTTTGGCGTTGCCGTCCTAACTACTAAAGGTCCCTATTTCAGTATGATAACGATGCCATACTAGTATAAATTCTCATTTGAACTCTTGTCAGTTTTATTGCAGTAAGTGCCATGATATTTTTGCTTGTCAATCAATATCATTCTTAAATTGTCGGCTATCTATCCAATTACTCAAGACTAAGGCTTCAAATGACGAAAAGCGAAAGACGCTAAGATGAAAATATTGCTGTTTTACACTTGTTTCAGTTAAATACAAAACGACGCGAACGTAAGATCCGATTAAGTTTGGCTTTTGAATAAGCTGGAAATACATGGCCTGGCATCAGAATAAACCGTTTTAAATGTTTATTACTACAGCATGATGACTTTGGACACGGATTTTCGATGCCGGGTAAATGCTATCAAAATAGTTTGGGTTTGACTAATGCAGGAATTTCAGATCAGAGTCCATCGTTACACACCAAAAAATTTCTTTCGAGGAGAACGCTTTGATACTTTTCGGGCTTCCTTTCCTTTGATCTGGCATTTATTTTCAAGAAGAAAATCGTCATCTGCATCTCCAATTTTCTTCTCACTAATCCTTTTCACCGACTCATCTGAACTGAAGCCAAAAATAATCACCTCTACATTTAGGAATTGTATTTTGGTAGAATTTAGTAATGTTTCGGATCGATAAGCATTTAAAAGAAACAAACGACTACAGCGGTGCAAACTCTTTGTGAAAATTTTGATTAGAGCAGAGTGACAAGTGTTCATTCGCTCGTCCTACAAATGTTCAACCTAGGCTTTACATAGGTTCTACATAGGTTCCCAAGTGTGAGGTTTGTTTTGTTGTATATCAAGTTACCCTCTAAACTCTTCAAAATCGAAGATTGCAAAACATCCTCCAAATAAGGTGAGTATAAGCGAACAAGGTTTAAATGGAACTCATGAACTGCAGTCCATCGGATAATTGTGGTAATGAATATTTACTCAGGTCTATATTTCTATAGTTACAGTGTATGATGTAAATGCTTTTTGATGATCTAGTTGGCTCTTACGTCGAATTGTCACAAACAAATAGTCGAAAGTTAAACAGAGGCTCATCATTCAACTTCCGTATATTTACAAAACTACTCTCATACTACCTCTCCCCTATGGGTTCTGAAGGTGAAAGACTGAGAAATATAAAATCCCCGAGAAATGTCTTAACATACCTTGAAGAAGTGCAAAACATTTAAAAAGAAAATTGTCATCCATTTAAATCCATGATGTATGTGTAACGGTGTGTCTTGTACTTCAAGGAGACAAAGTGTTGATCGTCATTGGTGGCGATGATAATTATAGAGATGAAGACGAGGAAGAACGGTTTGTTATCTCACACTGGGCACGAAGGAAAGTGGCGTCACAGTTTGATGAAGAGTATCTCGATGGAAGAAAAAGCTTCGTTTTCTCTTGGAATAAAGGTCACAAAGAAATCCACGAGAGAGCATTAGAGCACTACCTCGACCCAAGTAAGAAAGGAGAAAAGTTTCAGCATGTGCCAAAATCCATAACTGTAAACATTGCTTCTGGAACCGTTGATGATTCAGACGAGGAAGCAGAACTGCACTTCTTAGAGTTTGGTAAGAAAGGGCTAAAGTTAAGGTATGTGCCAGGACCACAACCTCCTCCCACCACAGATGTTTCAGAAGAGGTATGCGCTTTGATTCAGATTGTTTAGTGGTCATGATTTGCACGTTTTTGCTATCGACCAAATTTGTGTCAACAAGCAATGCGTGAATCATTAGACTAATTTGAAGCTTTAAATCACGCAAACCATACCTGAAACCAAAAAGAGCTGTCCTTGTGCTGTCTGTGACTTCCATTCGCAGTTACTTATATGTTCACTGAAAATACACTTTTCTCTGACAGGGCAGTTGGAGTTTAATTTATTTGTTGTGCGAAGACGGGACGACGAGCATACAGAGAGTGACAGGAACACAGACAGAAAGACAGACAGACCAAATGTATAGCGCATATAAGGACGGACAAACAGGCAGGCAGGCAGACATAACTGGAAACTGAACGAGAGAGGAAGTCGACTGGATGCATGCTTCATTTCCTGTGATAGCTCCAACATTTTTTCAGTTACCAAACTTGTGATTCTTTTGACTTCCTTGATATTTTATTCCCTAGATCCTTTTAATCTTTAACTTCTCGATTCCTGGGTACCCTTATCACCTGACTGCTTGTTTGTTTGATTTTTCAATTGATCTTTTAACTATCTTCCATTGTTTCCCATCTGTCGTTCCCACCTGGATTCATTCTTCCTCATTTCTTTCTTTCTCATTTGACAGAGTTTTTTGTTTATTCATCCATTTATTCACGTAGGACGTAAGTGATGACGCCAAGAACCCTCTTCTACCTCGTAGTGGAGACGACTCAACCCGAGAGAAACCTAAGAGGAAAGAGGGAAGAAAAAGTAAGCGCAGAATCCAAATCTGGAGATAAATTATTTCTAGGGGCAAAACCTCTCGTTCTCGAAGTTGCCTTGCTTATTGCACTTACGAATTTTTAGGGATTAGGGTATCAATTTGAGAGGTCCTCTGACCCTGTCCTAACTGAAGATAGGAAAAGGAAGCGCTGGAATCAGAAAGTTATTTCGCAAATATTGATTTGATTTAGCTAACAAACTTATATCTTAAGGGACTTAATGCAATTGATGCTTTTATGCAAATTATTTTGTTATCTCTTTTTCTATCATAAACTAAGCCAGGCTTCTATTGAGCAAGGGCCGAAATCCTTAGTAAGGTTTTTTTTCAGTTATTAATGAATCTATTATAATCTAACCTTAATTAGGGCCTAGGCCAGATCCTTTCAATGCTCAGCCGGAATTTCTCGAGGGCACCATTCTGCTGGACACGGTCCTGCGTTTTGGAAAAATCTCCTACAGAGAAGAGGATCTGAAAGCCTGGGATCAGAGGTGGGAGCCATCGGAAAAAGTTGTTCGCCACTTGTTGCAAGATTGGATGTGTAGACCGCTTGGGAATGTTAGATTTGTCGCTACAGCTAACGGTGGGGTATCTTACATTGTGAGACCTCGCAGTTTCTGTTGTGGACTGCGTTTGATCCTTTGGGCGTTCATAATTATCACTATTATCATCATTATTTCTATTATTGTCTATTTCGTTGATCATTATTAATTTTATCGTTATTAGTATTTTCATTACTATTAATTATGGTTTAAATTGATGAGCCTCATTAAAGATAGTCTGATAGCGATGAACGAGAGAGAACAAGGACTGAAGCAAGCAGCACCGTTCAAACAAACTTTTAATAATGAGAAAAAATACATTATTCCGTCTCTTAATAAACATCACTTGGAAACAATTTTTGTACACCGAAGAGTGGTTGCGCCGTGGGTCGGAGAAGGTTGTAGTTACAATCAATTTGAGGACGATATTGATGTCAGCTTAATCTTCCCTGCCCTTTAGGACCTCAATCGTGTTTCCCTTACTCTTTACTGCGGTTTGTTACATGCATGTCGCTAACTGACAGGTATGAAAATATTACATCGAATGGGTGGGGGCTATTTTAACAATTCTCCTACAAAGAAGAGGATGTGGAGGCCTGGGATCAAAGCTGGGAGCCATCGGAAAAAGTTGTTCGCCACCTGTTGCAAGTTTGGATGTGTAGACCGCTTGCGTATGTTAGATTTGTCGCTACAGCTAACGGTGGGGTATCTTACACTGTGAGACCTCGCAGTTTTTGTGGACTGCGTTTGATCCTTTGGGCGTTCATAATAAGTTGTTTAAAGTTGTGCAGGAATTGCCTTCTTTGTATGTTTAAATGGTTCAGTGAACGATGTGCATGTCCAACAAGGGATTGCTTTTTCGGATGTTTTATTACTTGTATGGGAAATTATCAAGGTGTTTTGAATGGTTCAGGGAACTAGTCAAGCGATGTCCATGTCGAACAAGGTATTGCCTTTTTCGGATGTTTTATTACTTGTATGGGAAATTATCAAGGTGTTTTGAATGGTTCAGGGAACTAGTTAAGCGATGTGCATGTCGAACAAGGGATTGCCTTTTCCGGATGTTTTATTGTATGGGAAAATATTGAGGCGTTTTCAATGGTTCAGAGAACTAATCATCTAATGTGTATTTTGAACAAGGGATTGCCTTGTTTGGATGTGTTAGTGCTTGTAAAGGAAATTTTCAAGGTGTTTTGAATGGCTCAGAGAACGAATCAATCGATGCAGAATCACTTTTAGATTTATGCCTCGTTGGACGTAACTTTAAAAATTACCATTTCTTTATTAAGTACGAATTCGGGATTGATATCATGTAGCCGTGAGTATTTTCTCGAGTTTCATAGCCTATCTCAAACTTGAAAACACGAAACGTACTTCTTTGTTCAGAAAAGTAAAAACTGGCATATTAAAGGAAGTGTGTCATGATTGTGAGGTAGCGAACGCGTGTGAAAATACATCACCGGCGTTCGTCCAATCAGAGACACGAACGATAGTACTTCACAGTGTAAATCTCAGTGTTTATGAAATAATTTAATTTACGCCGCACTGAACCGTTGTAATTAATGTTAGAATAGTAATCTATACTAAGTGTGTATTGCCAGGTATGTAAGCAATTTAATAACTGACAGACGTGTAAACTGGATTTTCGTATTTTAGTAATAATAATGATAAAAATAAAGGTCCTCAATTGACTCAAATTGTTGTGGCGTAGTTCCATCAATCTTGTAGACGCAGCGGCTGAATGGCAAGATCTCTATTCAAGCATCCGCTCGATGTTCTTTTGAGGGGGGGGGAGGGTAGGGGTTAACTTACAATGATTAGCTACATGGTTATGCACTTCAAAGTGGATGGCTTTTATGAGTGCAGATAAAGACTCAAAAAATATGGCTACCTTTGTAAACTGTCATTAGGCGGCTGATAGGAAACTTAAATGTTCAGGGAAATATTTGCTTGATGTGAAAAAAGGACAGTGGGTTTCCTTTATGAATATGAAAAGGGTGGTGCTTTGGTCAGATATGAAACCTGAAAAGGTGAGGATATGCACCAAACCAAACACACACGTGTACACGAATGAAACTGTCTCCTCTATTTCTTATAACTGTAAATACCTCCATCCTGCAAAACCAAAAAATTACAATCAACCTTCAGGCTCTAACACCCCCTTTCCCCTCCTCCCCCCCATCTTCTGAACGGTGACACGTAAAGAACAAAGGTTAACACAAACAGAACGACAACCTCTGTGTAAAGATTATGGCGAAGAGTTGATATCGCGCTTATTTAGCAATTTCCTTTTCTCTGCCTTCGTGCTAAGAGTCTTTTCTACCATTGCTGGGAAATTTATAAGTTCCAGTTGGTAATGTATCACTGATGCCCGAAACTGAAGCTCAGGGTAATTCCTCTCCCCCAGGGTAATGAAATATTTGGACAAAATACAAATAGCCTCAGTATAGATATTTTCAAATATGGTTATGCCGGCGGCTACATACTTCTGAAATGTGTTTAGTTCTTTTGCTTTTCGCACCTTTTACTGCAGTGAGCTTTCTCCATTTCGGAGAATGCACAGTGATATAGCCCAAGACGTTTCATGACACTTGATTGTACTCTCAATGCCACCCTGTACCTGTTGCTTTGTTTTGTCGTGTGTGACAAAAAATGGCTCTTAGCCACCTCTGTTTCCAGAATTGTAAGGATTTTAAATAGTTAGATATATACGATTTATTCGTATTTTATCTCTGGTTTCATCAAAGGATTACATGCCTTTGGCTTACGCGTCACCAAAAAGTTAATGTTAAATCCCGGGTAACGCAATATTCTCGGAAATCATTTTCGTGGAATGACAAACGAATGGACTTTGTTCGGCTGCATTCAAGACAGATTGCCCTTCCTGTTCGCTTTTTAACTGTTACGAAAGAAAAATACCATGGAAATGAAAGGAAATTCTACCAACATTTATCTTTTTAACTGCGATAATACTTGCAGTTTGGATCCAATAGAATCCTTGCTACTAGCCGTGCAAAACGACGTGAAGATGCGGTTTGCTGTAGACAAGCGCATTTTTCGGTTGCGCGAAATGTCAGAGATGAGCGAGACAATTATTCCTGAACTGCAGATGGATTATGCTATTTTTGCTGTTCATGCCCAAGAATCGCGTCTCTCAATCAACGAAGACAATGCTGGAATTGGTTTCGCAAGGATCTACAGAGCTTTACTGAAAGCAACTGGTGAGTAAAAAAGATCGAGTTCATAGGGTTTTCCACAATATCGTGTCAAGCCATAAAATCATACCATTTCCTAATTTTTGACGATTCATAGTCAAAAGGCTTATACGTCTTTTATGTCCCTGATTAAACCAACCATTCTAAGAATTAGTGCTGCGTAAAACTTATGCCTTAATTTGTTGTTCGTATTTTACTCCGAGAGGAACACAAAGCAATCAATCCAAACATACAATGGTCTGTCAGTCTCTCAAGGTGGTCGAATTTTTCCACTTTTACTTTTACTTGGACAATGAAAGTTCGCTTTTCAAAGCTAGTTTCTCATTGTTATCACTCTCGCTTTGCAGCAAGCGACTGGTAGGTCGACTGTAATCATTGAAATAAGTACAGTGATGTTTGTGCAGCGAGAAATAATCAAAATAATGCCTTCCTCTGAAAGTGTGTGCAAGCTCGAGATAACAAAGTTCAGATCAGAGTTCACCTTGATACGAACAGTAACTGACGTTAACAACGTAGCCTCTCAGCCTCACCGTAATGATTCTCGAGAGAAGAAAAAAGGCCTTCATCTTCATAAAAAATGAAGAAATGTTTTAACTTCACGTGTTACCAGTTGAGACACGTTATATGCCAAAGGAGTTTCCTCTCGGTCTCTTACCCACATTCACTTGTCTTTTTTTTATTTGTTTTGGTTTTTTAACGAATAAGTTATTTTTTCATGATACTAGTAATTCTGGTAAGCTTGCAGACAGTAGTGTCAAATATTTACAGACAATTTTTCTGGATGAGTAACGTGGTATAAAAAACTGTCATTTCCAAATGTTCCACCTTGTGTATTTTTACCCAAATAATACTGCCTTTCTTCCAAACGTTCTGTTGGTGGGATCCAGTCGAAGAGGGCAATCACGTGCAAAGTGAGACATTAACGATTATCAAACCTTGACCAATGTGTGAACTGCCCTTCAACAGTGAAAACCACTACCACTTCAGTATCAGTATAACTCGTTTAGAATAGTAAGGTGTAATACAGTGTCTTGTATTTAAAGGAAATAAAGTATTGATCATCATTGGTGGGGATGATGAATACAGAGATGAAAACGAAGAAGAACAGGTTGTAATATCACGCTGGGCACGAAGGAAAGTGGAGTCACAGTTTGATAAGGAGTATCTCGATGGAAGAAAAAGCTTCATTTTTTCTTGGAACAAAAGTCACAGAGAAATCCACGAGGAAGCATTAAAGCACTACCTCGACCCAAGTAGGAAAGGAAAAAAGTTCCAGTATGTGCCAAAACAAAAGCCAACAACCTTTCCTCCACCAGTCAATGATTCTCCAGACAAGGTTTGACCGTTTTTTGTCTTTATTTGTTTAACCCTTTAACTCCCATGAGTGACCAAAGCAGAATTTCTCCTTACTATATCGATACAACATTAAGCAGACAAGTGATGAGAATAAAGAAACAGATTAATTAGGGGATTATTAGTAGATCCAATACCAAAAACTCCAAACTAACATCACTAGAACTATATAGCAGACAGTTGGGAGATTAACTAATGAGATCTTGGGAGTTAAAGGATGATCAAGCATGCATCCGGCTCAAGACACACATAATGTAATATCAAGAGGAGAGGTAGCATCTAGTGCCACACGACGATGAGATCGAAGTTCGTTTATGGTTGTACCCTCTGATGGTAACCTATAACCTTATTTCGACATTTGTTTATAACGCATCCACCTTGAATTATTTACAAATTGAAAACTTAGAGAAGTGGAAGAGAGCAATTATTAGCTTACTACTCCTTAGATTACTATTCGGGTTGTGGAATTGCATTCTAGAGTCATCAAGTCTATTCATTGGTGTCCACTCTTCCATTATTCTCAATGTAAGTAGTAGATAGGCATGTTGCAATACCGAGTTAAAGTGTTTCAAACCTCTAAAACATGTTGAGTCAAGATTCCTGTATTTGTTCATCAAGGCAATCTAGAGTCCCATATGTGGTTTATTCATTCATTCATTCACATTCTTTCGTTCCCTCTAATCTTGTTCCTCCTAAATCATTTGTGCTTCTCATTCAAGTTTGTTGAACGCTTTCTTTCATGTATCCTGCAGAACGGTATTTCTGGTGATGATGTACCTCCTCAAGGAGGAAGAACCCAAAGAAGGTCCACAGGCCAAGAAAGAGAAAAATGTGAGTCCACTATTTAACTTAAAGAATCTATTTCTTGTGATAAAATCATTTCTCAGAGGCTGAACACTCATTTTGGAGTCAGTGTACTTTATCAAACGAATAATTGGGTTCAAATTAAATATTTACTTATTTTAATATTTACTTTCCATACCTTGTGACATTGCATATCAACCATGGTTGTGAGCTCTCTGACACAAACTCTACGCTCTACACCAGTCTCGAGTCCCTAAAGGGTCCCAAAAGTCTTAAAGTTTAATTTTAGAAGCCACAAGCTATCATCCTCTGTCCCAGTTCCCAAGCACCAAATTGCGTAACCTCAACCTTACCTTCTCAGTATTGGGCGAGGGCTGAGACCTTCAGTAAGGGTTATTTTTATTTATTTATTTATTTATTGATATATTCAGAAATCTATTTTAATCTAGCCTTAGGGCCCAGGCCAGATCCTACTGATTCCCGACCGGAATTTCGCGAAGGTACCGAACTGCTGGACACACTCGTACGTTTTGGGAGAATCTCGTATGAGAAAGAGGACGTGAGGGTCTGGGACCGCATATGGAAGCCGTCTGGAACAACTGTTCACCACCTGTCGAAAGATTGGATGTTTACACCTCTTGCAAATGTTAGATTTGTCGCTTCAGCTAACGGTGGGGTCTCTTACAGTGTGCGACCTCAGAGTATTTGTAGTTGGGCGAGCATACTGTGTTGTTTAAAGTTAGTCTGGGATTTCCTTGCTTGGATTTGGTCTTGCATACTGTGGATTTTAGTAGCAGTATGTGAATGGCTTGGAAAAAAATGACGTATGAAAATCGCTGTCCATAAAAATTATAAACATTTGGGCCTAGTTAAACCTGATTAAACCTAATTAAACCTGATTTCAAATTTTATTGCAACTCATCAAGTCAAGTTCAAACTACAGTCGAACTTCCTCTTTAAGACATCTATTCATTGTGGACAGCTTCATATATTCCGATCGTATTCTAGCATGCTTTCTTCTAAAACAAACCTCTGTAATATGCAATCTCTTTAATACGGTAAAAGGGGACATTAAATCTCAGCTCAGAGTTGCCGTAATTATGTAAAACAACCTCCTGTTTTCAGTTATATGCTAAATACTAACGATTTATTTACCAGAGATGAGCCTTACAAAAGTTAACACTGTTGCACGGCAGCTTTACTTAGGTTTGATTGTGTATGCTCTTTGCTTTGTCCTTTTGTGTCCGATATTCGAGAGCTTTACCTGTACCTCAAGATAGGCAACGGAAAGCAATTAGCGATGGGCGATCTCTGTTTTATTTGTTTTAAAATTTTACAGGGTATCAAATCACGTCAAAATTTAAAAATAAAATCATGGTTTCTGTAATGGATAGCCTAGGAAAGGATAGTATAATTGTCGAGCGTTAAGAGAAATAGAAACAGTCTCTGAATATGTGAAAAATGTATTTTGCTTAAACAGTTCTGTTACCTATATTCACACTTTTAACGGCTCAGTTTTACCTTCATTCGTCATCTCATTTGTAATTTGCATTGTTATTTTATCTATTATATATGTTTAGTTAAGGTAATCACATGATTTCGAGTGCAATTTGAAATAAATAAGCCCGAGTAAATTTTTTCAAACACTAACAAAATTGCACGAGCCCGTAGGGCAGGTACAATTTGTGGTCTTTGAAAAAATTTACAGTGCTTATTTGTTCCAAATTGCACGAGAAAAATCATGTGATTGCGTATTAATAATATACATGAAAAGATACGAGATAGCTTATCATAATTATGCAGAAGCAAAGCGCGCGCATCAAATGCAAAAATAATTTATTCAAACCCTACATGTGACACCGTGCGTTCGGTCAAAACAACCGCCTACGATCAAAACAATAATATACCACGATATTTTCACATCTTAAGTATAGGTAATCACATGATTTCGAGTGCAATTTGGAATAAATAAGCACGAGTCAATTTTTTCAAGGACATACAAAATTGCACTGAATTAACCCTCTTCCCCATTGAATTACCTGAAAACTACATTTATCTTAACCAATCAGACCTAAGTAATTTTTTCATGTATGTGATTTTAATCGTAATTAGCTGGATTTAGTTAGTTAGGAGATGAAGAACCTCGTAGGATGGATACATTTTCCAAAACTGTTTTATTATTTCTTTTTTTATTTTTATTAACTGATTTCCTAACGATTGAGTGCCTTGGAAACACAGATTTTTAATATTTTGTGGAAATATCTGTTGCGTGGTTTCACAGTTTAAATCAGTTAGGATTTCATCCCTTTATTCCTATATTTGTTTGCATACCTCAGTCCAAGGTTCCAAAATCCTATTTTCCCAGTAAGGAATTAATCAAACCAGGGGGAATGGAAAGTGATGTCGACACTCTAAGCGGTCGAAATGTCTCTAGTCTGTTTGATAGTAAAGTTAAGGTCCAAAAATCTAGCATTTTATATCATCCCCTTAACTGAACGCCTCCAAGTAAGAGAGCGGGATGGACAGCATCGACCTCAGATATCACGACCTGATTTGTTATGCTCTGATTTCGTGTTGTTTATCGTGCTCGTCCATGCATGCAATACTGACAAGAGAGCGACCGTTTCCGAGACATTTTCAACCAAAGGTCATATTCGCTTGATTAATTGTCTTATCTTTCGAAGAAATCGTAGCTTTTAATTGCAATAAGCTTCCTCTCTTTCGAAAGCTGTCGGTGATTTGGTGGCAGATGTATGGTGTTACATGTGACTGAAATCTGTATTCTTGAGTGAACTTGTTGTTTTGTTCGCGACAAAGCTAATGAAGACGTTTGAGGAATAATGACAAAAATTGAAACTCTTCGCCTCGGGTAATTAGCCGCTCTTACCCTTCCAGCTGCAAGTATTTAAATAAACTAAAAATTTAACTTCATATTTTTTGTAGTTACTGGTTTCAGTTGAGGATTTGAAAAAGTAAAAATAAAAAGAAAAATGTTGTGTCCACGTGCAGTTGCCGTACACGTCATCAAGAGGTTCGGTTACAAATGGGAGTAACGCAACATTCTAAGAATTCGTATTCCGGGAACGACAATCAAAGAGACTTTGTTCGGCTGTGTTCGAGAAGGATTTACTTTCCTGTTCGTTGGTAAAATCATTCCAAAGAAAAGTGCCATGGATACTAAAGGAAAGCCGGCCAACATCTATCTTTTTAACTGCGATAATACTTGTAATTTGGATCCAATAGAATCCTTACTACTAACCTTGCAAAACGACGTGAAGATGCGGTTTACTGTACACAAGCGCAAATTTCGGCTGCGTGAAATGTCAGAGATGAGCGAGACAGTCATTCCCGGACTACAAATGGATTTTGCTGTTTTTGCTGTCCATGCCCATGAATCACGGCTCTCAATCAACGAAGACAACGCTGGAATTGGTTACGCAAGTCTCTATAGAGCTTTAAAGAGAGCGTCTGGTGAGTCGAAACGATTGAGTTGATAGTGTTTTGCATCAGATCTTTTCAGAGCGATAACGATACACTTTTTCCTTTTTATGACGATATATACACTCTGAAAAGGTTAAATGGCTTTTCAGTCCTGGAGAAAACAAAAGATATAACGATTCTAAAAATTGTGGCTGTGTGGCATTTGTAATGCCTCTATTTATTATTCGTATTTTTGTTCGTGAGAAACATTAACTGACGTTTATCTCTTAAGGAAGTCGAGCTTTCAATTTTGTTTTTTTGATAAAAGAAAAGACGCGAACCATTAGTCCGATTAACTTTCAGAGCTAGCTGCTCAGTATTAACACTCTCGCTTTCGTGGAAAACACTTAGTTGTGTCTATGTTGGGACTAACCAAAAGCGGAAATTACTTCCGGCCTCGCTACATGTTTCACTTTCACAAAACTGTTCTATGATTCACGGTTTCTCGGAAAGAACTTGGATGTCCGAAAATAATAGATAAAAAATTTTAGAGGTATTTGTTAAGGCATGCTTAGGTGGAGAAAAAGCATTTAATTCCGCTGAAAACTCGTTTTATAGGGTACTGCTATATTCAGATATAGATATCCGATAGATGTGGTGGTATGTTTTTCAGTGAAATTACGTGCAATTTGAATTCAGTGATTTTCATGATGACAGTGATACAATAAACTATTTTTTTGCGCGTGTGTATGTCCAACATACACACGCGCAGAGAGGTCTCTCCACTCAGCATCGATCGTTAGTCACTCATAACAGTTTTCAAATTGATTGATTCATTTTGTTATCCAAGATGACAAGGTGTTGATAGTCATCGGTGGAGACAACAGTTACAAAGATACAGACGAGGAAGACAGATTTGTGATCTCGCGTTGGGCACGCAGAAAAGTGGCCTCGCAGTTCGGAGAGGAATATCTTGACGGAAGACAAAGCTTCATCTTTTCCTGGGACAAGTATTACAGGGAAATCCATGAGAAAGCATTGCTGCATTACTTTGATCCAAGCAAAACAGGAGAGAAGTTTGAATACCAGCCGAAACCAAAGCCATCACCAAAGCCAGTGCCACAGCTAAAGCCACAATCAGAGCCGATTCCTCATGAAGTATGAGAAAATTGAATGAGTTTTTTTGTATAAATAAAATAATTATTTGGTGTCATAAGAAAGGGGTATAGTTGTTCACCAAGAGAACATCTTAGTTAAACAGTCAGCAAAAACATATCGTTTAATACCATCAAGTGACTACAAAATGTCATCCATAATCGTAGGGTCCTGGTAAAAGTCAGCAAAAAGTTGCTCTCGTCTTGTTATAGACTGCTAGCAATCCGGGTCTTCATTTATCACTGCTCGCTCTTTAGAATTCTCATTTCGTTTATTTGCCTGATTATTTGCTTTCCCTATCCAATCATTTTTTTCCTATCAGCCCTCAGACCATGGAGAAACGAAAGTTGATGTGGAAGAACCAGGTCCGTATCCAGGTATAATAAGTAAATATAATTAAATTATGACAGTCTTAAAATTCAAGGAATTGCATTTTGGAAACAGCTGAAGACGAAACTTTTGTAAAACTATGCGTAAATTTCCGGGTACTCAGGCGTTCGTAATGGTAACATCGAAACGTACTATTCATAGGGTTTTCACACTTGTTTAAAATGAAATTTCATGTAAATGTGGAATCTGCCATATAATTGGCATAAGAAAAAGAATTCTGAGCCATATCGATAGCTAAGAGTGCTTTTATATGCTTCTCTTTTTTAAAATAATCGAGGCCAACATGAGAAAAACCCACTTTTCAGAATTTTGACGACGTTTTCTGAACCAATACAAACGACCCGTGTTTTAGAATTCAGATAACCTCGATCTTGTTCTAACATTTGGGACATCATTCCTTTCGAAATTAACCGTCGCTTCTTGATCCAATTAATGTCTTTTTAATTTGAATTTCAGGCCCGTTATACTACCCAGAGGGCACTGTCCTGTTAGACACTCTGATTCGCTATGGTAGGATCTCTTTCGACAGTGGTGATGTTAGGATCTGGGACCAAACATGGAAACCGTCAGAGAGGTTCATACAGGACATAGCACGAGATTGGGGATCAATCCCTCTGGCTGATCTGCAAGTTAGATCTCTTGGTTCTGGTGGTGTCACTTACAAAGTTACACCGGTTGAGCTGCCTTCTAGGTGGAGTTTGTCTGGATGGTATAAGTCATCATGGGTCGCTTTTTTTACTTTTCTCGGTGTGGCGGGGCTGGTCATTTATGGTATTTGGAGGTTAGCCCTAGATTATAACCAACCGAGAATGCCTGATCAGCAAGGACAGCATGAGAGTACTTTCAAAATAGTTTAAAGATTATGTTGTGTAGATGCTGAAATACTTTGACAGTTTTTCGTTTGAACTGCTAGAACTTCCGGCAGATTTAAGTCTACATTAAAAACAGTGAATAGAAAAATGAATCTTTCCTTTTCCTAGATAACTTAACCTACAGAATAGATATACAAACAATCTGATTTGTCGACTATTTCCCGCTTTTGTTACTTACTTTCATAGGGTTAAGCCGCTTCCTTGGTGGAGCTTGTTTTAACGCAGGACATAGCACGAGATTGGGGATCAACCCCTGTAGCTAATGTGCAGTTTAGATCTCTTGGTTCCGGTGGTGTCATTAACACCGTTTCTAAAGTTCGGTCGCCTCCTTGGCGGAGCTTGTTTGGATGGTGTAAGTCAAAATGGGCCGCTTTTTTAACTTTTCTCGGTTTGGTGGTGCTGGCCATTTATTGTATTTGGAGGTTAGCCCCAAGAATGCCTGATCAGTAAGGACAGCATTAGACTAATTTTGAAATAGTTCAAAGATTATGTTGTGTTGATGTTGAAATATTATGACAGATTTTCGTTTGAACTGCCAGAACCTCTGGCAGATTCACGTCTACTTAAAAAACAGTGCACAGAAATAGAGGGTATCACATGGCCGCGCGGGGATACGAATTTTATATTCAAGTGCTGTTTATTTTATAGATACTGATGAAATTCCTAAATTATTTCAAAAGAACCGGCCGCGCGCCTGAGCGGGAAAATCTCTTGTAATTGGCTAATCACGTTAGTAACCATGGCGACACCAATATCCTCACACGTGAAATATGAAAATATTATCTTCACAGCTCGCGATGAAAATCATATGATTTTTTCGTAAAAGTAAAAATCCTGGTGTTTCATCCGTATCTATACAATAGAAATGAATCTTACCTTTTCCTAGATAGCTCAACCTACAAAAGAGATCTTAATTAAGAGAGTTCTTTGCAAAGATTAGGTCAGATATACAAACAATCTGATTTGCCGACTATTTCCCACTTTTGTTACTTACTTCCATTCGATGTTATTATGTTTCATGGAGTGAGATTAGCTCAACATGGTATTCGTGCGAGAACAAACCAGATTTACCAACGTAGTAAACTGGCTTTGGGAATTCATGTAGTTATTCATTCAAATTTACTGGCCAGCTTACAGGTGACAGCCTTGCACGTTCTCGCAATCTATCCAAAGAGTAGTAAAACGTTTGATCACATTATGCTGTGTGATGAGCTCCTGCAGAATGGGCTGGAAGGCCTCTAACCTGCTTGTCCATTGATATTTTAGTTTCATGACTTCAGTGCTGTAGTATACCTTTTTCACTTTATTGACAAGTTTAACATTCATTTCGAGTGTAACGGGTAATTTTTAAGAGAATCTTGTCATTGGTAAGTTGTTATGGTACAAAAACAATTCTATATGAATTATAAAAAACGGTTTTTGTTTTGTGAAGTCGAAGTAAGCAATCAGTTGAGTCTTTACGAGATAAGTCACGGAAGTTCTACTGTTACTATTTTAGCTAATATACCTTTATTTCTTTCCTTTGGGTGAAAAAAAATTATTCTGTTGTTGTAGTTGTTTTTAATATTATTTCTAACCGACTGTTTTCAACATTAAATATTTTGTCGGTTTTTTCTTCCCTGTGATAAGTTATCATTAGCTGTTAAGGTCATGATCATCAACTATGTTATCCAAGTTGTTCAGAAAACATAAAACAATGTAGGAATACTAAAGGGAGATTAAAATGGACGTCACACATACAATAGACATGATTTAGCATTGCAATTTCTCTTTCCCTTCCGATCCCATCCTTGCCTTTAAATCCAAGCACCTTTACTAACATAGTGTTTGAAAATGGCCGTTTAATATTTACATGGGAATAGTGATTCTAAAATGAGTGGAGGTTTTATATTAAGAACCAACCCTTGGCTAAGGTTTTGTTCAGGACATATTCACGCATTGTTCAATTGACCGAAGAAAAAGCCAAAGAGGGAGTTATGTTGGCTGCAAATTCCCGTTGGGGTAACAGAATGTCTTAAAGCATAACAATATTGCTTATAGTCAATCGCGAGGCTCAAAGTATATCTTTATCCTTTTGAGACTGAAAGGAACTGTTTAATTTTGCTCAATCCGTTTTTCGTTTATCAACTAAGGAAGGACGAGAAGCAGAGTTTTTCTCTTGTTGAAGGTTTGGTTGAGCACTTTGTGCGCTGAAGTAAGAAAGTATCACATCACGGTGTGAAACACTCTTTTTTTTTTTTGAGACTGCATTGCGTGACAATACAGATGAAAAACAACGTCACAAGATTACCGTTTCTGGGAAATCTGCTATTCATAGAATCATTACCCTAAGACAAACGACACTCACTGATAACATAAAGTTGAGCTTTTGGCGAAGAAATAGTTCAGAACGTTGTGACATTATGGCGGATAAGTCGAAGAAAACCATTTGTCTTTTCAATTGCGATAACACCTATAAGCTAGATGTGGTTGAGGCGTTCCTGATGGAAATGAATAAGAAACATGGCTTCAACTTCGCGATTGGGAAGCACAACTTTGAATTGCAACAAGTGGCTAATTATTGTAAGACCAAAATTCCTCAAATTCAGATGGATTGTGCAATTTTTGTCGTACAGGCACACGAGTCGCGTCTCTCGATCAACGAAGATAATGCGGGGATTGGCTATGCGAAGATCTACAGAGCTTTGTTAGTTGCCACAGGTAAGTTAAGGGAAAAAAACTGTTTCATTTAACGGGCATGGATGGCATAGAACTAAACAACAGACAGTTTATCGCGTTATTAAGTGTTGAACGGGAGATTCGGTAAAAGAGAATATGCGCAAATACTTTACTTTTTCTTTCGAGCCGTTGTTGTCACACACCATAAGGCGGAAGCGGTTTAGGGGTTTTTTTCGGCATTTGATCCATTTATCCTGTGAAAACGAAATGACATGTTCGTGATACAACATTCGAGGTCATATTTTTTAAAATAAGGAGAATTTTATTTTTACGAAGAATGGGAAATGTGATAATATTCAAAACATTTGATTCAACTCGCCTGGTAGGTAGTCTAGGTATGCGAATGCTTATGAATAAAGATTCTACTTGCAATTCGTACGGGACTCAGTGTATTTGTAACAGAAGCTAAAGAATTTAGAGTCTTTTTTTGGCATTTGATCAATTTATCCTGTGAAAACGAAATGACATGTTCGTGATACAACATTCGAGGTCATATTTTTGAAAATAAGGAGAAATTTACTTTTACAAAGGATGGGAAATGTGATAATATTCAAAACATTTGAATTAACTTGTCTGGTAGGTAGTCTAGGTGTGCGAATGCTGATGGATAAATCTTCTTGTTGGAATTCGCACGGGACTCAGTTTATTTCTAACAGAAGCTAAAGAATCGCATTTGTCATCAGGGGAAAAGAGGGTATTGGTTAAATCTGTGACATTATTAAAACCGTGCAACACACTGGCGGAGCGAAATGGAAACAAATATACATGTAAGACACGCATGAAAAAGCTTGGTACATACTGCAATATTCACGCTTGTGGTAAACAACTCGTATGAATTGCAAATAGCAAGTCGGCGAACGACGCTTCCTTTTTCTTAACTATCTATTACTATTAACTATTGGTTACTAAATGCTGCCAATTCGATACAACAACGATGAATTTAAGTTGAGAGGAAGCAATGACTGAAGTCATGGGGGAATTAATTTAGCTTGATTACTCATTGTTAGAAGAAGCACGAATGGCCGAACAAAAATTCAGTTAATGAGTAACGTAGAAAAATATAAGGGGTATTTTTCTCGGAAAAAAGACGGATCTAAATTTCATTTACGGTCAGAACTTCGGAAAGAAGAGGGAAAAAAAATATCGATGTACTTTTTCCTATAAGATCTATATTTGATTATTTGATAGAATATATATCCTATATTTAGGAAAAGGTTAGTTTACAAGTGTCGCAAAGAAAATAGTTGCAAAACAGAGAAGAACTGCAAATATCGTACACTTAAGTAATTATTGCACGCTTCATGTTGTCTAATCCTTTTTTGAAACATTGTTTATCAGACAACAAGGTGTTGATCGTCATCGGTGGCGATGATGAATACAAACAAGATGAAGACGAGGAAGGACAGTTTGTTATCTCACGCTGGGCACGAAGGAAAGTGGAGTCACAGTTTGATGAAGAGTATCTCGATGGAAGAAAGAGCTTCATTTTTTCTTGGAATAAGACTCATAGAAAAATCCACGAAGAGGCGCTATTGCATTACTTTGATCCAAGCAAAAATGGGGAAAAGTTCCAATACCAACCAAAACTGAATCAAAAACAAGAACCAACAACTGACCACGACGAGGTATGACTTAATTAAGCGACATTCACTAATGGTGAGTTATGGAAAAATGTTTTAGACAATCTCTGAAACCAATGAAATAAGCCAGGTTTGTTCAGATATTATAATCTCGATATTTGGTTGGTGAGAAATGAATTAGTGCGATGTTCCTATACTAGAATAGGATATACTAGAATTTGCAAATGTTTACGCTGGACCAAAAAGTCACTGATAACGCCGTCAAAACAAAAAAGCGTCCTTGAATGTCCTGAAAGAAAACTGAATAGTGAAAAAAAAAAAATACAAATAATTATGATAACGGTAACGAGGATGATAGGTATAGAAACAATTATAATACAAATTTCTTGGTCATGCAATATTGTTCTCTATTATCAAAGCTATAGTATTGTGCTTTGTGCTAGTAAGGCTCAGAGGTATATAATGGTGATTGAACTTAGTGGAGTGCAAGTTGAACTGAAATCATATGCGTGATCGGCATGATTGCAAAACGGAACTAGCGCGCAGCACGAGTTTGATTTGATGAGGATGAAAACACCTTTCCCTTTTTCTTTATCGAGCTCAAAACTAACCATCTCTTTTATTCTATTGACTACATCGTCGTTATTCAAATGCTGTTAGAAAGATAATTCATCCATTTTTGGCAAAAAGAGGAATTCTCCACCCAATGGCCTCTTTGTCTTCCGTTTTCCTGCAATTTGATCGATTATACGTAAAAAAAGCCATGACATCTCATTGGTTATTTTTGTTTTAATGTTACTTTTTCATTGGTTGGGGAGATGTTTTTAGAGGAAAACAGTGCGAATCGAGAATATACTGCATTACTGAGAGCCAATTAGTTTACAAGCATCACCAGAAATTTCAAAATGCATGTGTTAAATTATGTGGAGTGCAAGTTGTAAGAAGGCTAAGAGAGATGTTATATACACGGCATCTGGTCATTCATATTGCAGGCACCGCTTGGAGATAGCAAGGAAACACCTTTTCCGAGAGGAAATGCAAGGCAGGAAAAACCCTCCGTTGAGGTATGAGATTACCAAGGCTAGCCCACCAAGGTTAACCCACTTACAGAATTAGCGCCAAACGACTTAAAAACCAAACAAAAATATTTCTCCATTTGGTGAAAGTTTAAAGAAAAAGTGTATGTTTGTCTTCATATGCATGTTCGGGTCGAAAGGAAATGTCTGGAGATTGAATCAGACACACACCAAATCTTAGGAACTACAATTTAAAGTACAATTCGCCCGAGTGGGAAGCAGGGATATCAGAAGTTTACGTGAGAGGAATAAATAGGGGCCGTAATTTGATATGGTTTACATCAAACAATCTAGTATGGCCAAACGAGAATGGAGTCCTTGAACCACAAAACTTAGTTTAGAAAGTAAGACTGAACTTTATAAATTCAAGGAAATGATATGAATGGTTGAATGAGTGGAATGAAAACTGGGCTTTTATCTTGCAGCCGAAATTTGTAGGCGAGAGGCATCATAATGAAGGAAATGAAGCAAGTGAAAGGACAGGAATGAACGAAACTAGTGAGTTAAGACGTTCCCAAAATCAACCTTATTATGGAGGTAATAGCGTTAGTTTGCTAACTTTCCGTTGAGAATGGAACTACTTTTATTTTCCCGAGTTTTCCTGAACCCCATTCTAACATATCGAGTGTGGAATACTACAGGGTAGTTTAATATTATCAACTGAGTTGATAACGTAAATTGGCCACCGATGAGTTTCAAAGCTGACGTTTTGAGCGTTAGCCATTCGCTCTCGGACTAAGAGCTAACGCTAGAAACGTCAGATCAGATACTCTCTACGGTGGCAGATGAACGTTATCAACTCAGTTGATATATTGAACACTAAATTAGCCTATTATACTCTCCCATCGAAGCAGCACCACAGTTTCTTTAGATTAACCCTTAATTCAAATGTGGAATATTTTCTGATTTAATTCTCAGTTGTTATTGACCTGTCTTTGTTTATCAAAGCTGCAGCCGTGAGACGCGATCCTCATTACCCAGAGGGCATTATACTCCTGGAGACGCGTTTGGTTCATGGCGAGATTTCATACAAAAAGTGGCACATTAGAAAACGACAGGGTGCATGGGAGCCTTCTGACTCACAAGTTTCGAATGTAAAAGCAGACAAGTCAGAAGGAAGTTTTTCAGTGCAGTTTAAGAGTAAAGGGAACGGTGGGGTTAGCTACGTTTTTATCCCCACACCTTGGTGGCGCAGATGTTTTGATTGCTTTAGGATGTGTTGTTGTTTTTGTAGTTGTTGTCATTAAAATCAGTAAGGACTTTGCGGCAAGAAAGGGTGTCCTCTCTTGACTTTCGATTTTCAGATCTTTACCACACTGTCAAATCAAGGAATCTGCTTGTTTTCGCCACCTGCTATCGCTTAATAGCAAAACTTTGCAAGAGCTAATTCAGATTCCCTATACATCAGTCCCCGAAAGAATTGGACGTTCACCGAGTTATTTATTAGAAATCACCGCATATTTACGATTTCAATAGCCTTAGTACCTCCTAGCTCGGGCTTCAATGGCAGTGTTCACACTTGGTGCCCGGGCACTAGTACCCGGGCACCGGCACAAAATGGTGCTGTGTTCAGACACACGGTACCCAGTCTGAAGATATGTTCACATTCAATAAACAGAGCACACGCTCACTATTGAAATCTCGAGTGGGACAAGGAATTGTGGGTACGAAAACAAGTGGTTTGTGGGTAAAGTGCCAGGGCACCAACGAAAAATGTGTTCACACAAGGACTCAGTGCCCAGTTTAGTGCCCGAGTACAAGGTCGAGACCTTGTACTCGGGCACCGGCACCGTGCCCGAATTCTGGCGTGGGTACCAGGAAAAAAGGTGTGTTCACATTGGTGCCCGGCGTAGAATAGAACCCGGGCACGGTGCCCGGGCATCAAGTGTGAACACTGCCAGTGATTAATTAACTAAGTTTTAATTTCTCGGGTTTTTTTTTTAGTTTTGTTTTTTTCTTTTTTGGTAAGGGAGTTTCTCCTCTAACTGTTACAAAACAACCGCTTTGATAAGAAGACAGCTTGATTGAAAGATATTTACTCACAGGCTATCGGTGACCACGGCAAAATTTATTTGACTTTGAGAAGAGGGGACAGTCAGAAGCACTAAATAACGCTCGATTGTTTTTTTTTTTTCTTTTATTACGAAGCTTTATGGGGAAAAAACGTTTTGGTTTACACTCGAAACGAAAGGAAAGCAACGAAGTATCTTATGTCCATTGAACAATAGGATTAAACAACCTGCAATTAAAAAATGCAGTACCATTAGATAACCTCTGAATGTTATGTTATGTCTGTTATGAGACTACTTTTAGATTAAACTGCTATGTTCTAAATTGTGGCAGGAATAAACATAGCTGTTGTGTGGAAATTTTCATCGGATGATATTGAACTGTTTAAAACTGCTCTGCAAAAGAAAAAGTTTATCAAAATATTTTCACCAAAGGGAAGGTCACCATACTCGCTTCAATGCTGACTTCATCATTTTCAACTGAGATGGAAAAAATAGCAATCTTTAGTTTGATTAAAGATACTTCACTCATAGCAACCATTAGCACTGTCGAGATAGAAGAAATGGCGTGAAATATCTCCTAGTATTGGTTGTATGGTATTCCAGAAGAAATTTTAAGTTTTATTTGGATTTAGGTTTGCAATTATGTGTAGGGTTCCACGAAGTCACCTATTTTCTTGTTTGAGAAAACTCCTTTCCTTGGTTGAGACAGCTCCTTTCGGGGGTGGAGGGGGGTTGGGAGAGACACTTGATTCGGTCTCGGAACGAAAATGTTTACATACCAAAATAATAAACTGTGACGATAAATGGAAATTTATTGATGCACGTATTTCCGAAAAACTACTGAACTTCACTCTGTATTGATGTATTGAGGGCATGTAATCTCACACAACTACAGTTAGCAGTTACAGAGCCTTTTATTGCGATAAAAATTCGAACCTGTTTCTCCTTCAAGGCTATATATTTAAAAAAATAGAGAAGCCTTGATTGTGCTCTGTTCTGTTGTAAAGCACGCAGGAAGCGGTTAGAGCACGAAAGAAGTGTAGGGAGAAACACTCGACTACGTCTCGTGTTTCTCCCCACTTCTTGAGTGCTCTAACTGCTTCTAAGTGCTTTACAATAGAACAAAGCAAAGTCAAGGCTTCTCTATTTTTATTTTCTCTATTTGTTTTATAATAAAGAATCCATTCAATTCCCCGCGCATTCTAATTTCACTTTTCAAAATCAATTTTAATTCTAAAGCGAACCACAGTGTCGTCAGCATGCTCTATACTCTCCTAAAGCTCTCCTATAATAAGCCAATCATAATCATCGTTAAAATGGTTCAAATAATCTGATTGGCTGTACAAAACTAAAGCTGTCAAAAATTTCAAACCTTAAAGTTCACATTCTGCGGTAATTGTTTACAAACTTAAATAGTTTGGCAGGTCGAATCTAACACAGCAAATAATGACCTACAAATGGAAGAGAATTCTGAATTTTAGAGCTTTAAAAAAGTCAGTGGTTAGGTTTTAGAAAATTCAGTCAGAAATTAATTCCATGGCCAGTTACCAGTGCCCATGCAAATGGCGTGAAATACCATAGACGAATGAGAATCTGCCAAAGGGGAATATTACTCCCAGTCTTATAGAAGATATTAATATATATATTTAACGAATTACCTCTCGGGTAGACTCCAAAGCTGCAAAACTGTAAGATTTTTCTCTCCTTCCAGTTGAACATTGATTTGTTATGCGACGGGGGCAAAATAAAACCAAGAAGACTTTAACCCATCATGTCCAATAAAACCACTCTCCATTTTACATTCGTTTGAACTCTTTTTCCATAGTTATCTTAACACCAATCGATAGCGGCAATTCTGAATTAATGTCGTCCCATATTGCTCTGAGGGTTCTTACAGTGGTAATCCTTCTTTTCTTATTTAATTCTTTCATCAGAGCCCCCAATCTTCCTTGGTCAGTCCAGTGGTACTTATTCTTTAGGCGGGTTAAAAATTGGCCCAGGGTCTCCCCAAAGCTGGACGCCTCTAATTGACAATGTTGGAATAGCAAGTAAAACGGGAAAGGGAAAATAGAATATCTGGTAAGAACTGAAGCAAAAGACTTGGGGGGGGGGGGGGGGGTTTACAGGATTTTGAAAACGGAAAGGGGGTTGCAGAATTTTGAGAACGGAAGGGATTGATCGTCTCTAAAAGAAAGATCAAAGTGCTCTGTGAGCAAACTCGTGAATTGACACATGATTTTTTAGACTATGTTTAATGTTATCTGGTTAAGGGAATTTTGTGGTTGATTGTCATATCTAGAGTACGAGCAGTAGTTCAGTGTTCGCTAATGTAGCAAAGAAACAAAGTAACGTTGGGATAAGAAGGCATTACAATTGAAATGATCATGCTAGTACATTTGACAAGGTGGATGATGTCATGTGTTTATAACGTCTATCATTTTTGTTTCTGGTTCAAAAGAAAAGGTTGGAAGTAAATGTGGGTGAAAAGTGAAATTTACTGTCTTTCGTTGTAAATATTAGAAAATCAAGGCAATACTGTCTTAATGAAAACATTAACGATTCCCTCTTTATCAAATGAGACAAACGGGAACGAGTTTTGAGTGATATAACTGAGCCAAGCCTGCCATCGTCATTTTGGATCTCCGCCTGGGTAGATTTAAGTCACGTGCTAGGCAACGTATAATCAATAACAAGATAGAATTTCATTTCAGGCCTATTTATCTATTTTGTAGTGTGTAACTTTCGCATTTTAGTACGTTGTATGTATGTTGAATCTTCAAATTGTCTTGAAACTGAAAAGAAAATTGTTCTTTAAAAATTCACTAAAAATCGGTAGCTAAAATTGTCTGTTTAGGTATTATTTGATTTTCGTGTTAACTTGTTATTTCGTCAGTCGCCGGCACTTTGGTTGCTTCACACAGGAAAAACACACGCGACGAAACGTAATGATCAATTTTGTCCTCAATCTCACGCCATAACAGAAAAAGCTTAAGAACATCTGTAAACTCCGAGCGCTTCGCAGAAAGTGATATTTTCAACGAATCTTCGGATTGTTTTCAAGTTCAAGGATTGTAAATTACAGTTTTATGAAAAACGAAGGTTGTTCTGTTATTTCAGTGTGAATCCTTGCATGCCTGCCATTCGCAGGCGCCGCTTGTTGAAACTAAAACGAAAAAAGAAAACTCTTTTAAGATTATCATTGGCTTCTTTTTCACCCCACCACTATTCTTAGCAACAAAGGTCGCCATTTCGTCTGTTTATTGCTCGCCAAAAACTATCAAATGCACTCAAAAGCCTAAAATCTAAAAAAAGTTTACAATCAATCAATCAATCAATCAATTTATTTAACGTGGTCAGAACGCTTAGCTAAAAGCTAGTTTACAGGTACGCCACGAAATAAAAAGAGAAAAGGAAATTATAAAGCCTTATGAAGGTATATAAATATAAATAAATTAAGATTAAGAACTAGCTAATATTAAAATATAAGAATTTAACAATGTAGTCACCAAGTAAAATGTATAAAAATGTATAAAAATGTATAAAAGGTATAAAATGTAATCATGAAAAACAGTAAATATAATCAAGGATAGATCCTCACCGCACTAGAGTCCTGTGAGATCTAATGTTTTTAAGTCATTTTTAAAAGTAGTAAATGTTTGTATCTTTCGAGACTCGTCCGTTAAAACGTTCCATAATTTCGATGCAGCATATCTCCATGATCTTAACCCGAAGGTTGTTGATTTTACTTTTGGGAGGTCCAGTATTGTGGTGCCCCTAAGGTTATAAGTGGAGCACCTTACTGTTATAAGATCACGTAAGCTTTTTGGACCTGCATCACTGGCTAAAATCTTAAAGACAGTGGACAATATTTTCGCTAATCGCTGTTCACGAAGACTTGAGAGACCGATACGCTTACAAAGTTCCTCATAAGGCGAGGACTTAGCGCACGTTTGTTCACCAACTCTAACTTGTCTGCTGACTTTTTATTACAGAAGTGCCACGTTTCGGAGCAGTAATTAAAGTGTGGTGAAATGAAAGCTTTATAAAGATCCCTTCTAGTCTCAAAAGACAACATTTTCTGCATCCTTTTTAATACGGCGACTTGTTGACTGACCTTTCTACATATTTTAGCAATGTGCTTTTCAAAATTTAATTTATCATCGATTGTCACGCCAAGAAGTTCCATTGTGTTGGATATGGGAAGTTGTGACTCCTCACACTTAAACACTGGTTCATCAGTCATCAGTTCATCATTACAGGAATCGACCAATCGAGCGAGCGAATGGCATTCCCCACATCGTATCTATAACTCGCTCTTGTGCATGCGCGCAATTCACGAGTTAAATAGGGAGCACTAAAGAAATTGAATGCCAATAAAGGGATCATTAGAAGAATAGAGATTTCCCCCTCAACACACTCACATAGAGAATAAATAATGACCGGTTCCTGAGATGTAAAGCCAAGATGTAAGAGTCCTCCTAAGGGCTTCATTACAGACGAAGTCCTTCCAAAGCTATTGTTGGACTCGATAGATTTGGTTTCCAAGGATAATCACGTGCTATTTTACATGTCATTTGGGGAAATAATGTCCACGAGAGAATCACTCGAAACTGTTTTACTTTGGAATCTCAGGAAAGGGTAGTATTTAATTCCTGAGTAGGGAGGGAATGCCTCGAGAAAGGGATTGAGTCTGTTATTTGGTTCCGTCTCTCCACAAAATGTCCTACCTTTAGCCATAACTTCTCTGTCCATCTTATTTTTTTCTAGCTGCTTCCGAACCAATATAAATTTCTCTGCGAAGAGCAACACGGAGTCAAGAATTTCAAGAGCTAAAAGATCCACTTCATTGGACTGCACAGCATTCCCGTTTGTATAATTTGCAATGAAATAGGTCCTCTCGCCAGAACTACCGGTCGCCATAGATGCTTTGTCAAACACTTCCTCTTTCTCCTCCTCAGTTTTTAGCTTGTCTAGAAAGGTAATCACAGTTATGGGAGCATAACCTGGAAAATGAAATGAAGGATAATGAGTGCCAAAAGACTATAACCGCTCAACACAACAATCATTTCAAGAGCAAAAGATCTACTTTAATGGGACTGCTCAGCCTTCTCGTGTATATAATTAGCAATAAAGCAGGTCCTCTTGCTAGAGGGTGATTGTTTACCGTAGAAGTTAACCCTGGTGTAGTGAGTGGTGTCAAGAGAACTTGGTAGTGTTTATTTATGGGAGCTACGACGCGATTAGTGTATCAGGAAAATTTATTTCGGATTTTTCATGTTTTTCAGTAGTAATTCGTGTTAATCTTTGCCGAACTACGCCATTCTTGTTTCTTCTTGAGTTATTATTGCTTATTGTACCTTCTTGATCTAATAAAAGTAACAACGATGACATAGTCTCAAATTTTAGTTCGTGCGTCTCTAGTAACTACTAAAGAAATCGTCACATTGCCCCTTTAAATTGTTCTTAGCCAGGAATATATTACTAAGCCTTGTGAAGGTACCCTTTGGTCATACGAAATGTTTTTCTGTATTTTCCGTCAGACGAATACAGATCGTTCGCTTTCACAACGAAAATCACAGCATGTGCAAATCTAGCTAGTGATGGAGTTCTTCTGGCCGCTGTGCTCACCAGTCCTCCCTCATCTTCATTGTCATAATACCCCGAGATATCTTCTCCTGGTCGAATTCTTGTTTCAAAATAAAATTAAAAGGAACATGTGGTCATTCCTCCCAGAAATTATTAAAATGTAGCCTCTCTTTGGTCTTTAATTTTCATTTTTTAGTTTTTCTACCACGTGCCATGTGATTTAAAGCATATTCAACAAATCTGATTGAAAGTAACTGATCTAGCGTGGGACATGGTTTCAACGGCGTCACTTCGATTGACTTGCAATCGCAGTCGAAAACGTGACATCTTACTCAAGTGAATCGTGTGGTTGAAATGGAGAATATGACAGACACATCGTGCAGTTGAGTCAAGTGAATCTCGCCTATGCTGAATAAATGGCGAATTTATGAAATTGGCATGCACCTCAGTATGTTATCTCCCAAAAATGCATGATAGTTCACCTTCCTGACACTACGTTAAGAAATTAATCGGCATGCCCTTCCTCGTCCTCAAGGAATCCTCTAGTTTATCGACCATCCGAAAACCTTTCTGCACTAAGCATTCTTCAAGAAGAATAGTTTTTTCTCTTCCAGTTCCTTGCTCAAAGGCACTCTGAGTCTCTCCGATGGCTCGCTGTAGAGTCCCTTTAACATCAACCAAACATAAAAATATTGAGATAATCAGACTCTTTAATTGTCACGAAACTCATGAAACATCAAGAGAAAAAAAAGAAAACAAACGTGGAAGGAGTAATAGGGAGCTAATTTTATAGACAAAACAGGAGAATCAAGGTTTACTTACCTACAAAGCTAGTTTTCCCAGAAGCTGCAGGCCCAATTAAAGCAATTCGAATCAAGTCGATGTCGTCAACATCTAAACCCCTGAAGGATTCTTTCATGACCCTTGGGCAAGCATGAAAGTTATAATTCACAAGTTCACTTCTAAGTTTGTTCAACCTCTCTTCTTCCTTTCTCTTCTCTATTTCCTTGCTTGATGATTGGCCATGATCCATCACAAGTAGATCTCTTGTCCTTCAACGCTGAATCGGACATTAGCTCAACGTAGCCTTAAAAAACATAGAAAGAAAGCAATCGAATGAATACAAAAAGACCTCTACAAATCAAAAGGGTCCAAAACTTTCTACCCTCCCCTCCCCTGATTCGCTTTCGGCCAAACAAAACTGCAATTTCGTGACATGAACTGCTACTATATTTTCGTTATCATTACACCGAATTTTTGTGAATAATACACTTGTAAATGGCGCTTTGCATACTCTTAATATTCACAATCAACACCGGAAGTCTTATATAAATTTCAAAACGACCTTTGTTGGTTCGATCGATAGCTAGCGAAATTGGTTGGCAATCGATGGCGGCATATTTTCTCTGAGTTTTCTCTATAATTCAAAACAGTTCTAACCAGTTGTTTCTTAACAGGGTGTCGTGTGTTCTTTAAATTCCGAATGCGTCTTCTTTGACCTAAGAATGCCTTGATTTATCGGCGAGGCAAGGACACAAGTCATTGATAAACACACTGTGATGTCCAGTCCAGTATTCCAAGATTTGCAACATAGTTCAGTTCGCACATGCGCATTAGCAACACTTTTGCATTACCACGTTGTCAGCTCGAGTCGGAGAAGTTTGTTCTATTAAAGCATTGTTTATACTGAGAAGACTAGCGGTTGTTACACATATAAATCACATTACTTGAAATGTACTCTATCAAAGCGTCGATATTCTGTGACTTACGTGAAATCATGAATTGGAATCTTTGTTTTCCATTTCGGAAGCAGTTACACTCGTGGTGTTGCTTTTATCCACGTCTTTAGTGCTCGCTACTCCATGTAAATCAACCGCTTCATTCAATTCAAGTCACGAAAGTGATCCTGGGATTTCCTAGAAAATTATTGACCTTAGTCGCTACTCAATATTCCTGTGGTCACGCACTGCGATGGTATCAACCGATTCGAATTCGTCAAAGGAAAAAAAAATGGCAATGCTGCTCAAAAAAATGCAGGTTTTGAGAAGAAAGAATATCTGTAAAGTAGACGAAGGTAATCTTGGATGAATCTCCTTTTATTGTGAACTTTTCTGCTAAACTATTTCGGAAGGAATCTATCAAAATCATGTGACATTCTTGGATTTCAAGAATTAGCTATCTTAGGGAATTTATTATTTTGCCGTTTCACAGAACTGTGCAAGACATTCATTACTGCCGCAGGAGAACTCAGTTGTATTGCTTGCCGGTAATACTTTCCTAAAGATATCAGTCGATACGATTTCGTGTTGGAGACTCACAATTTTGACTCAGTCAACTTGACCGGGTGAAAATTGCGAGTCTTGACAATTAATAAATGAAACCCGAATTCAATTCGTCTTTTAAACTCAAGTTTTTTATACGAGAACATGTGCGATAAGAATTGCAAACTAAACCAAAGAGCAGTTTACGTCTGAGATTTACGACTGGATTGAACAACTTAAATTCTTGAAAATTCAGGAAATGTAGTATTGAAAATTCAGAAATTTTCAGAGTATGGTCCAAGGGAGCTGGTAAACCTTTTTCTTTCACAGATCATAGTGTAACAAAAAACTAATACCCGTTATGGCGGCTATGGAGAAAACTCCTGTGGCTTTTACTTCTAAACGTTGAACAATATCAGTTTGCAGGTTAACATTGTTCACCTTCACTTGGTTATATAGTATCCAAAAAGATACTGAGCGTACATCCGTACATGCTGAGACATGAATGCATTTCAGTGAAGATGGTTTAAATATAACAGAAAGAAAAACTGCCTTCTTGCTTAAGTTTCACCTGATTTTTCGTGAATTAGCTCCCTTTAATTTGCCGGTTTTTCCCAATTTATGCCCCGCTTAATTGCTCGTAAAGATTTCGCTTCATCCCCTATCCAACAAAAGTTCATTGTTTTCGAACATTTCCGGGAAGACACGGTAATCATCGAACCTTCTAGAAAGTCACGCAATTCTTTTGAAACAGTTTATGACAAAATAGTTAACAACACAAACTTTCCCTCATAAACTGAGAATTATGGAGGTATTTCAAAACACGGTTTCTTCATCAACGTAAATTTTATGAAAGCTAGATGTATTCCAACCCTCTGCATTATCAACGGTGTTGCTTTAAATAGGTAAGCAAATGGTCAATGATAATTTGCAATTACAGCTTTACCTTTACTAGAATATGAAGTTTTGGCTTCTTCACTAACAAAGAATGTCTAAATCAATCGACGAATCAAAGAAACATTCCTTCATCAGAAATGCATTTATTAGACTGCCCAGTGGGGATTTTAAGCAAACATTGATTCACAGGAATGTTGCATTATTATGGCTGACAGGAATGGCGGTCTGTCAGCGTCTAGAAATCATTTGTCTCTATGTCTGTCACAAATAATCGCCTCTAACATGTCGGCACGTCATTTCTTTCTCCACTAGACCTTTATTCAGCAAAAAAACTTCGTAGGAATTATCAGAAATCGCGTGATCGGTTATGGTACTCTGAGTTAAATATTTCTTATCGTTGTTGTTCTTGTTGTATGCTTCCATGAACAAAAGTGATGCTACTATGAAATCATGTGTTCGCCATCCTAAGAGTTTTGCATGTGCTCAGTTGAATAAGGGTAAGCACATGAAGAACAAATAATTCTTTCTGCGTTTCAGACTTTCGTTTGTAGCGTAAAAGGCCATTGATACGTTATTTACTCAGCTGTTGCCCGACCATTGCATACTTTCGTTTAAAGACTATAGCAAACGTAAATTAACAAGTTTTAGGGACATAAAACTTAATGCAAAATTGCTTAGTGCACTTTGAATTCAACCCATCATATTAACCCTTGTTGTTTTTAGAGATCAAGCTAAGTGCCGAGTGATCTTGGTGCAACATCGATCTCCTGTTTTCTCACCTCTTTCCCACTTAAACAGTTTAAATTCGTGGGTTTACTGTATTTCTCAGCTTAACGCATTTGGCTACAATATCGATGGAAGGTAAACCTTCGTAACTGCACGTAATGATTTCAGTACAAGTCACGCAATTGGTTAAAGTCTATTGTGATCAAAGATTTCTGGGAAATTGAGACGGTAGTAAATAAACCTTGCTTAAAGTCACACGATTGGTTAAAGTCAAGTGAGAGAAGGAAGTCAAAAACGCAAAATATCTTTAAAAGTCGTTCAATTCATGTAATAAACAGCTAGAGTCTTATGTTCAACGTAAACAGCGTGAAAGCTAGATATTCTTTTAACCTCTTTGCAAAACTACCAGTGTTGTTTACAATGAAGTAGTAAATTAAGGAATATTATTTTGTCTCTAAAAAAACTTGAGATAATACCTGGATTTCATTTTACATCAAGGAAATAAATTCCAAACATAAATCAAGTGCAAGTTTTCTCTTTAGTTTTATGGTATTTTCTCATGTTTGCAAATAATTGAATTTATTGTAATGTGGAGTTGTTGCAACATGTTAACATGAAATACAACAAGAAATTTTATTCATATGTAAAAAGTTTTCATTTGAATATCTATTGGCAAGTCTTTGTATTATATTTCAACCCAACCATTTTCCACAACTTGTAAATACGTACCATTACAAAATAATTATTCAGGGAAATGGAAAATTTATTTGAAATGCCATTTCCATAATAAGCTAACAGGATTGAGGAAGGTGTATGTGGGAATAAGCTCTCTTGTCTGCATCATTAATTTTCTGATCGCTCCTGTTGGCAACGTTTTGATGAGGTTGAGCTGCTAGGGCAAGGGAACTGAGGATTTCAATAGGCAGTGACTTTTTTCTAACCTGGAAACTATCATCGCAAAAGCCATACTTGTGCCTGGTAACTCATTCTCATTCTGATAAACTAGTTTAAGGTTACAATATTTTAAAACTTAAATTTGATGCATAGGCTGTGTACAAAACTTTAATTTGACTATACTTTTAAAGCCAATGCCAATCCCTACACTTATGTTAGGAGGATCAGAGAGAAGATAATGTGCCATAGATCTACAAGATTTCATGTAATTATTTTAATTACATGAATATTAACTGATACTGGGAGATCTAGGAATATTCAAAAGAAAGTAAAATTTGATTGAAATATTAAAATTCAGCAAGAGTATTTTATGCAATCTAAATAATAATATTACATGTTACAATGTGGTACACAGCAGAATTATATAATATCACACAATTCCAAACAAAGGAAGTCAGGTTATTGACTGACCTGCTTCAACTTTTGAGGGCTTAAGGTACAGAGAGATAGATATATAAAAAGTTTCAATTAATACAAAGTTGAAAGTTTGAAAGCTGAAAGGTATACATTACAATCATCAGACCCTATACATCCTAGCAAAAAAAGGTCAATCACCAGCATAACTTCTCCCAAACGTTCATGTTTACAGGAAATCATTAATTTTTGTCACTAAGTGGTACTGTACTTACAATAGTTCTACCGACAAAAATGCATTTTTCAAAAGTATCTTTATAGCATATGATTGTACAGGTCATGTGAAGGTTCCTGCATGGGGATTGAGATTTTAATTATCTCAGAAAACTGTAATCATCAGAATTGCAAGCCAAGGTGTATTTACACAATAGTCAAGTTTCCAAATTGGTCATCTAGTTGTTATAGTGGAGTTCACTCTTTTTATGGCTACTATAATTACTGGAATCAAAAGTTATAATTTTTTAAAAGAACCTGCTTCCTTTCATTGTGCTCCAGAAATAGTAAATTGTATTGAAGAGAAAGGAAGAAAGGTCTTGAAACATTCTATGTTAAATGAAACTTTGTTATGACTGTTAGTTGCACAGCAACGAAAACATTTGTGAAGCTATAATAACAATTACCTTTCCATGTAAACAAACCATAATGAAGCATGATATGAATAAATTTAGTCTCACCCAATTTGAATGTAGAATCCAAAATATAATGAACTTACTGGTGAATAGGAAAAAGTTCAATGCGTTTTTCCTGCTTCTGTCATTTTATATATCAATCATGCCACCAC